GGGGGGGGGGGGGGGGGGGGGGGGGGGGGCACGAGCAAGAGACCATCGGTTGGGTTGCTTCAACGACACCCGACGATGAGGATCAGGTAATTCACAAGCCTCACGATGTTCCAGCCTGACCAAACAATTAGGTAGTGTACATCGCCCGTATGCCCCCTATGATTAATCAGTTCTCCAGATCTGCGCGAGGGCATCTGCCAGCGTTTACAGCTCGAGGATAAGTCCAATCTGGCGTTCATGTACTCATCAGCATGCAAGTGCCTATGTTTTGTCAACAACCTGTTGTATCCAGCGCCGGTGGAACCACGCATACGAAAATGCCGAAGACACAGGTTAGCTCGCAGACTTCAAGACACCGCTCGCGGAATGAGACCCAAGCCATAGCTGGATATAAACGTCTTTCCGTTCCACGCTCGACGCTGGCTGGACCTGTTACATGTACCCATTCGGCCGGCCAATACGAGCTTGCGTAGTCAGCGCAATAGGGTCGGTCCAGAGCGACGATCGTGCGGGCTACGAGCCTACAAGACACATCCCGATGGCATGGGCCAGTTGACACGGAGTTTTGGTGAAAACATGGTACGTTTGATGAGCGCTCACCAGCGGAGTGGTATGTATGATGTAGGGGCGGAACACTGAAAGAAGATGAAGGTGAGAAAATGCAGGTACCTACAGGTACCGATATCGAACCGCAAAGTTGAACTGCGTGTGCTCTGCGTCCTTGGCGCTCACGTGCTCGCAATGGACTCCTTCCGGCGGAGGTTCCGGCGGAGGCTTGGACTACCCCAGAGAGGCAGGTGCAGCCGAAGCATTCGATGGCATGCCAGTGCTATGAAGTCACTCATCAGCTCGAGTCAGTCGAAGAGAGAAAAGTGACAGAGTGTGGAGGCGGGTCCACGCACGGCAGGGCAGGATCAGCAACCTACAGCCCCCGAACGGTGAACAACAACCGCTTCCAGCAGCAGCAGTGAGTCTCACTCATCATGAAGTCTATCCTCACTACACTGCGGCGAGCGCCGGTGGTGCGAAGCGAGATTCGCCATACCGGCCACCTCAGATTGCTCTCCAGCACCAGCTCCCGGAAAGCTCACCAGATCCCACCGCTGAAGGACAAGAGCCTCTTCAAAGAGCAAGCCTACATCAATGGCGCCTGGGTTAATGCTCAGAGCGGCAAGACCTTTGAGGTCCATGACCCTGCCACGGGTAAAGTCATTGGCACCATGCCAGAGATGAACGCCAATGACACGAACGATGCCATTGCAGCAGCTTCGCGTGCCCTTGTGTCGTTCAGGAAGACGACCGCGAGGCAGAGAGCAGACATGCTTAGGAAGTGGTACAACCTCATGGTCGAGAACAGCGAAGACTTGGCGAGGTTGATCACTTGGGAGAACGGCAAGCCCTTTGCCGATGCCAAAGGTGAAGTCGGATATGCCTCGAGCTTTTTCAACTGGTTCAGCGAGGAAGCAACTCGGATCACTGGTGATACCATACCAGCCAGCGTCGCTGGGAACCGGATCTTCACCGTGAAGGAGCCCGTCGGCGTGTGTGGCTTGATCACTCCGTGGAACTTTCCAGCAGCTGTAAGATGGGCCTTCATCAACTTTGCTGTGCTGCATACTGATTTGGGGGCCTAGATGATTACTCGCAAGGTTGGTCCAGCGCTCGCTGCAGGCTGCACTGTGGTTGCAAAGTCGCCCGGCGAGACGCCATACACTGCTGCTGCCATCGTGGACCTAGGGCATCGAGCTGGTATCCCACCTGGTGTAATCAACGTTGTGACTTCACTTCAAAACACTCCCGAAGTTGGTGAAGCCATCACTTCTAGCAATGATGTCCGAAAGGTTTCCTTCACTGGCTCGACTGCAGTGGGCAAGCTACTGATGAAGCAGTCTTCCGTAAGTTCCAGCAGGTCGAAAGACATTTCCATTTCCCATCCTCTCATCTCAAAAAATTCCGAGTCTGCCGAGGCGACAGGAACAAAGCCGGACTTGTCGCGACAGATTCCCGTTCACAGAGATACTTGCTTACCTTCGAGTTCCTGCTCTTATAGAATACCCTCAAGAAGTTATCCTTTGAACTCGGCGGCAACGCACCTTTCATCGTCTTTGATGATGCAGATCTTGAGACTGCCGTGAATGGCGCCATCGCCAGCAAATTTCGATCCAGCGGACAGACATGTGTCTGTGCAAACCGAATTTACGTTCAAAAGGGCATTTACGAGGTCAGTATTACCGGATCGCAGAGACAGAGGAGTAGTAGGGTTTCCCTCAAACAGAGTTGCTAATCACGGCCCTCTTGTGTCTCTACAGGAATTCACAAAAGCCTTCACCGAAAAAGTCAAGCAGTTTCAGGTTGGCCACGGCTTCGACCAGGGCATCACGCATGGTCCTCTGATCCACGATCGTGCAGTCAGCAAAGTCCAAGCTCACGTCGACGATGCCGTCCAGAACGGCGGCAAAGTCCTCGCTGGCGGTAAAATGCTCCCCGAACTCGGACCCAACTTCTACGCCCCGACCGTGATCCGCGACATGACCTCGAAGATGAAGATTTCCTCCGAAGAGACTTTCGGCCCTGTCGCAGCCCTCTTCCCCTTCGAGACGGAGAAAGAGGTCGTGGAGCTTGCCAATGCGGCGGAAGTCGGCCTGGCGGGATACTTCTTCTCGAAAGATATTCAAAGGTGCTACCGAGTCGCAGAGCATCTGCAGTGTGGTATGATTGGTATCAATACGGGCTTGATTTCCGACCCTGCATCACCATTTGGTGGTGTCAAGGACAGCGGTTTCGGTCGAGAAGGATCCAAATATGGAATTGATGAGTATTTGATCATCAAAACTATGACTTTGGGTGGTGTAGGTGAATTGCAAGGCTAGGTAGATGCGTAGAGGTACGTTAGATATCCACGCCAAGTATGATAGAGTCAGTCGTCACGATCCGGCAATTTACAAACATTTCAGAAACCACATGCAAGTCTTGTTTCAACAGCACTTTGCGTGCTAAGGTAGCCATGTTGTGATATAGGCAAAAATCTACAAAATCTACAAAATCTTGTCCTTGACGTACAGGTCCATATACTCGTCTACCGGCATCTTGTACAGCGTCGCAGGGTTGTTGCCCAGGTCCACAAGCTTCTTGGTGTGCTCGGCGGAGAAATGAGGCGCAATGTGATTCTTGAACTTCTCGAGAATGATGGGTTTGGCCTCTTCTCTCCGCAGTCTGTGGCCCAGCGGTGCTTCGATGACTTCTTCGGGAAGAACAGTGCCATCCTTCAGTTTGACCGTCAAGGCGTTCGAGATGGTGCGCTTCTCTGGGTCGTGGTAGTCCTTGGTGAATTGAGGGTCTTCCACACACTTGATCTTCTGTCTCAGGCTCTCTACAAGAGGGGACTCGGCGGCCTCACCACCATCCGTGTAGTCATCCGCAGTCAAGCGGCCGAACACGAGCATGGTCGCCGCCATGTACTGCACACAATGGTCACGATCGGCGTAGTTGTCCATGGGCTTGAACTGCTTGTCGATGATACGAATGCAAGCCTCGTGCGTGCGGTTCGTGACTTCCGCGATGTCTTCGGCGCTCTTGCCCATCTTCTTCAGCTTGTGGTGGATGTTCTCAGCGGCCTCGACGGCAGTTTGTGAGTGGAACTCAGCCGGGTAAGAGACCTTGAAGAGGACGTTCTCCATGACATAGCTGCCATAAGGACGCTGGAACTCGAACTTCTTGCCGCCGAAGTTGACGTCGTAGAATCCCCAGACTGGGGTGGAGAGCACAGTCGGTACACCGCCCTCGCCGCGCAAGACCTTCAGGGCCATATCAACAGCACGTTGGCAAGCATCACCGGCGGCCCAAGACTTTCGGGACATGGTGTTGGGAGTGTGACGGTACGTTCGGAGTGATTGGCCATCGACCCAAGCCTGAGAGATGGCAGCCTTGGTTTGCTCGACGTCCAATCCCAGCATCTTGGATACGACGGCAGTAGAAGCGACCTTGACGTTCACAACGTGATCGAGACCGACCTTGTTGAAGCTGTTCTCCAAAGCCAAGCAACCCTGAATCTCGTGGGCCTTGACCATACCCTCGAGGACATCGTGGATGGTGAACTGCTTGCCATTGCCTACCTTGACGCCGTTCTTGTTGGAGCGGTTGGCCCAGTCTGCTACAGCGAGAATGGCACCCAAGTTGTCTGAAGGGTGACCCCACTCAGCAGCGAGCCAGCAGTCGTTGAAGTCTAGCCACCGAATCATGGCACCAATGTTGAAAGCACCATTGACGGGATCTAACACATATGGCGTACCTGGCACGCGAGTGCCATTGGGGACAGTGGTGCCCTCCACTACGGGACCCAGCAGTTTTGTGCACGAAGGGAATTCGAGGGCACGCAGACCGCAGCCAATGGTGTCGAGGAAGACGAAGCGAGCCGTGTCAATCTGAGCCGCAGCAGGACTATAAGCATATGTATCTCGTCACACTGTCCACACCACTGAGTCAAGCAGAACATACCGCGAGCTCCGAGTTGATCTTGTAGTTGTGGATGTAATTGGCCATGTCGGTGATCTCGGGATCAAAGTCGGGCGCCTTGCCCGGACGGCCCAGATCAGTGTGTTTCGACATGCTGGTAGAGAAGCCGCGTGCTGCGTGGAGACGAGATCCGGTCGTGCTCGATGCGAAGTGTAGGCGTGGTTGTGGTTGTGGGTGAGCTGCAGCTGCAGCGAGAGGAGCTTTGGAGCAGCTTCGGGTAATACGAGCTGCGGCCGTCGAGCTTCGGAGCAAGTTTCGTGCTGCCAGCGACGACATGGCACTACCGTGGGAGGAGATGTCGATGTCGGTCTATGGGAGGGAGGGGGAGAGGGCGGAGGAGGAGGCGCGGAGGAAGAGGTAGTGGTGGTGGAGCAGGAGAGCTGTACTACGGAGCTGGGAGAAAAGTACAATGCGTCTGTCTCCAAAAGTCTCCAGTGCCCCAGATTTCTGGAGCTTGGAGGTTGAAGGCCGAGGGGAGCAGACGCAGCAAAGCCGAGGCGATCTCGGTCAGAGTCGGCTAGCCTCGCCTGCGACATCGGCGCTAGAGCTCATCTGAGTTTTCTGTGAGCAATGCCAAGACCAAGCCCAAGACCGAGACACATGTGGGAGAGCACTGCACGCTCCGTCTCTCCGCCTGCATCAATACCTACCCACCCTCCGCTCCGCCCTGCTCTGCTCTGCTGCTCTCCGCCGCACCGGCACCTCTTGCTCTGGGCTCTGCTCACGCCGATGAATGCCCTCTCCGCTCTTGTCGCCGCCATAAGAGACAGCAACATTGCTGGCGACGAGGATTGAGCAGCCGCGCGCAGGAACGCAAAGGACTGCAATAATCGAGTGAATGGCTTCTCTCCTGGCATACACTAATAGAAGACTGCAGAAAGTGCTGCGAACCTCTTCTAGCCCCACCACCAAGTGGTGGGGAACAGCAGCAGCAGTGCGGAAAGGTCCAGTGAGTGCGACGGAGGCGTCAAGCATTCACCAACTTCCATTAGTGCTCAAGGGGCAGCATCCAATCGAAGCACCACCGTATACTGTCCGAAGCGGAGACATCGTGGTGGAGCCACACACACACGCTCACACGCACTCACACACGACCCTCCCAGCGTGAAAGATAAGGCTAGAAGGCGTGTTACACGACATGGCGCTAACAGAGCATCAATCATCCAGGAATACTCGTCGAGGCAACATCATGGACGTGACAGACGAAGAGATTCAACTTCGTGTGCGAGAAATACAGGACTATCGTCTTACCCATGGCATGCTTCTGAAGAAGTTCATTTCCGATCCCCCAAGCCCCACAATCTGGACTCGATTACGGCGCCATGTGGCAAGAACAGATGCCAAACTTTCAGAGCAGAGACGAGAAAGCAATGTATCATGGACGACGACACCACTGGCCGTAACTGTACTGCCAACGCTATTTCCGACACACCTTTTCGAGCACGCTCAAGAGCTGCAGCCTCTCTTCAACGAGCTCTACATACGAGTGGCGAATGATCATGACTGGCTTCATGAAGTGCTCTCGCCTCTCTTTACGTGCGATTCGTTTGTGACGACCTTGTGGGGCATCTATGAACGGGTGCGAGCTGCAGGCCCAATGCAAGACATCGTGTGCGGCTCATTCAGGGCGGATTACATGATTGACTCTGATGACCACGCGCTGAAGCAGGTGGAAATGAATGTCTTTTCAGCGTCTGGCTTCGCTCATGCTCAGAACGTCGCCGCCCTTCATCGCCACATGCAGAGGTCGATTGCAGGTCAAGCTGACCTGCCGAAAAATGATAACACTTGTAGAATTGCTGACATGCTAGCCGAGGCGAACAGGATCTATCAGCATAGTCGGCTACGATTGCCATCTACGCCAAATGGCAACCTGGCTGACCTGGAAGAGCATGCACCCATATCGAATGGAAATGCAAAAACTTGTATTCTCATGATAGTTCAGCCTTGCAACTTCAACGTTGCAGACGAGCGGCCAATTGAGTATGCTCTATGGGATCGCAATGTCTCCTGTCACCGATGCGAATGGCAGGATGTCTTATCTCGGACAAAGCTCCAGGCCGATGGCACGCTGCTATTCCACCTCGGTCATGCGCGAGCTAGCTTGGAGGTGAGTGTAATCTACTACCGAGCGGGCTACGAAGCCCGAGAGTACGACTCCTTGGGTTGCGAGACTCGCTTACGACTAGAGATATCGAAGGCGATCAAGTGTCCAGACATCGCCACTCATCTGACGACTTGCAAGTCTATCCAGCAGGCGCTAGCTCGACCAGGAGCATTGGCGCACTTCGGATTACAACAAGGCGAGGAGGCCATGTGCAGCACATTCATGGAGATGCACATACTCGACAACTCCCCACGTGGGTTGGAAGCCCGGGCAATCGCTACTGATCCCAGCAAAGCCATGGACTATGTTCTCAAGTCCAACGGGGATGGTGGCGGACACAACGTATACCGCAAAGATATTCCGCCGTTCCTCGCGAAAATAGCAGAGACTCAATGGTGCACGTACACATTGATGAAGATAATCGTGGCGCCGAAGACAACAGGCGTCCTGATGTTGCCACATGATGTCTATTGCGGACAAGTTGTAAGTGAGCTTGGTATGTTGGGGACATGTATATGGCGCAAGCACAACGCAGAGGTCATGGTCCTGCGAAACGAATGTGCAGGCTGGACACTAAAGACGAAGCCTGGGAATGTCGACGGGATGATGGTGGTGAAAGGTGTAGGGGCCATGGACTGCCCAGCTCTGAATTAATCTATATCTCATTTGACTCCGATGTGGGCAGCAGGCTACCGCGAACTCTGACTACTGACACCTGAAGCAACGAGTATGTAATCAGAGTTTCTACTCAAACTGACATGACGCAATCTTGTTTGATCGACAAGGTAATGCCAGCAAATATTCGGACAAGAAACTTGAAACATACGGGAACGCGTCTCTCGTAGGAGGTACATACACCCAAGATGTTCCTCGACGACTCTGATATTGCGCTTCCTTCTTTTCCACATCTCCTGGAATTCAAGCGAGGAGGTTAGACTGTCGGCAGATACAACGGAGCGGATAAGATGCAGCAGCAGCCTCCACTTCCACCTCGACAACATCAGCCAGCTATGGATGCTCGGCCAGGTACACCTCAAGGCTTCAACGGTCAGCCAGTACCGAAGACCTCGCAGGCACCGCCTCAACGAACCAGCCCATTCGGAGTTCGAAGCGGACCATCGTCGACTGATTATACGAGAGATGTTCGAAAGCTGACGGGCTATCTGATCCCTTATCCAAAACCTCATCTACCAAATGTCAATCCAGACGATATCCCGCAACGCTTCTTTGTATGGTGAGTCTACGCATATGATCTCGCGGGCCGAGTCTTCCAGCTGATCATGTTTCGGCATCTAGGACTCCACCTGCGCCACCATTCTATCACAAGCCAGCTGATGGCAAGCGAGAAGGTATCGTACACTGGACCAAACGTCACTGGTACAAGGAGCTGCGAGAAGCCAAGATGCGTGATCCGCCCAAGGGTAAAGTAACGAGAGTGAAGCGTTTGAAATGGAGAGGCACCAAAGCCACAGCATGGGGAATCAACAAACTCAAGAGCTCCAACTTGGAGTTCCTCAATCGAGTAGCAGGCATCCAAGATCAAGCCAATTCCATGGCACCAGACGTATACAGCAAGACCATTGCACCGGAAGAGATCGTCCTCATCTACCCATCATCATCCGAAGAAGAAGAAGAAGAAAATCTCGCCGCCAACTCACAGCCGCCTGCGGCTCTCCAACAGGAATTCATCGCCTCCATGCTCCGCACGAAGAAACGCGCATACAAAGACTCCATCTACGCCACCCTCCTCTTCCCTCCCGCTCTCGTCATCGACACCCTCGCAGTCCCCATCTGGCCCTTTGGAGGTCTCGCCGAAGTCGATCTCTGCTGGCTCTACGCCTCCCTTCGGGGCGCCAAAGCCTCGCGATCCGTCACCAAACGTCTCACATCGGGCGATTTGACCGACAAGAAAGCCGCATCACAACTCACTCTCACGCTGGTGTCTTCTCCTCGCGTGCAGATTTTGACGCAGTATCTCGCGGCTGCGTGTCACAAAGCCGATCCGACGCTGTTTCCGGTCTATGTGTCGCCGCCGGGCGAGACGCAGTGTTTGGAGGCGATTGGGTGGAGTCACAGTGATCAGGATGGAGATGATTCGGGTTCGGGTACGGGCATGGCATTGGGATTGGCGGCTAAGACGATGAGTTGGGATGATGAACAGTTTGAGATTACGCAGGTCAAGGATGATATCAAGGATACGTTTCGCAAGGGAGCAAAGGAGTGGGCAAAATGGACCAAGTTGTGGACGAAGAAGCCGGGGAAAGCTGCGAAGAGGTGAAGCGAGTGTAATAATGTACAAAAGACCGTACGTACCTAGGTACGATGGTCTTATTCTACCTACCCACCTACCTAGCTTACCTAGGTACTAGTATTAATGTCTATCTACCTATCTTTTCGACCCCGCCGCCTTCCACTCCATCCAACCAGGAGGAGGCGCATCATTCCCCAGAAGAGCATCGAATGCATCGTCGTCGACAATTTCAATCACGCGGACTTTCCATTTGCCGAGTCGGAGAATGATGAGGCCGTTTGTGACCACGTCAGCAGCAGTCTGCTCTTTGGTCAACGGCACAAAGTTGAGCTGTCCACCACCTTCTTCTGTAGAATTCGACGGTGATGCAGTCGTCGTCGTCGCGACATATACGCCTCCTTTGCTAATCGTCCGCGCTCCTTCTGATTTCGTACCCACTAATCCCGCATGATACAGGATGCGCGAGAAAGGTGTATTGTAAACGAGAGATTTGGGTAATCTGGTTCGCGAGGCCGCATCGTGCGCTGTGAGTTGCTCTCCTTCTCCTTCTCCTGCTGTTGTATGGGAGAGAGATTCCAACGAAAGCTTTCTCGAAGCCTCGTGTTCCGCTCGTGTCTTTTGTGCCACTTCGGGCCCATGAACGAGTTCTAACACCTCACTCGCGAGCAAGTGCTGAGCTGTGCGTTTTCCCGGATTTCCTCGATGCTCGGCCATGGTGCTCGCGATGTCGGGCATGGATACAAACGTGAAGAGCTTCAGATAGCGTTCGACATCGTCGTCGGCGGAGCGCAGGAGAAAGCCGTAGAGGTCGAATGGGCTCGTCATTTTCGCGTCGAGCCAGATGGCGTTGCCAGCGCTTTTGCCGAATTTCTCGCCGCTGCTCGTCGTCAGCAGTGGAACTGTCAGGCCCATGGGTGTACGATCGTGAGGGAGTTTGCCCTCTGTGTCTAGCCACTGCTCGACCACACTTCCTTTGGTAGCATGTGCTTGCGCAATGTATTTGACGGCATCGATGCCCGCGATAATATTGCCGTATTGATCACCACCTCCCACCTGCACCTGAACTCCCTTTTCTTCGTACATGTGCCACCAGTCCCAAGCCTGCAGCAGAGGATATGTGAATTCGGCAAAACTCATCCCATCGCCCTTGTCCATCTTATTCTTGACCGTATCTCTACTCAACATGGCACCCAACCTCGCGCCATTCCCCATCATACTGAGAAACTGGAGCACATTCAAGCCATTCAGCCAAGCAGCATTATTAAGAACCTCGCGCCTCCCCAAGCCTCTTCGATGCTGCAGACCATGCCGTTCACCATATCTTCCCACATTCACCCACAGCATCTCCATCTGCGCAAACATGGCATCGAAATTGCGTTGAATCGCAGCCGCATTCGTTTTCGCTCTGCTGGTCAATCGGCCAGAAGGATCGCCGACAGTGGCAGTCGCGCCACCGACTAAGCTCACGACGTGATGGCCGTGGTGATAGAGCCAGAAGAGGACCATGTACGGCAGGAGATGGCCCAGATGTAAGGAGGGTGCGGTGGGATCTACGCCGGCATAGAAGCCTGTGGTGCGCGTCTCGAGCAGCGTGTCGAGTGCATTGCGATCACTGCAGAGAAACTTACCTTAGCCTACGGTCTTTTTTTTTTCTTTCTTTTTCGGGGGAGGGCGGCCGCTTCAATGGAGCGGGTGCGCGTGATGAGTGAGTGAGTGAGTGAATGAGTGAGTGAGGGAGGGAGGGAGGGAGGGAGGGAGAAGGGGAGGGAATGGATACCCTGCGATCTGATGGACATAACCTCGTTCTTCCAATAGCGAAAGCACGCTCTGTCGACGTGGTCGTGAGGTGCTGAATGGACGACCTGCAGCTCTGGCGCATCGCTGACAGACGTATGCCCGAGGTGGTGTCCGCAGCCAGCTCAGCCCAATGCGCGGCGGCATGTTAGTGACATGTGTCTCAATGGACGGGTTATTTACATGTCATCGTGCTCATATAAGTGCAGACATGTAAATTGCATTGTATGAGAAGACGACTGTTATGGGTCGGTGTTTTTTCGGGACTTTCGGCAAATCGGCCTTTCCTGGTTGTATTGTATCTCCTATTGGCTATATAGGCGATATTCACCTCTCCATGTATCCTGACACAATGGTACTACTATATATTAATTGCAAAATATTGGTCAACGCAATTGGTGGGTATCACATTCCAGCCTCCATCCCATCTTCGCTGCACTGCCGAGCTTCATTATATATAGCCTGGCCCCCAATTCCAGCTTTAATATGGCGGCGCTGCCATGAGTGGCACTCTTGCCTTCTTGCTGTTGTCCACCTGTATACCAGCTAGTAATTTTTGGAGATCGACTGCTTCTCCGTCCGAAACTTCCACTGCAAGTTCCACTTGCCTCTTGCCGTCCATTATATCCTCCAAGTCTGTCGCTCGGACTCGAGGCTTGATGGAGCCGTTCCCCTCAGCTCCGACACCAGTGCTGCTGATGTTACCCGAGCTCAATCTCCTCTCAGCACCAAAGTTTGGCAACATGAGTAGCTGGGGGTGGCTTTGATGGCTTTGGTCGATACTGTCTCGCAAAGAAGCAGGCTTCTCCTTCTGCACAAACTTGCCGAAGCAGTCTTCTGCTTCAAAATTGAGGATAGTGGCATCCTTCTCATCCGACTCGTATCGTGCCCAGGTCGTGACGGCATCCTTGTAAGCAGCGCGAACATCCTCGCTGCCCATACGAGCGAGCCATTGCGTTCCGTCCCACACCCCAACAGGCACGCGATTCCGCTTGATAGCCACGTTGTTGTGCGCTTGTTTTTTAGTAGATTGCGCAACCTGCAGGATGCTTTGAATGATCTCAAACGCACACTTTCTGCCTTCGTCCGTGGTAAAATAGCCACTCCGCAAGCTATTACTCCTTTCGCTCCTCTCTTTGTCGTGTTCCGACTTGTCGTCGAGGATAGCTTCCTTTGCTGTTGTTGTCGGTCCTGCTGTGCTCGGGCGGCCAGGATACGCCAGATTAGCAGCAGGCTTGGCTCCGCGAGAGGTGCCAATCCTCTGTTTAGACGTCGTGCCTTCGGTAGCCCTTGTATTCGATCGGGACCTTCTTTCTCCGAATATGTTACTTTTGAAGTCAGTGGCCGAAGGATATGCTTTGACTCGCACAAGCAGAGCGGCAATCATGTCGGTCACTTGGTCCGAGTAATACACATGCCCAGCCAAACAAGCAATGCTCAACTTCAACGTCTCTACGCTTGCCGTCGCCGCGCTCTGTTCACTGTTGTCGCCCGACGTGGTCTCCCGGCTCAGCAAGCTATTCCCGGGACGCGCACAATACGTGACCACTCGAATGGTCGTTGTCATGAGCCCAATCAGCACATCCATCACTGAAAGGCCAATAAGGTTCAAGTCAGAACCCACCACGCCATGAATCATTTTAGCGTAGGTTTCATGCAATCTGAAGTCTGCGCCATCCACCGGTAGCCGCCGCAATGTCTCCACAGCAGTAAACACTATTACGAATCGGTCCTGCACAGGAGTCCAGGATGTGATGAGGCGGAATAGCTGGCTCGCCCATTCGTTAATGTTGCGGCCTTGCTCTCCCGCAATGTATCGCATGAATGAGAACGTAGCCTCTCGTGTTTGACCTCGATTTTGCGTGTCAAATATGGCCTTCACACAGTCAATGGCGAGAAGCCCTACTTCCTCTTCCTCAATGCGATCGGCGTCCTGTGTTGTCCCTTCGGCCGTACGCGGATCCGGCTCCTGCTCCTCCTGATAGGACGAAAGAGTCCTGTTGTGCGTGATGCTCTGTCTCCGTGCTATCGTCTTACTGTCCCTCCCTTCTTTCTCTTCCGCCTCGCGATTCAATCCCTGCAAATAGTCGACGTAGTCCTGTTTGCTTGAATTGCGCAAATTCGTCAAGACAGATGCGAAGGCGTTGTCAAATTCGCGATTCCAGTTGCGTTCGAGCTGTTCCTTTGGCGCGAAAATGCTAGTAATGGCGGCGACTCCGGCTTTCCGCAACCGCAGACCATCGTGGTTCGCGACTGGCTGGGTTGACTTGCCAAGTTTCTTGGTGTTGTTCCTCGCCAAAGAGCCGTATAATCGCACCACCTGTGTGTAAGACTCGCGGTATTCGGGATCGGCAGCGAGACTGGCAGCGTCCTGATGTTGGCACAGCACATCCCACGTGGCGAGGGTGGCTTCGATCAAGGATATGTCGGTCGAGTTGTTCATGATCTCGCGGATGATGCGCAGCACCGAGGGGGCAATCAGGGCGAATCCGGAGGCGCGATTGATCGTGCTGTGCTCGAGAACGGCCGTGAGGATCTGTAGCGTGATTTGGACGCGCGCGCTTTGGCTGTGAGAAACATCATACGCCGTTTTGCTCTCAAGGTAACTGCCGACTTTGGGGAGTTTGTGCTGCCGCGTACTCGCATAGTATAATAGATACGCCAGCTCTGAATTGTTGGGTCTAACATCGGCTGCCGCGTTCTTGGGGAGGCGTGGATAGCACTTCAACACCAAATTCTGGTGTTTAGGACGAAATCGCTCCGGCCGTCCCGGGACCTGTGGCATCGTGCGTGTACTGCACTGACAAGGCCTATCAATACAGTCGGTCGGTCAATGCTATGAGATGCTGGAGGTGGTGAGGACGGGGTATGAATGTGTGGTGTGCGGCAGAAGACGAAACATCGACCATTTGCCATTTGGGAGACGTCGCGTCAGCCTCACAGCTCAGCACCGCAGCGGCCCGTTCCGCGTAGCATGCCGCGCGGAAACGTCATACGTCCTCCTGTTTCACCGAGCAGGTTGCAGCATTGATCTTTTCAAGTTTCAACTTTTGCGACGCCATTATCCATAGGCAATAGGAGGTAACTGATTACAACACGTATATTGTCTGTTACGCGCGTCTTTTGGCTAGCGTGGAGATGGGGTTAAGTGGACTCGAGGAGGAGAAAGACGGCTAAACAAACAACCTTCGCTACGACATCATGCATCTACATGTGTCACAAGCCACTCCTCCTGAAGGGAGGTCGACTAGGGAGATGTGTTTGTCGTATTCTGTCTGATAGGAGGTAGGTATCTATTGCCCAATGTTTATCCCGAAATAGTGACAACAATGTCGATCCCTGCGTCGACCAACAGCCCAGTGCCGTATGTGCGGTATGGCATGCTGCAATTCATGGCCAGACATTGGAGTGATGCCGCATGTCACGGGCAATGTCCAGTAGTAACAGGCGGTGTGTCAACAAATATGTTCATGGTCATGTCCTACGGTATTAGGGTATTCCTGCAGCAGCACAAGACAAGCTACCAGGGCTGAGGAGCAGGAATCGAGCCGTCCGGGGGTACAGGAAGAAAGAACCGTAGAAGCGCCCCGAAGATCCGATTCCTGGAAAAGCCCAAATATGCTTTGGTGACTGAACAGCTCAGCAGTGCTGTGGTCTCCACCTTCATGTATGAAAGTTTGCGCGAGCCCACCGGAAGATATTGTTGTTATGGCGACTGTGCCCACATGTTGCGGACAGGATCCCAATATGCGTGTCTTCGATTGGACGATTGTGAAGCTGTAGCAAGGGCTTTTAGTATGCGAGTTGGGACCGCAAGCAGATCGTGACATACCATGGTTGCACGCTGTCCTACGGTCCAGATCGCCACTACTGGAGTCGTCTTCATCGCCCCAGTGGTCGCCTTCATGCCCTGCGGTAGGTACTGGTCGGCTTCTGTTGTTGCGCTGATCGCGATAGCGAAATGCGTGCCACAAACACCACCTTATTATCCAATTCTCCTCCGCAACACCATCAGTGTCACGGCCGCGATCGTATACCGCTCGTGTGGAAGAGCTCGCCCGTTGGTAGATGCGTAATATTTCAGCATGTGTAGAAGTCTCGTTGATTGGTCTGTTGCAAAAGTCAGAGTGCAGGCTGTCAGTGAGGTGGTTTGACTGGCCTACATGTTTGCACACTCCTTCTCGATCAGATGCTTTCTGCCTTCAACAGCCTCTCTCTAGTATCCGAGTCAGGACAGGACAACCACACTGCCAGGTGTATGTCCTACCTTCATAGTCGCATACAGCTCTTTGTCCTCCTTGCTGTCCTCGTGTAGACCGAGTCGTTCGAAAAACCTATACAAGTCATCGATCCCAGGTAAGCCCATTGGTTCGCAGTGTGAGGAAGGCTAAGTCTCAAGATGGTGCTCTCTTGCCTGGACGAGCTAGAGCAAGACGCCATCAATTGATCTTAGTCTTACTACTGACCTTGTTTTCGACTCGCTCTGGGCTAGAGCTGGCACACGTGCGGGAGCCATGGTGGCAATGCGATGCCATGGAACCATAGGACTCCCTCGAGCGTAATATAAGAACAACTCCAGCACCTGCGCGCGCGCGCATGTCAGAGTCGTATCCGGAGCATGACGACGATGCCAACTGGACGATCGTCATGGCGAAGGTAGGAGGTCAGGTCTAGACTACGCCTGCAACGCAAGTATGTGCAGGAGTCTCGCGTGCGTCCCGGTTGCTATACTCCATCTCCTCTGCACCAGCGGCACCATGTCCGGTTCATCAGATTCAATGGCGAGGAGAGGCGCCCCTGATTCCAGTGGAATCGTCGATCCAAGAGCAGCAGTTGCTAATTGCATACAGCATACGCCCTTGGACTGAGGCCCAATATCCACATCTGCATTCCTGGCGTTGTTTGAGTGACCAATGTGTGCGCGGCGGAGAGTGTGGAGCAGGCTGGCGCCGGGCATATTGGCCGATGGAACTCCAGCATCAAGGTGAACAGTGACGTCGAAAGATTGTTTTGCAAGGCTCGCGGACACATGCAGTGCCCGTGTGTGCGTCGGTGCGAGCAATCAGCGCTGCCAGGATCGGAGTGTAGTTGCATGTCTTCCGCGCTGGATGACCTGGCCATGTTGCACAACAGTGGTATCACATGCCCAAACGGTCTTGTATAGCCATTCGTTTGCGTCATCCAGCGCCCTAGACTGTTATTACATGTATATGCTGATACACAGGATAGACGCTCTCCCTCCTATACAGTAGTACCTCTAGTCGCCGAGAGTATGATTGCCAAGTGCTGGAGGGGCAGAAATCAAGGGCCACTTTACTAGGCATACCTCCTTTCTAAGGCTATCTCCGGTTAGTGACCACGTAGGAGGTAGTCGACAGAGCTTAATTCAGCTTCAAGATCCATTTGTATACCGAGGTGGGCTAGCTATGAACAGCTCCCCCAAAAGTACAGAACTATATACCCCAAGACATTGCAGTAGTCTCGCACGTCGGTTAATGTAATGCAAACTCAGGAGATAGTAGCCATCACCCCGCGCTACAAAGGGGTCCAGAGTAACCAAAATCTGCGTTGTCACCACAGACCATATATGAAAGTGCAGCAGCTTGTCTCGAATTATATATACCTTATGTAGGTAGTTCTAGCGCAGTCGTAGAGTGTGGTCAGGCGAGGTAGCGTAAGGTAGTATAGAACATGTGCCACACCATCCCTTCAGATTGACATCCTTTTGGTCCTTTGGATACCAAGGTTTTTATATCGTAACACATGTAGGTACGTGTACTTCCTTCTTCGCCATATCACGCGGCAACGCAATGATCTATGGATAGACTCGGTTGTCACCTGTTGACGGAGGACATGGAACGTTCGCGAACAGCTAAGTACCGACGTATACACAGAGAGAGAGAGAGAGAGAGAGAGAGAGTATCATGTCCCTCAAACACACTCTCTTCACCTTCGATTTCCAGTACTGACCTGGAGATTCCTATTCAACTCTATTAAGTCTGCTCATCAAATGGCCATCAATTGCGTTAATCCGAAACCCGACCCTCACGATCCGGAGAGACGGGATGTGCTGGCACATGAACATCCATACCTTACCTTACCTCCTAGGAACCTTGCACTTTTCCAACACCCTTTCCACTTTCACAACTCCCGACCTGAACCTCTCTCTCTCTCTTTCTCTCTCTCTCTCTCATCAGTCGACCATCATTCACCTGTCTGTACCAGGGCGGCCGCGTCTCGTGTCAGCTCCAACTCCGAGAAGTATCATATGCTGTCAGGCCAGGGCTCAAACTTCAGAGACATCGCCATCCGGACCACCCTTGCACCATAATATCAACTCAGCTCAACTCAACCGAGGGCCTGAGGCATGTCATTTGACTGATCCTCTCACTCGCTCACTCTCACTCTCGCCCACACACACACACTCTCTCTCTCTCCCGGGGTCCAGCTGCCAAGATGGCCATATCATCTCTTTCGATGCCGTCAACTTCGTGCAATGAGCAGTACCGCACTCAGGCCTGAGACGGAGTGTGGACATTGGCATACTCATAGTCTCATACTGACTGCCATTGATGACACCTGCTCCTGGCCTGGCTACCGACCAACCCGACAACCTCAGGCAACGGAACCTTCGCGGATCGCCCGGTAGCGCTGACGGTGTGAGCCTGTGAGGTACAGTATGTGTGTGTGCACATACTCCACCAAGATAACCACTTTCTGCTCAGGATGATGGATGACCACTGAGATCGGGCATGGAGGTAATGTAGTATTAGACAATTACCTTGCCTCCTTGCCTCCTAGGAGGTAGACTGCTGAGTTGCATCTTCCGGTTCCGACTTACGAGAGCACAGGCCCGGCAATTGTTCTTTTTGCAACTGCCGAAGTCTCCAAGGCCTGCTGCAAGATCCCATGAACACGTGAACCTTTTGTGAACTTCGGCACTTCACAATTCCCTACATACACTCTCCAGGAGGCGCAACAGACACTCTCAACATGTTCGCCATCATCAAGGATCCCGCCCTGAAGCGTCGGGGATGGCGCGGATGCTGTTGGCTCTACTTATAATAGTTTGCAATTGCCATCTGCCGGTGCGCATACTACCCGTCAAGCATTCGGGCCCAGGCCAACCATATAGGTATAAAAGGTAAGCCATACACATATTCGTGTCATCTTCCTTTCCAAGAGACTCTCCGCGAATTCAACATGCTCGCAACCGAAGTGCTCAGTCTCCTCTTGGCCCATTGGGTCTTGGTCCTCCTCTCTGGCCTTGCTGTCTTCCTCATTCGGAATAAATACTACAACGGCCTGCACAAGTATCCCGGCCCATGGCTGGCAGCCTACACTAACTGGTGGCGATATTTCGACGTTCGAGCAGGTCACCCGGAGAAGACACATATTGCACTGCATCGGAAACATGGCGACATTGTGCGATTGGGACCCAATGTGTTGTCTTTTGCAGACCCTCGAGTGATCAAGACCATCTATGGCCTGAACAAAGGCATGACCAAGTCAGACTTCTGTACGCATCTTCTCCGCTCCCCCGTGTATGACTATAACAGTGCGCTAATGTTTCTTTTGCTAGATCCTATTCAACAGGCAGTGGCAAAGGGAGAACGACTGCAGTCACTGTTCAGCACACAAGATGAAGATTACCACGCCAAGTATCGCCGCTGCGTCAACAACGCCTTTTCCATGTCGAGCATGGTGGGCTACGAGCCACTGGTGGACTCTACGATGAATGCCTTTATTGAACAAACTCGCAAACGATATGCCGACTCGGGCCGCAGCTGCCGATTCTCGAAATGGGTGCAATTCTTCGCATTCGATGTCGTCGGAGAGCTGACATGGAGTAAGCGCCTGGGCTTCGTGGAGCGCGATGAGGACGTGGACGGAATCGTTGCATTTGTGGGCGCTTTCCTCGCATACGCTGCCCCCGTGGGCCAGGTGCCCTTTATCGATCTGATCTGGGAGAAGAATCCGCTCCGACTCAAGCTGCAGAAATGGGGAGTCTACAAAAAAGTCTTCGCCGTGACGAAATTTGCGCTGGAACAGTCTGCAGACCGAGCAGCAGAAATGGAAAAGATCAAGCAGAATGGCCTGGTGGACGAGCAATCTGGCCGGCCCGTGGACCTTTTGATGAAATTCACCCAAGCCCAGCACGACCACCCACAATTCATGACCGACAAACAAGTTCTTTCCTCTTGCACGAGTATGATCTTCGCCGGATCGGAAACCACGGCCATCAGCTTGAGCAGCGTCTTCTACCACCTCATCAAACATCCCCGTGTCTACCACAAACTCATGAAGGAGCTCGACGAAGCCGCACAGAACGGCATCATCGCCGAACGCGAATACGCCAAAGTCAGCTGGTCCGAAGCCCAAAAACTCCCCTATCTCGACGCCGTCATCCAAGAATCCTTCCGCATGCACCCTGCACCGGGCCTCCTCCTCGAACGCGTCGTCCCACCCCAAGGCATGGAAATCTCCGGCGAACACATCCCAGGAGGCACCATCGTCGGCTGCAACCCCTGGGTCGTACACCGCCGCCCCGAAGTCTTTGGCGAAGACGTCGATACCTTCCGCCCGGAGCGATGGATCGAAGCCTCCACGAATCAACTCAAAGAAATGAAAGGTACCATGTTGCAATTTGGTTCGGGAGCGAGAACGTGTATTGGGAAAAATATTTCTCTCCTCGAAATGTATAAGCTCGTTCCGACATTTTTGCGGAATTTTGAGGTTTCCATGGCGGAGAAGGATGGCGAGTGGAGTACGAAGAATGCGTGGTTTGTGACGCAGGAGTTTCACACGAAAATTCGACCGAGGACGACGACGACGATTGCTGCGCAGAGTGGATGATGTTTAGATACCTAGGCAGGGCGGCAACTTTTTTTTACGTTGTTTGTGATAAAGAAGAAGAAGATCAAGAAGAGACTAGACTGTTGTATTTTAGCCTTTTTCTTATCATAATTCTTTTTTTTTTCTCGCCTGATGATGACACTTGTGCTGAGCGTTTTTCGTTTTCGTTTGTAAGTTTTGTTGCCCTTGCCATTTCTTCGAAGATCGCTACAAAGAGATATATATATAGAGAGAGAGAGAGCGCATGTGGTAGACAAGAGTCATACAACCGCTGGCCTCAAATTCCCAGAACAGGATGACATAGGATAGATAGACAATGGAGGTTAAAATGCCACGACATCTCGAGCTTTGGAACCTTCGAGACTCTATAAGAGATATATCTTACACATCATGCGCCCTCTCCGCCCCCTCTCTGCTCTGTGGTAAATCCCATTCTTCCCTACGTGACACCAGAAACCGTCAAGAGTTCAGGTTGCCTCCGATATCGACATTTGGAACTTTCGCATAAACACTTCTTGTTGAGGTTCTGAAACAACCAAAAAGAAGATCAGTCAGTCGTTGGAGTCCATCACATCGTATCAAGGCGGGGATTGTTGTTGTTGTTGAAAGAAGAGCAAAAAAAACTAACCTTCCAATAAGTATCCGAATAATCGACGGTAATTTCTTCACCTGCTTCGACGCCTTTGCTGACGAGGACGATTCTTTGCTTGCCGAGCCATACGAAGCGTTCGAATTGGCTGTTGGGTGCGCAGGAATGGTTTACAAATCGTGTGTAGTTGCCGGATTTCCCTTGCCAGATTTGGTAGACTGCGCGGTCGGTTTGGCCTATCATGACATCCTTGTTTTCCACTCCTGGGAGAAGTTTTTGATGTTAGTGAGGGTTTCTTTTTCTTCTTCTTTCGGTAAAGGCGATGTAGTCTAATCCCTCTCTCTCTCTCTTTCTGCGTCAAAACGTACCCGAGGTAATCTCGCCAATGAATTCGCCAATGGCAGCACCTTGCTCAAAAGCACAGCATGCGAGCAGTCCATTATTCTTGCCGTTGGGAGTTCGATACACCTGAACTGGTATTGATCGAGCTTTCGTGCCGTAGTAATTCGGGAAGCACATGCAGTTATTCTGGCGAGAATCGTCCGACTGCTTTTCGCCACAGCTCTGACATTCGTAGGCTGCAGGATCTGTCAAAGGCGTGACGGTGCGAGGATCGTACATGCCCCACGCGTCTTCGTCGATTAGTGACTCGTCAAGATGAGTATAAGTAAAGCTTTTATCCTATGACACCGTTAGTACACAGGCCACATGGACCTTTCTCGTCGTGAGAGTCTCATGATGGGTGGGCTGTGTCCATAAGACTCACCCATTTCTGATATGTGACGGGAAGTGGAATGGCTTCGTCGCCAGGCCCGCAGACTACCCAGTCGTGAGGGTGGCCTTCATACTTGCGTTCGAGGGGTTCACCCACGATAGCCAGCAATTGTCGCCAGCGCGGATGCAGGCAGTCTGCTGCAACTTCGAATCGATGGCGTAAGGATCGCAAGGTCTGGTAGGTCTCTTCAGTGAAAGAGACTCGATATTTACAGAAGCGATAGAGTCCCATGCCGGAGAAGATCAGGGCAGCCCAGCCACCGCAGCTCTTGATGTCGTGGTAGCCACGCCAGATGGCCATTTTGTTGCGCAGTTCCTTCTCCGTCCACCCAAAATCGACGCATGCTTCTTTCAAACATGCCTTCTTGGCTTTCTCACTGGTCATGGAGCTGCTGAGGTGGGCCACGCGTTCATCGAAAGACTGTGTCCATTGGGCTTGGACAAGAACCTCGAGAGAACGATATGTCCTGCTTACCTGACTGACCATACGGGTCAGAAGGTTCATCTTGCCAAACACCGTCCGCACTGTGTCGTCTCGGCCGGACACGGCATTCACTCCGACATCGAGCAGTGCACCACTCTGTCCAGGCTCGATGGCGTGCCATTGCCGAATCACCTCTGCTGGATCCAGCGGAGTGGCAGCATAGATAGAGTCCCAGATACCGTGGATGAGTTTGTCCAGACTCGAAGGTTGCAGATTGGGATTCTCTGGGAGTAGTCGTTTCTTACGTTGCGGGAAAATTCTGACATCGCTTTCCAGTCGTCTGATGACCGCACTCGAAGGACTACTGCTGTCTGGAATTTGTGGTCCAGACTCGCCTTCGCCTTGCCCGATGCGTAGATCACAAGTCGCACGACGCTTCGATGCTCTGTCGGCGCCCTCGTTCAGAGTAGCGGCATCTCTTGGCCTAGCATCTCTACTTCCACTTCTGCTCAACGTCGTCGTCGTCGTCGCCGCCGTGGTAGACGGCGTACCAACGTCGGTAATGTCCGTGATATCGACTGCCGCGAGACGCACCGTATGCTGTTGGTCCTGCTGGCCGCTCAGCAGACTGCACTCGAACTGCAGTGGACCGCTGCTGAGGTTCTGCTCAGTCAGCAGTTGGCGGAGAATGTTGGGCAGTTCCTCTGTGATCCGCGCCCCGATGTCACGAGCGAGCGACTGGACATCGGAGTCGGTCATGGGCGGAGGAACAGCCATCCCAGAGACAGGAGTCGGGGCCACAAGGAGTACATGAAGTCATATACAGACATTGTGTTATGCCGCTGGTAGTTACTAGGGGGGGAGGAGAGGGGGGCCCACGCCACCTTGCCTGCTAAATCTGGTCCGCACGTGTGGTTGGGCTTGGCACATGTGAAGATAAGACTCCCGTCTTCCACCGCCACAGTCAGGGCCAAGGGTCAAAAGGCGAAAAGGGGAGCCCCTAACTACCTCCTAGGCCCCGGCCGACGGGGGGAAGCAAAAGGAAGATCGACGATGGGGTGCGCACACACTTCACCCACGCAAGTCTGTCCCTTGCGCAGTCGGCATTGTTCTGTAGCTCGAGCACAGCAGCAGCACTGGAATGCGCATGTGATGATAGTCAAGCACACCATCCCATTATCCCCGCCCCTCGTTGCAGGCCGCGAGCAACCGAGTGCCGACAGTACACAAGTGAAATGATTTACTCTGGACACTGCTCGGGCCCGAAAGTGGTCCCCTCTTGAAGGAATCCATGGTTGAGTGCATGAGGGGGGAGGGGGAATGGGGGAGGGGGGTGGCTCGGGGTTCAAGACGGATTCACAGGGAAGTGCTCCTGAAGTGAAGAAGAAGAAGAAGAAGACGACGGCACAGCCTCTGCCCAGAGTGTCAGACTGATTAGACGTGGTTGTATTTGTTCCTGCATAATCGGGGACGGACCGTCAGGCAAGTAACCGCCAGTCTTGCACTATCTGAGCAGAGAATATGGGTGGTCCAGAGTCCCTCAATATATCACTCCCTCCAAGTCAACTCCACTCGAGACACATGCCACCACACCATCCTACTGGTCGGTCCCTCCCTCCCTTGCGTGAGTACACCGGCGTCAAGACGTCCCGGCCGCTATCTTGGGACCCGCGATATTGCAAGAATACGCTAATCCGCGCTGATGTCTATGAGATGAACACCCACTAAGCCGTACTCCTCAGCGATGAAGGTGCGCAGACGCGATGGTCTTGTCGAGCTCAACCAACCCCCATTTAGCTTGCTGCAGCGGCGGGACTGTCCCAAGGAATTCACTATCAAGGCTGGTGGCCACCTTTCAGCTGGTGCCCCGAACACTTCTTAATAGAGGTGGTTGCCGCTCCCCTGGTTCAATTTGAAAGAAAAAAAGTGATACATCACATTTATCACACTTTGCGTTGATCCTTATATATCCCTCTCGCCACGATCTTGGCAACCATGAGCTGGGCCTATGAGTCTTACGAGGCAGTCAACGACTACAGATGGATGACCTGGCCTGATCAAGTCATCAATGACCACAATTATAACAGCCATAACAATGAATATCAGCACCAGCACCAGCACCTGTTTGGGCACACGAATTCCGAACAGGCGCCTGGCTACTTTGCAGCCAATCACTACGCATCGTACCGGTCCCTTCATCACTATCCTGCCCTAGATTCTGGACACATGAGGTCTAGCTTCAGCTCCGCTTCAACATCTCCCACTTCATCGTCAGGGAATAGCACGTACTCTGCACCGCCTGCTTGGCACTCGGGAGATCCAGCCTGCATGATATACCAGTCGGGGACCCCCAGCCCAGTAGATTGCTCTTCTCATGCAGCGTGGATGGAATCTCCGACTGCTGTTGATGAGCACGAAACTCTCACTTCGGACGACACACCACTTGCCCACGATTTCGCAGCACACCTTCCAGCTGATTTGGATTTCAAACTGACGCTGGAAAGCTGTACATCGAGAGCAGATCCCTCACACGACGACGAAGATCCCGACCTGCCCAAGCCTCGTCGCCAAGATCCCCGCTGGGATGGCGACGAGTACGCTGCAAGATGGGTCCGTGGCGAAGGCATTGCGCGCACAGGATTCTGTGGAATCTGCTCAACCTGGTACGTACCTCCTTCTACACAGCAACTTGTCCAATCCATTTCCCAAAATACTCATACTAACACCTCACGTTTTTTTCTGTCTTTTTGTACCCTCCAGGCACAAGCTCAAAGACTCCGCCTATTGGTACCACATGCACTACACACACGGCATCAGCTGCGCAACAGGAAAATTCTTCTCTGCTCCACGAGCCGGACGAAGTGCTCAGGGCGTAGTCGGCTACGATGCCCTCTGCAGCAACTGCGACCAATGGGTCTATGTCGGCCGTCTGGACCGCTGGCACACTCCTTACTTTCGCCATGCATACAAATGCCAGACCAGCAGCAGCAATCGGCCTCGTGTCTCCTCCCGATCATCTCGAAGTAGTGCCAATAAGAGCTCTTTTAATAGACCGGGCAACGCCGCCCTTAGGACATTGAGATCGCTATGACGAGAAAGAGAGAAAGAGGTCGAAAAGGAACTTTTTCATCTGCCTTTCTTGGAGATTCATCAAGCTTTTCCTTTGTGGGAATCCTATCCGAGCTGTTTTGCAAAGCGTTGATATCCTGAACGTGCTGCCTTTTTGGGGGGATGGGGGAACAAGGGTTGTTTGTACGGTACGAATGTTGAAGTTTGGTGCGAATCGAATGTTGAAGTTAGGAACGAATGTTGAAGTCTGGTGCGAATCGAATGTTGAAGTTTGGTGCGAATCAAATGTCGAAGTCTGGTGCGAATCGAATGTCGAAGTTTAGTGCGAATCGAATATTGAAGTTTTTTTAGTGGCCACCCCGGGGGGGGAAATATCTGTTGCTGTACTTTTTTCCTTTGTTTGGCCCACCACGACTTGAATGAGTTTTCGGTCCTCAGGTACCTACCTACCTACCTACCTACACAGTATTAATCAATCAATAAATCAATCAATCCATCCATTCATCTGTCCATTCATCTTCTTACCTACTTGAAACAGAGAACAAAAAGGACTTGATACTACCACTACCACCACCACCGAAGTAGTAGTTAGTAATACCTACCCCCTACTAACTACCACTCCAAAAGTCTCTTCACGTAGACACAAAAGGTCATTCTTACCTTTACTACCGGACATTTGCGTAAAAGATTGTTTTTGTCAGTTCTCTCTCTCTTTTCCTCCTCTCTCCCCCCCCCCTCTCGCCCACTTCTACCAAGAAGAAGAAGAAGAAGAAGAAGAAGAAGAAGAAGGAGAAGAAGAGGATTACACAAATAGTGCATTTCCCGCCTTCCTTCCTTATTATGACCATATACTACCATGGACTCACCTCCGGCGGCCAGGGCCCGAAACAGCTCTTACGTTTCAACGGGTTTGTTGGGGGTGCGTGGCAGCAGATTATCAACATCAGCTCAGCAACTGCTGTAGCTACCTAGGTCTTAAAATCGCATCCGTGGATTCATCTCCAAAGGTACATGTACGTACGTCTGAATAGAGCCCAGATATTTCAGACTAAGAGGAGCGCAATCACAGAAAACGTAAAAGACAAAACACCAGAATGATCGATACGGTTTGCAGGAAATCCTGGTGCTGTCTGCGCTACTTCCTCCCAGAGTGCGTACAAGAACGGGGCATACCTGGCTCATCCACTTGGCCACGGTCACCGAGGCCATTCTTAACCCATACAAATCGTACACTTCACCACTCCCCATCGCCTCTGTACGAAGCCTGTCAACTTATCCTGCCCTCTCCTTTAGTCTGGTGAAAAGTGTTTCCGCCTCGTTCAGTAATGCCGTGCACGCTGTCGCCATTCATTCCCGCAAGCAACTCTCCGGACTCGGCATATTGGGCAAGCCGGATTCACCTAATTCTTGGACCGAAGTCGTCCGTGGGCGATTTGCTTATCGTCTGCCAAACCTGCTACAGCATGCGTCAGTAGTGTCCGTGCAAGTATTGAGCAGAATACAATGGCTTACTTTTGCTTCTTCTCCGCAGGCTTCAAAATCTGGAACGAGCACAGCAGGGACTCGTCCACACTCATCATGGCGCCTGCATTGTCGAACTCGCCACAGTAGTTGGGCGCAGAGAATAGCGTCACCAGCTGGCGCTTCGAAAAGAATTCGTAGCCATCCTCAACGACCTGATGTGCGCGGCATATGAGATCCATGTCGTGTTTTTGCAAGAAGCGAGACACGACATCCGGTCCGAAGGTGAATGACACGCCACGATCGTTCTCCGACCAACCAGTGATGTCCTTGTCGGGATCAGACCACAGCAGATCGCATAGCAGACCGCAATCCGGAATCTGTTCGAAAGTCAGTTTGAGGGGGTACTCGACACTCCATGATCCTGGCACATACATCTGTTGGACGCATGACCCGGCGAATCTGCTCCATCGAGTTGAGGTCAGGACTCAGGCCACCATGCATGGTGAAGATTTTCTCGTCAATAATGGCTGCAATTGGCAAGCAATTGAAGCAATCCGTAAATGTCTTCCACAGCTTGATGTTGTAGCGCCTCTTGCACTCATCGTAGAAGCCATAGATGCGGTTGATGGACGCGCACTCGTGGTTGCCGCGCAGGATGAAAAAGTTCTCCGGGTACTTGATCTTGTATGCGAGGAGCAGGCAGATGGTCTCGAGGGACTGCTTGCCACGATCGACGTAATCGCCGAGGAAGAGGTAATTGGCCTCTGGGGGGAAGCCGCCGTACTCGAACAGGCGCAGCAGATCGTAGTATTGTCCGTGGATGTCACCGCAAATCTGCCCAGTTGTCAGCTCATTCTCCTCTAGACCGCAGTGCCATGTCACCAACCTTTATGGGCGCTTCCAGCTCGAGCAGTATAGGTTGCGAGATGAAAATCTCACGGGCTTTGGTGCACAAATATCTGATTTCGGTTTCCAACAGCTGCACCTGCTTGCCCGGACGGCTACCACGCACTTCCAGAAGTCGGTCGATGATGGAGTCCAAGTCCACGTCGTTTTGATCTGCCATTGTGGGCAGTTGGTGTGAGAGGAGCGGATAACGTTGAGGCGGAGCCTGCTCTCAGCCAGTCGTATTCGAAGCTCGGCAGGAAGGCGCAAGTGGCAAAGAGAACTGGGGAGAAGTCATCAGCTGGAATCTTTACTGGGCAGTGACAATGAGCGCTGCCCATGGTAGCCTGCTTCTGCGCGCACCGCTGCCAGGAATGCCTCAATGCACGTGACTGAGCAAAATACTGGTACGCGTCGTCCAATGCCGCGACGTGTCATGTGTAGGCTGCTTCAAAAGTGTAGTGCGAGTCCAATACCCATCGTCGTCACCCCTACGGTCGCCCCTGCCGTCGCCGTCGCCGCCATGTTGCTGTGCACAAAAGAAGAGTAGGAAGAAGGCGCGCTTACCGAAAGTGAGATGATGAGCGCAAAGGCTCGGGAACAGCAGGGTCTCTACTCTGCTCTGGAGACGGCTTCCAATATCCTGTGATGCCGGCGAGCGCGTGCAGGTGGTTTCTTCACCTCTAAGAAGCCGTGTGGATGGCCCGGACGGCGCGACGATGACGCTGCTGCAAGGCCTGCGGGTTCGCGTGTTCTGCTGACGGAGCGCAGGAGTAGAGCACTTGTGACTGCGGGGCGGTGCACTGTGGCTGTGAGGTGCGGGCGCGTCGCGATGGTGTTGTTGGGCGGACGGATGGTGGAAGTTCGAAGGTGCTGAGGCGGAAAGGCAAGGCGTTGATGTTTTCACCGCTCGCTTGGTGATGGGCGGGGCGCTCGATGTCAGCCGTCAACAGAGGTGCCACAAGAGCAGCGAAGCAGAGTCGTCCGGGGACAGAGAGGCAGCGAGGTGTATAATGGCGTCGGGGGCAATGGGCGCGGATGGGAGTGGTGGTGGTGGTTGTGGTGGTGATGGTGGTTGAGAATAACTTCTTCGTTTCAAGCTGCCAGCGTCCTGAGGGGAGGTCCGTCAGTCCCTTGGTCTGTACTCGTTTGGCTTGGCGCTAGAAGGGAACCTCCAGGGATGGACTGCTGCCCAATAATAGGCAGAGACGCGTGTTTTCGTACCACCACTCACTCCCTCGCCCACCGTAACTCTCCACGCTGATGACAGACTACATGTACTTCAATGCAATCCATAGGAGGGCGCGCCACCAACAAGTGCTCGTCCTCTACCTGTATACGACACGACCATCCGAGAATGGCATCTCTGCCCTCTCTCTCTCTCTCTCTACCTTTTACGCTGCCAGCCCAGCAGCAGACTGAACGACTCCAGTACTCAACCCGTGCCTGGCCTGGCTGCGGCCGCTACTGCGCGACCCGCTCGAACCACCTACATACTTACACACTACCTGACCCTACCCACTCCACTGACCACGTCTAGAAGCAGTCTCGAGCTTCGACTCCATCCATCCCACTGCCACCATCTCTCCCCTCGCGGCGCAGATCCCCGTTGCAGCCTGCTGCCACCATTCGTCTGCGAGTGCGAGTGACAAAAGCGACCAGTGGGCAGCTGGGCCGCCTCCCGTCCACGAACAATGGATGGACGTAATAGTTCTGATTTCGATCATCCACTGAGCAGCCCAGGAGCACATCTCATCAGTTTCGTGTGTTGATCACAAGCATCTTACCAATCATACTTCATCACCATCATCATCGTCACCACCACCATCACCATCATCACCATCATCAAATTCAAGAGTAACGACAAGCTTGCCGTGCGCACTCAACTTGCACGGTCTGCCGTCGATTTGCTGCTACGTACAGCCCGCTTCTTCCCACCTTGACGAGATCGGATGCACGGATGCAGCTGGCGTCGAGCTTGATCTCCGGCAGCATGCGGTCATATAGTATATGATGTGATCCCGCAATGCCGTCGACTTCGCTGCATCTTGGTTGCTTGGATCGTGGAGAAACATTCGTGTGCTCCGCGAGAATTCATTCATTATTCCACAGTACGGTACCTAATATCTTCAACAGATAGCCAGCAAACGCTCATCTCCCAAACGCCTCGCTATGGATGCATTCCAATCATACCACACAAGCACACAACTCGTCTCTATGTGCCTCTCCATGAGACACGCACGCTTCATCATCTACACAATCAGCAAGAAATGCCGCCCGAATGCAGGGACCCAATTTTTGCCGCAGAAATCCACTCCAAACCATTTTTCAAAAAAATAAACAGTAAAAAGAAAATAAACTGCATCATGAAAATGCGGCCTGTGAACATGCAAAATGTGCATCAGGGCTAGAATGTTGTGCAAGACACGCACGCTGCCGAGTGAAGATGGTTCAAAAACGCCGTCGCAGTGCAAAATTGATGTCAAAACAGGTCGTTGCAAACATGCTTTCGTCTTGCTCAGCCAAGCGTCCTGCCGCCGACACTGACACCTCTGCCAAGATCCGGTCGTGCTGGCGACGTTCGAGACGCTGGGCTGAAACTTCGATTCCTCATGCGGTCTTCGGTCAGCTTGTTCTCGTTGAAAGCGGACAGCCAATTGGGTCCAAAGTCATGCTTCAGTGCTTCCACCTTTTGACGGTACATTTCTGAGGACGGATCGAGCCCTTCTGGCGATCGCATGGGAGAGTGATCATCGTCAGACCAATCTCTGATTATCGGGGGCGGAGTTGGTGTCGTGAAGCCAGTGTCAAGCTTCGGCCGGACAGGGACTTTCATTTGAGGCAATTGTGTCGAGGGTGCAGTACGATACGGTGTCGCTTCTGGAGTTGACGGCTGATCACTCTCAGTGGTTGGAGTGTGTGGCATGGGAGGCAACTCCGTCAGGTCTGGAGGCTCGGCGGACACCGAGTCAGATTTCGATGGCGACTGCGGCTCGACACGCGCGGCCTCCAAAACCCTCCGACGTGGGGTTTTCTTTCTCCGCACCGTGGACGGAGGCCCCATGTCCGACCGAGACCGGCGGTGGCCCAAGTTGGCTGGAGGCTCTGGTATGGGTTCAAGTCCAGCATTGATAGGCACATCTACCACAGAGTGTAGCGGAGGCACCTCGTCCTCTTCCGGCGGAGGTTTGATGATTTGTTTGTTTGCCGGTTCAGGCGCACGATCAACAAGGTACTTCTTCTCATGGTACAAAGGTGCCATGGTGTCGATTGTCACATCCTGCGCATAGCCCGGCGCCAATCTGAACAGATTGAAGATAGTGATCCGATAACTGCTGTGAGTCCTCGTGAACGGATTCTTGATGACATACAAGTCTACGATATCTGGTATGTTGGTCAAGCGTGCCAATTCTGAAGGATCATGTAAGCGGTTATCGCGAAGGTCCACCCTCTCTAATGATAGCAGGCGCTCGATTCCAGCGAGGGAGAGCAACCTGTTCGATCGAAGATTGAGCGTGGTGATTGCTGGCAGTGGGTTTCTGGAAAGCGATCCCAGACTGTCAATCATACAGTGGCTCAGATTGAGCGCACGCAGGTGAGTGAGGCTTGCTAATGCTTCTGGAACTTCCGAGAACAGGTTGCCGGACAGGTCCAACGACTGCAACGTACTCGCTACCGGAGCGAGACTGCTGACGGTCAAATGTGTAAGTGAATTGTCAGCCAAACTCAGATGTCGCAGGAAGCGCCATTTGGACGATGGCAATATACCCATAGCTAACAGGTCGGAGGAGCTATGGCGCGGCGTCATCTCGTGTTGAGATGAGCCTGAGCTGCCTGAGTTTCTGCGCATGTTCGCAGTGCCTGGCCGCGTTGATCGAGGCTTGTTCATTGAAGTATGCCTCGAGGTCGCTGGCCGTGGGGGAGAGTTGCTCGGCGGCCTCGTTCCTGCAGCCTTGTTGCCTTCAGAAGAGCCGCCTCGGTCCAGTGCCAGGGCAGGACCAAGAGAAGGCCTCCGGCCAAACGTGAAAGGGGGAGTCGGCTGTGATACAGATGTGCCAAGCTCTGAGTAACGCTTCGGACTGGCTGAGAACCACGATTGCCCAGATGTCGATGGGGTGGTAGGTACCTGCGTCTTGGAAGACCGCTTGCGCCTCTTCTCGATATCGTCCAACACAATGTCTCGTAGCAGCTCTATGGGATCTTCCAGCATGGCATTCTTCACGGTAAGGCTTCGCACCTGTTCCGACAGTCTGTCCCAGCCATAGAACGATCTAAAGTCGAGATCACAGATTTCAAGAGAACTCACGTTCTTGAATACAAACAATGGCACAGCTGTGTCGAAGGGGAACTCCTCGTACCCAGCAATAGGGCGAGCTTTGTGATCTGGCGACAGCCGCAAGGCTGGGATTTTAGTGAAGCACGAGTACAAGTACTTGAGATCATCACGATGTTGCGCCTTCATTTTCTGCTCTTTTGCAGCGGCGTTATGCCCTGTGATGGTTGACCATACGGACGACATGCTTGACATGACACTCCGCACGCTCGACACCGACCTGAGTGAGTCCGCATCTGACTGCTTCCCCCGCAGCCTCGGCGGATGATTGAGAAACGACATGTAGCTCGAAGCTGGGGCGTCCATGTGTAGGTTTTCTAATCGTATTGACATGGCGCCAGGATCGATGTTCAGCTCCGACTCGAATATACTCAGCAGATAGTACAGGTGGTGGGGGGTGAGGACGAGCTTCGCGGGTTTGGGGTTGGTAGAGGTCGAGAAGGGGAGATACGAAGGGCGCGCCAGCGATTCGGACAGTGTCATTGTGTTTGAAGGTCCTGCGGAGGTCTGTGGACGCTCGACGGGGACCTGGTCCTTGCCATGCTTCGTCTTTTGGCGCTGCAACTGCAGCGCGTTCGCCAGTGCTCTTTCATGCGTTCGAACGAAGTATGCTAAGTTCTGTGTGGAGAGCTGTCAGTGAGGCCGTGCTTGGCGATAGGTATCATGCAAGGCGCCCGGCGTGCAAACATGGCTGTAGCGACGTACTCTTACGAAGAGCTGCCCATCCTCCGAGTCCATCGTTGTGCGTAGGTTTCATGGGCGGCGAAGAGCAACGAACCGACAACCAGAGTAGTAGGCGACGGCGACGACGGCGGCGGAGATGGTGCAAGCCGTGAGATATGCAGTCTGCCGAGTGGTGGTGGTTGCCGTATGACACGGTGCCTGCAGGCCGTGGTTCTCAGACAATTCGAGACCGCGCGCGCAACAGTACACGACGGCACAGGTGCAGCGCTGGTTATTGTTATTGTGCGAGACGACCAGATGCCTGCGCAGAGATCAGTACCAAGCAGTCGTTCCCCGTGCCGTGGTGCACCTGATAAGACGGCTGGAGGCAGGCCCCGTAGGCCCACGACCGCTGCGCAGCGCTGCGGTGCGGTGCGCTGCTGGTAGTGGAGGGTAGTCTCACCTTGGATGAGCGCCGAGCCAGAGTCACTTGATCATGGATGTGGACGAAGCAGTGCGCACGTCAGCCGCCAAATAGCGCCCAAAAAGACAAACAACACCACACCCGCGACCCTCTCTGCTGGATGCTGTTCTGCTTCTGCACTCAAAGCAAAGGCAGAGGCGCCTCCGAAGCAGCGAACAGTGGTAGAAACTCTATGGGATCAAGTGGCCGGGATGTGTCGCCGGCGTGATCGGTAGGCCACCCACTAGGCCCAATATTTTCCGGCCCTCATTCGCCAGGCTCGCCAGCTGCATGAAATCATCTTTGGCCAGCCGCTAAGCGCTTTGAGCTAGTCGGCCTCGTCGATGGGCTTCTCTGTGCTACCCCTCCGAACGTCCTCTCCGCCAGCCGGGTCTTCAACGAATGCAGCTCGCCAGAGTGAGCGGTGAAGGCGGAGGAGAGGCGACGGACATTCATTAAGCCTTAAGTTACTAGGTAAGTAATCATCATGGCTGGCGTTTGGCTTTGGTATTGTTGTCAATGTTGTGAGAGCATCGCGAGGCGCTCGCGACCCAACCGCCAAAGTCCCTGTCTGCCCCGCCGTGTATCATAGGTCTATGCGCCTAAGGAGATTACGACTGCGCTAGAGGCTGGTCGCGTTGTAGCGATGCTACGCCGCCAACGGTATGGACGTCCGTCCATTTAATTCTTCTCTAGACGCGACCCTCGAGGCGTCGCTAACAGCGGCCCACGAGCAGCGACATGATACTGTACATCCTGCCATGATATGCCACCAATGCACCATTCCGTCCGTAGTGTCTCCCGCCCGCGCACGACCATTCTCGTTATTCATGCAAGTGCAGGCAGCGGAACCCAGACATGCTGCCAGACCGTGCCTGTGCGCGCACGTGTGGCGTCAATCTATGAGCATATAGGTCATGCAGCTTACCGAGAAGATCTCCAGCTAGGGAGGTAGAGCAACATCATGATCACCCCACGTCCGTGTCTTAAGTAATGCACACCAGCAGAGGAATGCATAACAACCACGACCCTACCTTAGGTACCTACGAGAGGACTGTCTCAACCACCAGCATGTCTTCCACTTCCTCTTCGACTGCCGTGCAACATTACCTACCTTACTCACTGTTACAGCTGCCAGCGGCAGCACGAACTGTGCCTGACTGCCCGTCTCATAGCAGCCACGTCCAACGCCATTGCGTGAAAGCGTTACCTCCACCTAGGAGGTCTGGATGGAGATAGGTCCAGGTAGGTAGATTTGGAACGGTACAGTACATGGATCCAGGTTCATGCGGGCACCACCCACCACCCACCACCACCCACCATCGTCACGTCTATACACACCCATTGAAGCCTCGAGCCAATCCGCGCTCTACCAGCGCTCTTGGTTGTACTCCTAGACCGGCCGAAACACAGCAGATCTCCCGCGAGAGCTTCGTGATAATTCTACTGCGGCAGCCGCGCCCAGAAACCAATCAATGCTCCACGAGTCTGGCTTCATCTCTTGGTGTTGCACGGAAAGCCGCATTCTAGCACACCGCTGAAATCGCACTTCATTGGCAACTCTCACCAATCCTACCATACATCTGTTCTCAGAGGGCCCGCCACATGGAAGTTGTTTCTGGATGCTGCCGACATTATTTGCGCGTGTCGCCGTCGCGTACATCGCACTCATGACTGGATGACCCCGCTGTCGTGATCGGGGTATGTGCTAGATCTATTCGTACTGCACAGTGCTTCGATTATCCGAATCTTATCTCTGGCCATATAGTCGCAATGTTTAGCCGTATAGACCCCGGATACGAGATCATTGTGTACCGTATCGGCTTTGACTCTCTTGGCGGCGAGTTGTGGCTTGCTTCACCGAGTACCTTAAAAGGAAAGAACAACAACATCACGCCCAGCAGAGAGCGAAAAGAATCAATATACCTCATGACCAGCATCTATGCGCTCGCTTGTCGTACATTGAGGGTGGATTGGCAGACGTATCCTCAGCAGCACATACTAGTACTGCAGGCCTCGCCGCGCATGCGCTACATGCTCCATCCATGAAAAATCTTTGGTGAGTGTGTCAGGTGGTACACGAGCGAGCTCCGATATTTTCCTCGCCATTGTCCGGCATGATCGTGGTATGTTCAGACAATCGCTGATGACCACAGTCCACAGCGTAGACGGTCGGTTACTGAGTACATGTACCTTAGCTCATGAGTCAGTGGTGTTAGCAATCGTCTAGATACAGGTGGAGGTAGGTCAGAACAACACTTTCATGAACGAAGCATCTCGCATTCTCCGTGTCTCGATTTTGTATTTTCTTTTTCCGGCACTTGGTCTACAAGCAACAAGTGGCACTGCAAGCCTGAACTCAGCTTTGCTGAAGTATACTTGCTGTCAGGTCAACCCTGCAATGAGATGGAATGGACCGTCGAGCTGTGATATCGAAAAGTACAGTACGTTGTTGGTGAAGTACCTGTACCTACGGTAGGTACAGGTAGGTACATGTATGTGAGAAACGGGACTACATCATCTACATCACAGTACATCTATCTGACCTAAGTAAACTTTGGCTTGCGTGAGACCGGGGACTCATTATTCCATCTCAGTTGTGTAGGGCCGGAGCATTTCTGACGCCACCTGAAACTAATGTCTAGTAGAACCCCAGCTTCACCACGGCCAAGCGCGTCTGCCATTTAGAACCAGTCGTTCGCACGGCAGAGAGATCCGAACTTTCTTAATAATAACATTGGAAGACTCATCGGTAGGCCACGAGAGCGTGCCGGCAGGGGCGTTCATGTTTCCCTTGGCGCCCATCCCGTGGTAGAGTGAGAGCTGTAGGTTAAACCACGCGCGCGCCCGCGACGCGTTGAGCTGGCCGACCGAGGGGCCGCATGAGGAACAACAACAACAAAACAATAACAATAACAATAACAACGACCGACCCGCGTGTAAAACCATCCCTGGAAACAGTACCTGCAGTTGATAGTCGCTAATTAGGCTGCCAGCTATTGTGCTGCAGGAGCTGCTGTCGCGTTTCTGAGTGAATCCGAGTCCATGGTGAATGAGGTGGTATCTCTGATCAAAGTGAAAGTAGGGGATGGCGCACGAGAATAGACTAGTGCTCTGAAGCCAATCACCACATCAACCACGCCAAACCTCCCTCCAACACCTCACATCACAAATCACCACCACCACCGTCGCATTCGTAAAGGCGAGCCATCGCCACCGCCATTCATTCAGGATTGTGCTATCGGGCCATGTACAGCATCCCATCGTGGTCATTGCAGGTGGTGGATTTGGTGGCGCGACAGGAATAAGGGCCCCAGGGCGACCACTGCATCAACACAATACCGAAAGCGACTCGAGCCCACGCAAGGCGACCATCCGCAATCACAGCCCGTGCGACGTCGCAATACTTATCGCTATATCGAGGGCACGAGCCGACACACTCTTTCCTGCCCGATCACTCGCTTTACTTTACTCCACCCGTCGCATGCGCCATGGACCACCCACACGCAGACCTCGAGCAGCTGGCGCAAGACGACGCTCAGACGCCAGCTCCACTATCGCCGCCGCGGAGTAAGACACCTCCTACAATCACGGGGAAGCGGGCACATAGCGACGATCAGATACCGACCGCGACCAATGCCCACCGCAATGGCAGTGAGCCTGTCAGCGCGCTTGCGCTCAACAAGGCACTGGCAGACATTGAGCGCGCAGGACAGCGGAGAGTTAGCACTCCCGCGGCCAGTCCTAGTCGGAAACGACAAAAGGTCCAGGCTAGCGACCGTTTCATACCAAACCGAGCTGGCCAAGATCTATCCGCGAGCTACAGTCTGTTGCACGAAGATGGTTCGCCTGCCACACCCTCAAGGCAGCGCAAGAAGACACCAGGCGACATGCAATTCCACAAGGTAGATGCCAACAAAACATACCACCAGGTGCTGCGATCCGAAATGTTCGACGATGAGATACCACAGATGCTGAGTGATCGCACTGGCTCGAGGGGACAGACTCCGCCCATAGGTGCTGGTGGCGTGAGCTCTGTACTTGGCGGCAATAACCTCACACCGTCCACACCGAGTAAGAATCTGTTCTCGTACGGGCCACAGCCGCAGGTGTCGCTTACTCCACGATCGATATCCCGGAGCGAGCGCGGGCCAAATGTTAATGCCAGGTCTGAGATATACAGTCTATCACCGGTCAAACACTCGTCTCAAACGATGCTGCTGTCCCCTCGCAAAACACCGCGTCAAGTCAGTAAGGTTCCCTACAAGGTGCTGGACGCGCCGGAGCTTGCGGACGACTTCTACCTCAATCTTGTGGATTGGGGGTCAAATGATATTCTGGCGGTTGGACTGGGCGCTTCGGTATATCTCTGGAGCCGGGAAAGTGGTAAAGTCACTACTCTGTGCTGTTTGGAGGGTGATGTCGTGACGAGCGTCAGCTGGATACAACGTGGCACGCATCTCGCCATTGGAACTTCTAAGGGTCTTCTTCATATTTGGGATACGCTGGCGCAGAAGCGATTGCGCACCATGACTGGGCACTCTTCGCGCATCAGCAGCCTGGCTTGGAATGCTCACATTCTGTCGACAGGCTCCAGAGACCGATCAATCTTGCATCGAGACGTGAGGTTATCGAATCAATACCTTCGTCGCCTCTCCGGGCACAAGCAAGAAGTATGCGGCTTGAAATGGAACTCGGAGACAGAACAATTAGCATCTGGTGGCAATGACAACAAAATCTTCATTTGGGACAAGATGGAGGAACGATGGCAGCATCGTTGGGGTGAGCAAGAGGGTGGACACAAGGCTGCGGTCAAAGCCATTGCATGGAACCCCCATCAACGTGGCGTTTTGGCATCGGGAGGCGGGACTGCTGACCGATGTATCAAATTCTGGAACACCATCTCAGCAGCACAGACTTCAACGACACGATCCCTTCCTATCGAGCAGACCAGTCTCGGGTTTGGATTATCGACATCTCCCATTCCAGAGCCAGAAGTGTCGCCCCAGATAACGAATCCCCACTTGATCAGCTCGCACGATACCGGAAGTCAGGTGTGCAATCTGCTCTTCTCACAACGCACCTCGGAGCTTGTGTCTACGCACGGCTACTCCCAGCATGCTATCAACATTTGGAAGTACCCAAGCATGAATCAAGTGGTCAGCCTCACAGGCCACACGTACCGCGTTTTGTACCTCAGCATGAGCCCCGATGGCGCTATCATCGTCACAGGCGCAGGCGATGAAACATTACGCTTTTGGGATGTGTTCTCCAAGCCCAAGGGTGAAGCCAAGCGTGGTATCGTCGGCGAATGGGGAATCATTCGCTAGCCTGAGGCACCGCGAACAGATCTTCGCAGGGGCATGGGAGGAATCGTCCGAAGTCCGGGAATGAGCTGAGGACGCCGACGTGCAACTGACTGGTCATCCCGTCATTGTCGAGACGTGACTACTACGCGAACGACTGCTAAGGAAGTCTTTGCGAAGTCAAGGGAACTTTGGCTTTGGCCAGTCCACTGAGATGATGACGTTTACGGGGTTGTGCCACAACGTTGTAGTAGTGAGCATCTTGGGATTGGAGTTTGAGCGACTGCGATTGGAGCACTTTTTTCACGACCAGTTTATGACGAGTACTTGTTTTTTTGTTTTTACTACGGAGGAGGCACGAGCGATGTAGCTCTGCTACCTTGGGCATTTTGAATGAGCTTCAGGAACAGATTTGGAGATGGCTGGACGACGACGGCAGCATCTAGCTAGATCTTGTGGCTGAAATAGGTAGTGCACCTAGGTCCCAGTTCCCAGGTCCAGGTCCAGCGTATCTCATGAGCGTAATATCATACCAGGGCACTTTCGCTCTCCGTCTTTCATGTGCTCGTCACATACATGTACTCTTGGCTGCGACATCGCAGTAAAAAGTAGAAGTGGATCCCACCACATCAGCGCACCCCCACCATCCACCACCTGGCACTATCTTCAACTGTTTGCATTTGACCAGTACCTACACCCGCATTCGAGCAAGCAAGCCAGCCAGCCACCTCAAATGGCTCCTCCGAAATACCTCACGGGCGACAAAGCCGGTATCGAGTCATTCATTGACCAATTCGATGTACGATCATATCTAATCCCACTCTCTCCCCATCTTTTTATTTCCCCCGAACAGAGCAAAAAAAAAGAAAAAGAAACCCTTTCACACAGCCAGAGCTGTCCGCGTAGAAGAGCGATAGCGATGGCGACGGTGACAGCGACAAGCGGCTGATATTCACATTTTTCTTTTCTTTTTGCGCCCCCCAAACAGACATTCCTCTTTGACTGCGACGGCGTCCTCTGGTCCGGCGACCACCTATACCCGAAAGTCCCCGAGACGATAGCCCTCCTACGACAAAAGCAGAAACAATTAATTTTCGTCACCAACAACTCGACCAAGTCGCGGGCCGATTACAAGAAGAAGTTCGACAAATTGGGTATTGAAGCGTATGAAGAGGAAGTCTTTGGATCGTCGTATAGTGCTGCAGTGTATATTGCTCGCATCATGAAATTGGCCGCTCCGAAGAATAAAGTCTTTGTATTGGGAGAGAGTGGGATCGAACAAGAATTGCGGGCGGAAGGTGTGCCGTATATTGGGGGTACAGATGAGAACTTGCGAAGGGAGATGACCGAGGAAGATTTCTCACGAATCACGAGTGGAGAGGCGTTGGATGAAAATGTGGCAGTGGTGTTGTCTGGGTTGGATTATCATCCGTCGTATTTGAAGTATGCCTTGGGATTTGCCTATGTGCGGAAGAATGGAGCGCATTTTTTGGCGACGAATATTGATTCCACGTTGCCGCATTCGGGATCGTTGTTTCCTGGCGCGGGGAGTATGGTTGCGCCGCTTGCTACTGCGACGGGAAAGGAGCCTTTGGCTTTGGGGAAGCCGAGTCAGGCTATGATGGATGCTGTGGAAGGCAAGTTCAAGTTCGATAGGAAGAGGACCTGCATGGTTGGGGACAGACTGAATACGGATATTCAGTTTGGAATTGAAGGAGGATTGGGAGGTACCCTTGCTGTGTTGACAGGAGTCACTCAGAAGGAAGACCTGTTGGCAGAAGGGGCGACTGTGGTGCCGAGTGCATACGTCGATCAGCTGGGTGATTTGATGGGATGAACGCGGTCATGAGAAACGTGTACTGTAGGTACTGTGAGAATAGAATCTATAGAGATAAACCAGGCCTCCGAACAGGCACTCCACATGGTAGTTGAGCAATCACGAATTTCCCAGCCGTTGAAGAAGAATTCGCAGACATTGTACTTTAGGACAGTCGCCCCAGTGCCAACAGATGGCCGGCATAGCTGACATATTGATATATCCAGACATTTGCGCATTCACACTTGCATCCGCAATGATCGCTATTGACCTAGAGACGAGGTGAGTGAGCATGCATAGGGAAGACGTCCTCAGATCACTAATGACCTGACAGGTGATAGACCGGTGCTGTGCACTATGGCGAGTGATTCAATTGCCGCTGGCGATTCCTTGGGGTATATCTAGATTTGCTTCGAATTACTCCCGACATTCATTGGCACGACAAAAGCTTTTTCCAACGTTCCACTCCTTCGTGCATCCTCCCATTCGTCTTTATAGCTTTTGTCTTTTCCTCGCCGGCGAAGCGGCTTCGTTTCTGCCCACAGAAAGAATGCCATCAGCAGTCTCTTCCAGCTAGCTGCATGAGAGAGAGAGATCTCACTCACGCAAGCAAGTATTTGGCCGCATGCTCCACATGATCGTCTGCGAATGAGCTGATGAAGAAGTACGAATGGTCGTATCCCTCCCGGTAGTTTACAGTCACTTTCTTGCCTGCAGCCTTTGCAGCCTTTTCGAGATTTTCTGGTAGCAGTTGTCCTTGCTTGTAGAAATTGTCTCCAGTTCCAACATCGATCAAGATATCTGTTTCGCCGGAGAACTTGCCAATGAGTTCCGTGGCGTCGTGTTCAGCCCACTTTTGCTTCTGATCTTCGCCAAAGTATCCACCAAAGGCTTTCTTGCCCCAGTCGCAGTTCGATGGGTTGCTGATGGGCGCGAAGGCAGAGACGGATTTGTACTGTCCTGGGTTCTTGAGGAAGAGTGTGAGAGCTCCGTGGCCGCCCATGCTGTGTCCAAAAATCGATACTCGCGATCCGTCTAGTTCTTTGAAGCTTGAGAAAAGCTGTTCGGGGAGCTCTTTGGTAATGTAGCTGTACATTTTGTAGCCCTTGCTATATGGGTCTTTCGTTGCATCCACATAGAAACCTGCACCGCTCCCGAAGTCGTAGGAGTCGTCCTCGCCCGCATGGCCGAGACCTCGAGGAGATGTGTCTGGGTACACGATCGCAATGCCCTTTTCAGCGGCCTTGTGTTGGAAGAAGCCTTTTTCGGCGCCGTTGTCGCCTGTGCATGTGAGACCAGCGAGGTAGAAGAGGACAGGTACTGGCTTCGATGTACTGGCCTGAGGGGGCAGGTAGAGGTTGAGTTTTGCTTCGGTGGTGAGGACTGGGGACTACTCTCCCAGTCAACAAGCATGGTCTGATGGTGCAATGGGAAGTAAAGCTACCTTGTGCTGCAACTTGAGCAGCTTGCCGCCGAAGCTGTTGATGGTGGCCGTGGTGTCGAACGACATGGTGGTGATGGTGCGCTGGGTCAGTCTGAGCGAGGCGGTGTGCTTGGTGAAGGGAGAGAACGAGAAAGAAGTTGCACAGAGGATTCGCCAATGGATGCCAGACATGTGGGAGGGCAGGCGGAAGAATAGGTAAAGGATGACGGAAAGGCCAAGGGACCAGCGGGGTAAGCGGCTGGATTGCGGGCTGGGCTGGATGCCCGCGGCGTGGAAAGCATGTCAGCAGAAGCTTCGAGTACTGTACGTACATATGAGTTGATGAGTGGGGCAATGGTGTAGTAGTGTACTGGCTGAAGCAAATGCCGAAATTCTGTTCGAGTCTGATCTTCCTCTCGCCTCGTCAGTGCCCTTGCTGGTTACCCTTCTCATGTCTTGGTGACTTCAACACTCTTCCCTTATCCTGGGACTAATCATCTCGATCCTCGTTGGAGGCTTGTTCGTCTCCATTCTCCTTGCAGCACCACATTTGAATGCTTCCACGCCTCGATCTGTTTCTTCTGTACCGTGCGATTGTGTGGCATGTGAGTGCATCGTCCGCCGCGTGATACATCTCATGCGGGAGACGCCAGATTGCGACAACGGATGCCCTTCTGCCAGAAGGTGACTCTGATAGCCTCCGAAGTCCGCGTCTCGCTGTCTTTGAATAGCGGTCATTCTAGACCTGCATCTTTCCCAGGTCCTAGCTGTGTAAGTAAACCTAGTACTTATAGCAACTCCTCACAGGTCCAGTCCTCGTAGTAGCCATCTGGTAAATATCGGCGCACCACCAGCGGGATCTTCTTTTCGCGCAGTTCCTTGAGCGCAATCTGCAGAGGGTCTGTTTCGGATTCAACGTCGACAAGTACTGGGGCGCCCATGCTAGAGAGCAGTCAGTATGATCACCTATATATGCCTCCCAGACGGGTCTTGCTCACCTGATCTGCAAAGCTCTCGTGCCCAGTACCCTTGCGCGCTCATATTTGGTCATATATGGCGTGGTCGTCCTCTTGTCCGTTGCAATCTTCTTGCTCCTGACACTCTTGACTGAATTTACTCCACCGTGGTCTCCACTTGCGACAATATTGTGCTGATTTGCGTCCTGGTAGTCGGTACTATTCAAGTTGGTGCCAGTCTGCGCGTTGTTCTCTGGGTCCACGTCCATGTCCTGACCTGATCGCCATCAGCCTTTCCTTCTCCGAAGACTTTGATGCACTTTTGATAGGGTGTGTCGGAGCACCATTCGTTGCGCGCTACACGTACCATTGTCGTAACCTTCGGCGAATTCTTCCTCCTCGATCAAGTTGTCCGCAAAGTCCCTATTGACAGCCTGATGTTAGCCCGCCATTTTCCTGTTCGTGATGAAGCAAGGCTCGCGTACTCGTGGTCGCCGAGGTCTCGCATATCATCGTCGCCGCCGCCATAGTCGGACATGATTGCAGTCGAGGTCGGGAGGTCGGATCGGGGGTTGCTTGTGATCGGCGTTGGAGTTGGAGATGTTGTGGTGAGCGTAAATTTGGATGTTGCTGTGGATGTCAATACCTTGATGTCGATGCGCAAGTATGTAGTTCTGCTAGCCACAATTCAAAACTTTGAGTTGGACCCTTTCCGCGCCTCCGCACTTTATCTCTCGCCTCCTCTCCTCTCTACTCCCGCCCTGGAATTTTTATCTTACATGCACCACACCATCGCCTCTGCGGTCTATTGCAATCAACCATGATGAGCATGGCATCCAGTCCGGTAGGCAAACGCAAACGGGCTGGCCCCATCGAGACCGTGCTAGGCGAGCTATACGTCGACACGACTCCGCGCAAGAAGCGAGCCCGCTTTGACGCCAACGCCTACGCGAACGAGCACGGCGAGGACGACCCCGACCACGATACCGAGTCGTACGCGGGCAGCTATACCGCGTACGCCAACAGCATCAATACCACTCATACCATCAACGAGACCGAGACACCGGTGACAGACGCCTCGAGCACCCGCAGCAAGACCAAGCCGCGCGAGAAGAAGTACGCTTGCACATGGCCCGACTGCGTGAAGAAGTACGCCCGTCCCGTGCAGCTGCAGGCCCACATCAACTCGCACACCGGCGCGCGGCCCTACAAGTGCATCGAGGATGGCTGCGATAAGGAATTCAGCAAGCGCGAGCATCTTACCCGCCACCTCAAAGACAAGCACGGGAGCAACACCTTCACCTGCCTGCACTTAATCTTCAACTCCAATAGGGGCATACAGGAGGAGTGTGGCAGGTCCTTCCCCTCGCAGACGAAGCTCAAACGCCATCTGGCCGCGCACGAGGACAAGGAGGATACGACGTGCAGCTGGGACGGCTGCGGCAAGGTTTTCCGCAAGCAGGACACGCTTCAACGACACATCAAGGCCGACCACCTGGGCGAAGATGCCTATCTGTGCACCATCAAGACGGTGGATGGGCACCGATGTGGCAAGTCCTTCTCCACTCCGAGCCAACTTCGGAGCCACGAAAGGAAGGAACATGAGGAGCCCAAGTACATCTGCGATATTTGTGTCAATACTGGTGCGCCGCCACCTGTGGAATTCATCGTCAATGATCTCGATGATGAGTTCCTGCCCGGACCAGAAGACACGCTCGCGCTCGACGAAGAACCGGATCATGGCATGATGGACACGCTCTCCTTGGAAGAGAAGTCTGCGACTGCACCAGGTCCAGGTCGCTTCATCACACTGCACGAACTGCAGCGCCACAACAAATTGTTCCATCCACCGACTTGTCATGAGTGCCGCAAAGTATGCAGGTCGCAGAAAGAGTTGGTCGCGCACATGGATATTGTGCACTCGGATGCACCAAAGCCTTCGCCCGCGAAACGCTTTGTCTGCCCTTACGATGGCTGCGACCGGTCGACGATTGAGAACGGGTTCGCCAAGAAGGGAAACATGCAACAGCACGTCAAGAGTACCCACGCCAAGCACCAGAAGTTCGTCTGCGGCGAATTCGACACTACCGGCATCGACAAGCTGAATGGGTGGACACGCATTGGTTGTGGCAGAGTGATGAATACCAAGGGCAGCCTCATTGGACATATCAGAACTCAACACATGGGTCTTCCCGCGCTCGTCGGCAAGCGTACTGGATTGCTAGATAAGGACAGGAAATATCACATCTCCAAGAGACCAAGTGCAGCTGGAGGGGTCATTTCTGGTGAAGAGCACAACAACCATGATGTCGATATGGGAGGTGATCCTGCTTCGGCCAGAATGTTGTCGTTCATTACTGGATATGGCTACGACCAGGTTCGACCCTTTGCCTGCTTGGAAAAGTCTAAAGGCTGTCAAGGCCGTTTCACCAAGGTTTACGAACTGGCATATCATATGGAAATGACGCATGATTGGAACGTCGACGACATCAACGATGCCATTGAGGATCCCGACACGTTTGCCCCGGATTGTGGTCACGGGAAGGAAGATGATCTGGCACTCAGGCAGATGCTGGAGACTGAGCTTGGGCGCTCTCAATCTTCTCAACAGAACATGGCAGAGCCTTTTCTGCAGGCGATGCAAAACTAGGAGGTACTGCTTGAGCACTCTCTGCGTAGGCTAGTGCGAGACTGAATAGGTGCACAGGGTTGAAGTAATATGGAGGTGACGCGCATGGAGTTGGATGTTAGGCTGTTTTTCCGTTTGAGATACCCATTTGATAGCTATGCATTATGATACCCTCTGCTTCCTTGAAGATTCTGACTCCTGAGCCTTGGTTCTGGGATATCATTCGCAACGCCTGACTAAGCAGCCGCTTTTCTCGTAGGAAAGTTGAACCCATCCGAACTTGCGCATATAACGTGGCTGACACAATCTCCGATCCTCAAAACATATTAACAGCGATGATGGCAGCTGATACTCTGCCTCTAGACGTCCTGGAAGGGCAACTAGACACTTTTGAACTTTTGAACGCCATGTATCCAGACACAAGCGAAGAACGACCGAACGACGACAGTCAAGCAATTGTAGCAAGCCTAAGGCAGTGGCTCGAAAACAAGACACCCTCTCTGGACACGCCAAAACTACCAGACAGTCTTTCCTTGATAGTCATATTAGACATCGTCGATGAAGACTCCGCGATAGCACACCAGTCTCTCCCAGTGAATGTGACACTACCATTAAGAAAATTACGAGAAGAAGGAAAAGCCGCCACAGTCGTGCCAGGAGAATTTCCCCTCTATAAGATCCGAGTATCAAAACCCGACTGGCTGACCAAAGGAGAAACGGCACTTCTCACGCAAGACATGCCTCAAGACGACATCGTCTCTGCTCTAGAATCCATCACGAACCGAGCGCAAGAAGCATCTCTCGCAACAGCTCTTCAACACAACACCACCACCACCACCACAACCGCTTCCCTCGCATCACCACTCATCCGCGTCTGGTTCTACTTCCCCTCCATCTCCACCCGCTCCAAACGCGACGACCTAATCCACTACGGCCCCACCTACCACCTAACCGGATTTCTCCTCGCCGGCAAACCCGGAATTCTCTGTCTCGAAGGCACTGCAAGCGACATAGATGCGTATATGAGATTTATTAAAACGGAATCGTGGGGAGATATTCCTTCGGGTCACAAGAAAGTTTCGGAAAAATGGAGGGAGGAGGGAGAGGATGTGAAGAGATGTTTTGAAGGGATGGAGGAGATTACGGAAGGGTATGGAATTGAGAGAAGGGGGATGAGGGGGAATAGGGGGGATATGTACGTTTTTCTTTTTCCTTTTTTTTTCTTTTTTTTCGCTTTTTCTCGACTTTTTCCTCGCCCGCTTGAACCTGGCTGGAAAAGGCGACTACGATAATGATAATCACATATACTTGAAAGAGAGAGGAGATTATGCTGACTTCTCCACCCCAATGATACATCTAGGCAAGCTGTGGAACTCTGGCTGAGTGAAAGGGGATTACAGGATGCGTTTGCCAAAGTGTTGATGTAATCTCATATTGCTTCCGCCTTGCACTACGCTGGTTGGTCTCAGGGATGACGTTCAGCGAACCACAACAATCAGGGCAAGCAAGCAAGGATACTGTAAGACGATATACGGGAAAGAAAAAGACTCGTCCTCCGGGGAAGGGATGTTCGTCGAGAGGAGAGAGGGAGAGCGAGTACGAGAAGAATGGATTAACAGATAATCCGAAAAATCTCTATAAATATTGATCTTCGTATATTTATCCCAACCAAGCATCAAGGCGGTCCCCCAGCGGCGTGTACTTTCATGTAGCACAGCAGTAGATAGTGTCGGCATCGGCATCGGCATCGGCCTCATATTCGGCATCAGGGCAATACGGCTTTCACCCCCAAAACGAGCCCGCCCGTCCGCCCGCCCGTGTTGCCCCTTCCCATTTCCCCCAAAAAGACCCTGGAAAGAACCTACGGATCGACTATCATTGGTTGTGGCTCATCATCATACTAATGGATGGCTGCGTGGGAGTGATCCCGAAGTCAATGCCGGCCGGGATCAACGCTGGTTGAGAACGACGAGGCACACATTTTACCAGGTCTCCGATTGGCAGTGAAGTCGAGACATCCACAGTTCGTGGAGCCAAATGGGCGGACTCCTCTCTACGGATGGGACGAATCATGCAGGCGGTGTGGCGCTGAGCAGTCTACATTTGGCGAAAGCGTGGGAATCATCACGATACACCTCTCTGATTACACACTATTCTGTAGATAGGTTCGTCAAACAAGAAAAGTACTGGAAGTATCTTACTGAAACACATCACGCGAGCCCAGCTCACTGCGTTGTGTTGTTGGTATTGTTGTTGTTGTTGTTGTTGCTCTTGAACCAGCCTCCCGCCGTAGCACCGTAAATTATAATGATGAGGACGATCACAAGGATGATGGCCACTGGAAACACAGTCAGCGTGAGCCGTGGGAGTGGTGCGACACATGTACTCACCAACAATGCCAAGACAGATCCACTTCTTCTTGCGCGCCGCACGAGCACTGCTTACTCCTTTATCCAGGTGTACATTGCCAGCTTCAATGTGATTGTAGGTCTCCTCGGCCTTGACCTCGATATCCTGAACAGCAACATCCTGCTGGACGACAATTGCATCCAGGTCTTGGAACAGCTGCTGTAACTCGATCATGGTTCGCTCAATCTGCTGAATGGCGTCGTGTCGTTGCTGTACATTGCGCAGCGTACTCTGTGACTGCCCTCTACGATCGGACTGCATAAGTGCCTGCTGGAAGATCTGTGTGTCACCGCCGGACTCGGTAGCCTCACGGATCTCGCTCTCTGTCGCATCAGGGCGCACGATGAGAAACTGCCTGCGCTGCTGTTCCTGCACCTCTTTTCGGAAGGCAGCCTCGGTCTGTTGATATGATTGAATCGCCTTTCGTATCCTCCTATCGAGCGCTTCGACTTGGGGCTTGTTTCGCGGGTTTCCGGCATCTGGCTGGCCCTTGATGCGCTTCACGCGATCTGCCAATCCACGATATCCAGACATGATGTCGGCGCTGAGAGCATCAACATCCTTATTCGAGACGCCGGCGCTCGACACAAAAGTGCGCTGGAGCCTTTGCAGCTCTTGCAATCGACTCTCAAGATCGTCAATGGCCCTGCCCACCGCACGACAGTCGTTCAAGATCTGATTTGGATCGCGGCGCGGTTCTGGGGTGGAGGAGTAGGGAGCGCCATTGTGGGTCAGGGGCTGCATCTCGACACCACCCCCATAGGCTGGAGGGGGGTTGCCATAGCTGCCGTCGGTGTCATAAGGGTTGGAAGAGCCATAGCCACTGCCACCGTAGGAAGTGGTGTTATTGTACTGTTGGGCCATGATCAGCGGATGCGTCTGCCTCAGCGCTCCATGGCAGTGGTGTGGTGTATATCAATGGGAAGGGAGGGAGGGGTAGATGGGCGCAAGACAACGACGCCTGGCCTTGATCATACGATGCCGGCGTGCGGCGGTGAAGTCACTCACAGCCATGATGCTGGTTAAGCTGGCGCCTGACTCCTGAGATGCGTTGTGCGGAGACCTGCTCCGGCCAATTCGACGCGTTGGGTGTTGCCGCCGCCGCCGCTGCTGCTAACTTCGATTGCGATATGGAGTATGTCGTGTGTGATGCTCGGGAAGCGGATGCCGAGTGGAAGACAGGAGACGAAGAAAGTCGAGCAGAGGGGTGGGTGAAGGGTGGTGGAAGCCAAGGGACAGGAGCATCTAAAACACAGCAGGAGCATTATGTAAGAAAGAGAAACAGCAGGACGGGAGCGCCGAGGCGCACGGGTAGTGCGCGCCTGGTGAAACCTTACTGTATTCTGGGTATTAAACTTTGCCGCTACCGACGAGAATAGCAGGTGCACTTTCTGCACAGCCTTCGGGGCCAACTTCTCGCCTGCTTGTGCCTGCCTTATACAAGTAGGAGGTACGTTGCCATCGCAGACACATCACCTCACAGCCATCTTGCTGTCGTGTCGTACGTACTTCTGCTCCGTCCCCAGCCTCGTCGTGTGCTGGCGTGAATTGCCACTCAACGTCTGATGATTTTTTCACCGTTTCTGGGGCCGGAATGCATCCTCGCCTTCTGGGAGCAGCTTACTCCATGCTGCTCGTGTCTATCCCAGCACACATGCTCCCACGCGTCGTATCAAGAGGACGATGAGGAGCGAGTTGTCTTTGAAGCAGCATCTGTCTCGACGGACTTGGGCAGAGACAAAGACATGCCACGCCGTAGGTCCGTCGCAAATAGTGACTGTTTTCAGACCGACAAAGAAATGTTCCGTATACCAACCGCATTTCCAACCATGTCTAGTCTGCTGAGCCTGCAACGTAGGGAATATTTTCAAGTCGTAAGCTAACTGTCAATACCATGGCTGCAAACACACGCCAGTCGTCTCTCAGAACTACCGCCAGCGCCGGCATCGAGAAGCCACGATCCTCGCGAGGTCGTCCAACCACCCGCGAGACCAATCCTGGAGCGCGGCCTCGTACAACTCGTGGCAGAGGTCGAGGAAGAGGCCCAAATCGAGCACCAGCCTCTGATCAGCGCGCTCAACTAGCGAAACAAGCCCTTCAATCCGGACTCCAGGCTGAAGCGAACCCTTCTCGCCCGCAGCAAGATGCTGCGCCAGTGGAAACACGAAAACAAGTAGCTCGCATCTCCAACGGGCCGTGGAAATCTACGCCATTATCGTTATATTTCGTGCAGCGTGGCCAACTGGAGAACTCGCCGGACGCGGAGACGATAGCATTGAATTTGATTGATTTTCTGCTCAGCGAAAGCAACTGGGACCCTCGCCTCAGGATGAACATCCTTGCTGCGAGCTGCTTCTTCTTCGCATGCTCGTTGACTGGACTTAGCAACCAGGCCAGCGACATTGCGAGGAGTTTCGAAGCGGATCTCGATAGTAATGCAAACGCGTGGATGGCATATTTGGTGGCGCGGAACGTTCAAGTCGCAGATGTTGCCACTATGAGGACCAGATTGCGGCTGACGGCTTCGGATGTCGAGGGAGGGTATGCAATACTGTGAGTACTTCTTTCTATTCCTGCTATTGTGCTAAACTCTGATCTGATGTAACTGACCGCACGTGTAGATGGAACATGAGAAACGCTTTTCGGGAGATTCTCGGAGACTATGCTGAGACGTTAGAAACGTTGTCGAAGCCAAGAGGGTACTCGGTGTTGTTATTAGAATGTAGCGAGGCTGGGCAGGAGAAAGAGCAGGAGGAGAAGCAAAATGAAGAAGCTGCAGCTTCAAGTTCCGAATCTTCTACCGAGGTGCATGAGACAGCTGCAGAGGAGCAGCTACCTCCGAAGGTAGAGCTTGTAGAATTGGACGATTTCGAGACTTCGATAGAAGACTACGAAAGCTGAGCCGCTGATCGTGCTGGGTTGGTGGCATAGCTTTAGCACATAATCTGTATTATAAAATATGCTCTCAGATCCTCTGCTTTCAGCCAAACAGAAGAGCGTTCATCGCTACCTGCTGAAAACGTCCTTCGCTCGTTCCATACCTAGGTAGGTCTACAAAATCATCTTCGCAGTAGTGCCATCGCACACAAATCCAATCGGATGGACGACATTACTACATTGGTATTCAGTCGCTGGCGCTCCCGTATCAGCCAGAGTCATCTCCACATTCGTAATATTGATATCGTGACAGGGAGCCGCCGCCGAGCACTGAATGTCCACAGCTTGCAAACGCTTCTGGGTGCCTCGGATGTTGTGCCAGCGCAAGTCGCTGATTTCGAATGTACTGGTATCACAGTCTCCTGTCCCTCCCTCGAAGTTGACGCACTGCGTGATATCCAGTGCGAGTTCAGCGTCGTGGAGCGTCCAGTTGTCGAAGGTGATGCCTTTAATATATCCGAGACCGCCTCCGCCTAGCAAAAGTCATACATAAGTCTCTGATATACAACGTACACAACTTCTGCTTACCGCCGTTCGGGGGAAACCCCTTCTGGACGCCTGTCCAGGTCTTGATATAACCGCCTTGTCGGATCGGCCCATGCATCTCAATGTTTCGTGCAGTTACGTTTTCGATGAACTCGTACTGATCTTTGAATTGTCCGATAGACCCCAGGGCAATGCCGCTGCCGTGGTAGAAGGTGCAATCTTCGATCCATATGTTTGTGCTGTTGGCCTTTTGTGATATGTTGTCATCTCCGCAATCCACAGTCCACCTTGCAAAGGTGATATTGTTGGAGTAGATGGTGTCAGCGCCATCCGTGTTCAGTGGCCCAAACTGGTCGCCACCTTTCAGATTAGTCGAGTTGATGTAGATGTCCTGGAGCAGAACGTTATTGCTGTTGATCAGCGTCATGGTCCACATTCTGATCAACTTGTCAGTGAGTGCGACTCCAAGCTCTGGATTCCACTGACTGGCTTTGCACAAAGCGCATGTTCTCGATGACCGAATTTGTCAACCCGCCAAATGTTATCTGATGTGGACGACGAGGGTAATTTGATGCTCCATTTGTGAAGTCATACCAAGCCTGACCATTGCCATCGAATGTCCCGAAGCCGTTGCCATGCAGATAGATATTGTCGCCACCTAGATTGTCAGCTGCTGCTCAGGCATGAGGCCCGATACACTGACCAAGATACCATGCAGTCGACTGATTCTGATAATGGATTGCTAAGGAGTTCTGAAGCCAATACTGGATATCGGTGCCCCAGAGCAGTGTGCCACGGATGTCTATATCTACATTGGCCAAGCCAATGGTGGTCATGACGGACTCAATGTGGTATGTGACATTATCAAAAATGATGTTGCCGTTGTGTCCACACCGCTCGAAAGCAGACAGTATTGCGGGAGTAGAATCACCTCCATTCTCTGCCGGCTGAATGTGACAGATCTTCGTGCGGGTCTCCGGACCCGGGATCGAGAATGGCGCGCCTGGGTAGTATGATGGTGTATCGAAAACCGTACGGTTTGGCGTTATAGTCGACGAGGCTAGGACTGCCTGCGTCCATGGCCAGGCTACCATGATAACGGCTACTTATGTGTATTGGAAAGCGACAGATTCTGCTGTCACCGATCTATCGCAGTGATGCTGCCTCGCGCGATGTCTGATGAATGCACATGTAAAGGTGTCGGAGGAGGCATATAAAGAGCGGGAGGGGCGGGTAGAGGATGCCGCCAAGCATGGAGGTGAATGGTAGAACTGGACTAGGGGGGCACAAGGATATAAATACAATTGTTGACGACATCGGACATCATCGAAACAGGACGTCTCCCGCTGAGTTCCTTACATGTGATACAGTCCAATAATGGGGGGTTTAAAGAACAGAAAGAACACTCAAGGGCTGTCGTCTACTACCATACATACCTACATGTACACTCATATGTCCTTTGAGCGTCTCCCGCACCAGTAAGTGAAAGTCATGGAACATCACCGCCCACATCCAGGCGCCGCTTTCGAAGGGTACTACAGCAAGTTCGATCTGCCATCAGGAGCACATGTGGCCTTGATTCTGTGTGAAGTCCGAAATGCCAGGCAGAAGCCCAATATGCTGTCCTTTACCTACGTCCCAAAGGACGACCCGGCCGGATACTACCAGAGGGAGGTTTTCACCGAAGACATGAAGCAGGAACCCAGCTTGGAGGACAAGGGATTCAGGATCGACGTGCCTGGCATTGGCCATGTCCGGTGGTTCGAGGATCATACCGAGTAGTAGGTTACAAATTGGTTATCACATTATCAGAGAAGATCTGACTATTGCTTCTAGTGATATCCAACATACTGACTTCACCTTGAAAGCCAAGACCACTTCTCGGACTCCCTGGGGCTCTAATGATACACCCGAGGGCTTGTTGGTCAACCTGCCATTGCCGCTCCATTGGTAAGTAGAAAGGAAACACCAGTTGTCGAATTCCAGACTCATCCCCACCAAAATACTGAGCTCGACGAAGTAATTTGTCGAGACACGTCTACAGTCTCGAGAGATATCGGCTCATTCTCAACCTGTCACATCTAGGCATGTACACTCGCTGGCTTCTGGATGCGACTACTCAATGACCATCTCAGATTACAATCTCCCCGCTGAAGACACCTCAGGCCAAGCGATAGTGCACGATGAGAAGAACTGGGCCACATCATTCCCATCCGCCCACATGTGGCTTCAAGCTCGGGATGGCGACTCAAGCTTCTGCTGTGCAGGAGGTCAAATTCTCGGAATGGAAGCTTTCCTCCTCGGCTACCGCAGCAAAGACATGAATCTCGACTTCAAACCTCCCTTCGCCCTGCGCCTGGCGGGTCTGTCGCCATTCCTGAGCTATCGTGAGAGTTGGGATGATCGAACATTCGAATTGACCGTGCAGAATTTCACGCAAAAGCTGGTGGTCAAGGCTTCCGCGCCGCGACAGACGTTCTTCTCGTTGACATCACCTTTCCCCGAGGGCCATCGAGAAAATTACCTGGGGCAGAGCTTCAACGCGACGTTCGAGGTCAAGATTTACGAAAGTGGATGGTTTAGTCCGTGGAAACTGGTTCGCGAAGACACGTTCTCCCATGCAAGTTTGGAGTTTGGCGGAGGCTATTATCCTCATGCTGGGAGCAAGGATCGATTCCATTGATTGCTATCTCTCTCTCTGTGTGTACACGCAAACTTCTGAAGCTAACCTCATGTACAATACCACTACCGAGCGTTTCTGATACTGGCCTCTACTCAGATGATCTTTCCCGGTATTGACTTGGCCAGCACGGGCTTCGACACATCTCACCTGCGGGTCTCACGCTCGCCGATGGCAGTGTGATGTGGAGTCAAATTGGCAGACATGGGCGCATCATCCCCATCAGGCCTATTCCAATCCAATACATGCCCATGTCGCACATCCCTCGCTTCCGATTTGGTGCTTCCACGTCCCAGAACAGGCGAGTCCTGGCCCTGGGAAGGGCTGAGGCCGGGCGACTGATTACGCAGGATATCAGCATGGACATATTTGATGAAGGAAAAACTTGAACGTCAGAGCAGACTTCATCCAAAGGTACTCACCCTCGCTTCCAATTCAACCATATTCTCCACAAACATGCTCGTTCTAGAGCCACCACCGCCGCCACTTTTCGGAACAGCAGACCTTGGTCCGATAGGCGTGCCATCCAGCATTTGAGGCAGTCTCAACACACCAGCTTTTGCAGCTCCAACATCTTGCGCTCGGGCACCCGGTTCAACCGCATATGACGGTCGCGGTGGATAGATTCGCTCGGCTGTGCGTCCGGTGCCGAAGGGATCAGCACTCTTCTTCGTGTGGTTCAAATCGATGGGACGCTGCGAGAAACCTAAAAAAAGCAGAAAAAATGAGAAAACATACCCAAATCTGTCAGACCCAATTATGATGATGATAATCTTCTTCTTCGCCATCGCGATAGATACTTCGCTTGCGAGTGTGGTACGCACCTTCGTAAACTCCATTTGCAGTGCTGCTGCTCGATCGAAGATGTTGTCCTCCTCCTCCCCCTCCTCCTCCTGTCGTATTCTGATGAAAGCCATCATAGTACTGCCGAGGAGGCACAATTTCAATCTGACGACGCTCTTCGCGTCGCGCATCGACTTTTTTCCTATGTCGGCGGACGAAGAATGCTATCAAACCGAGCAGGACAACGAGAGCTACAACTCCGCCGACTACTCCACCGGCAATGGCACCGATATTGTTTGACTTGGAAGGAGTGGATGTGCTGCTGCTGGTTGCGACTGCAGAGGGGTCGACTTTGTAGCAAGTCACGTAGGAGCTGACCAGTGCCGTTTCGTCGTCGTTGGAAGATTGGACGTTTCTCAGATAGCAGATTCCGGAATCAGTGCCGACAAACGAGAAGCCGACGCAGTCGCCGCGAAAGGAACAAGATGCGAAGCATTGTCCATATCCACTGGAGGAGGAAAGCAGGGTTGATGGGTTAGCAAAGTGTGATCTGAAATTATGAATCTGATATCTTTTATTTTCAAGAAATTTCTGACGCTTACCCAGTAGTGACCTTGATCAGTTCATAGGCTGAAGCAGAGTTCGTGGTCGAGCACTTGATCAGGTATGATATTCCAGTGCTGTCTGTGAATTGGTCCAAGGAGGCGTCCGGACAGGTGGGAGGAGACGTCGCCAATGGCGCAGTGACGGTAGAGACCGGTGTCGATGCATTCGCTGTCGTCGTTCCTGTCAGGCTTGCTGAAGCAGTGGTCCCTGAGCTACTAGCATTCGTTGTAGTGGCAGATTCGGTCACCGTCTGCGTCACCGTGGCCACATTACTGCTGGAGGAGGTCCGAGGGATGCCGTTTTGTGTAGTGGTGAGTACGATTGTGCTGGTGGTCTTGCTCTCATACGTTCGGGTCGTAGCGAATGGCACTCCGACTTTTACAGCTACGGGCAAAGTTAGTGAACGGAAGCTAGTATAGGAGATACAGCATGGATACATGTCTGTCGTTTCTCTATCTCCTCTGATATCCCATCCGTCTGCTGTATATCAGACTGCTTCCAATCTGCGCCGAAGGCTGCCTGTAGCAGAGCCGATACTCTGCCTCCGCTTGCAGCCCTGCTTCTTCCTGGCAGGTTTTCCGACTGTGTCACGAGTGGCGACGAGGAGACTGATAATGCCGTCGTAGTGTTGAAGGCTCCTTTCAAGGCCCTGGCCACATCTGCGAGACTCGGGATGATCATCATGCGCTGTCAGGGGCCACTTCGTCCTGTATGTCAAGAGCTTTGCTAGAGTTGAGTGAGAACTGCGGTGCGAGACAATAGAGGAGAGCCATTTTCCGCTTCTGGTGATGTTTCCAGACAAAGCGAGCAGTTCATTGCAGTTGACAATCGCGACTTTTTCAGCGTCCAAGCGCTACAACTCTGCAGCTACACCTACACGAAAGGCTGCCATAGAATCAGTAGCCTCGTCAATCTATAGGTCAATACCTGAAACAACTGCGGTGTCGACGTCTTCGCATTACGCCCAGAGCAAATCTTGCTGTCCTGCATTCCAGGCTAAGACACATTGCCAAAAACGGATTTCAGGAATTGCGCTGCACGTGGTAATGCTGGGGCGAAGTGCGAAACTCGGCAGTGGATCCCCAGAACTGTACAGTATGTACAAAACTATGTCAAGCTTAACCTTGGTCTCTCGCACGGGTGGCGATACCCGGCAGTTGTACTCTGCGCACAATGCATGTGCACAGACGATTCCAGGACAGCCAATTGCCCTTCAGAGGCCTCACCATCAGCCCGTCCAGACTCACGAGTCTAGGCTCAGAATCGAGCTCTCATGAAGTTGCGTTATTGCACAACAGCTTACGCATCTTCGCAGCGGCACGGCGTGATTGTCACGAGGATTCTCCAAGTTGCTGATCGCCCCTCTGTGATGGCTGTTCTTCTCACCTCCAGGTGGTTAGGACTGCAGTAGTCGCCCCCGGAAGGTGCTTCATCTTTGCTCAGCTCCCCGAGACCTTAGCTCGAGAACATATGTTTGAACTTCTCGATCTTGGTCGAAATATATTTTTCAACCTCGGGACTGTTGATGCCTTCTTTGCCGCCCGTTTTCCATGCTATTGGTATCATAGGCACGCGCTCTACCACTCGCACCTCCCTATTTGGTCCTTCGACCGCTCGGATCTTCTCCGGGTTGTTTGTAAGCAGCCGAATTCCCCGGTCACCACCGAGTCCAAGATCTAACAGTATTGCTGTCGCAAGCCCGTAGGATCGCGCGTCGCCTGGGTGTCGCAACAAGATGTTGGCTTCCATTGTGTCGTGTCCAAGATCTTGTAGATTATACGCTTGCAGCTTCGCAAGAAGTCCAATGCCCCGCCCTTCTTGCCGCAGGTACACAATTACTCCTCCTGAAGACGGTAGACGGGCAGGTGGCTCTTCTGTGGTAGGGGTGCTTGGCGCGGTAGGTGGAGGCAACGACATGAGCCGTGCCGCTTCGTCTAGTTGTTCTCCGCAATCGCATCGCGCAGACCATACAGTCTCGCCTGTGTAGCACTCGGAATGGATTCGCACCAACGGCGGGCCTAGATTGGCCGGATAGGAGGAGTAACCCCATGGATCTGCCTCTGGCGCTGTTGACTCTCCTGACGAGACTTCTGTCGAGGATGGCTTGGGAGTGCCCTCGGGCGGAGCGGACGACAGTGGCCGCACGGAAACGCCGGCGTCCTTGCGGATCTGGTCGAGTCTACTGTGTGTGCGGCCGGGAAACAGCGTGCCCGTGTATGCGCCTCTGATCATGCGGTCTCGTTCCGTTTCGCCGGGCCTGGGGGCGTCCAGCGTCCGGCTGCGAATGTGCGGGCCAAACACGATAGCCATGTGCTCCTTGTTGTCGACATTGTTGTGGTACAGATGCAGGAACATCTCCTGGCCCGTCGTCGTGGGGATCCTGGCGCGCACCTCGCAAGTCACTTCGGGAATCTCCTCGAGCAGCTTGGGAGCCGCTGCATCGTCCGCGAGAGCATCATTGTGCCGATGCGGCACACTCGGTGGCAGTCTGTCGTGTCGATGGCCATGAGCCAAGGGCGTGTGCGGCGGCGTGAGCGCGGGGGTGACAAGAGGGGGAGGCGGGGGAGCGGCGGCGTGGGTAGAAAAGTCGGCGTCGAGGTCCAAGTGGTCATACTCGCCCGGACCGTCGTTGTGCTTGAGGGCCGGCGAGGCAATGGCGGGAAAGTCAGGCATCATGGGCACTGAACTACATGTACCTATACAGACAGCCAACGAAAGGAGAGACGCAGTCAAGATGTATGATACATAAGGTAAGAATAAGAATACTGTAGGTGGTTGATACCAAATGTGGTGGACGGGGTTTCGAAGCAGACTCGGGAGCATTCCGACCTCGGCCCAGGATGATATAATCCGATATGATGTGATGGTGCATGATGCATCGGCACGAGCACATGGAACCGTGCCGGCCCTGCCTAGACTCCTGAGACGCCTTGGCACGCATCAGTCGTGCTCTCGTCTTTTTTACCTGCTACCACTATCCTCCTTCATCTTCCGTCAGGTAAGGTACCACTGGTACTGTCTGCCGCGGGTCCTTGTTTCGGCAACGGACTGCTTCACAGGCTCGTTACTTCTCATTCTCTCGCTCATCGATGGCGACACATATTGCTGCAATCAAGCTCAAGTCCACATTCGGCGCTACGGTCACGAAGTAAGTCTGCTTGCTGGCAAAGATCTCTCGCGCGTTCGCGAACGATCTCATGATTTGGGCGACAACTCTCTCGCCCAACTTAATAGTTGCGCTCCGATCGAACCAATCTCCCTTGACCTGCAGTTCGATAGGCGCCCTGTCGGCCGCGTTTACGAATTTGACGGTACTCTTGGAACTTCCTATTGAGAAGTGACCCTCGATATCGAAGTTGTGTCCTGTGATCCTATCAGCGGAAGTTTCCACGTATACGAATTCAAAGTACGCACCAGCGGCGCTATCTGCGTGGAAAGTCTTGAAGATCTTCAGCCTCTTTTCTGCCAGGACGAAGAGTTCGTTGCCATGCATATCGGTAAAAGTCTTTTTGGAGCGAAGAGAGGCAAGCTTCCCCTTCACTTGCATTACATTTGCACCATCTGCAGTGTGCACCGTGAACGTGTCTCCAGACAAGGACCAGACCTTCTCTCGGAGCACAAGAGTTACTTGTTGCGGGCTGTAAAGGGGTCCATTAGCTGGTTGCGGGCCTAGTGGAGGCTGAAATGCTGGGAGTGCTGCCATTTCTTGATATACAGGGTCAGTCCGTTATTCGTGCCGATGAAGAGAAATGGCGATACAGGACAAGGCCTATATACCTGACATGTGGCAAATACGGAAGCCTTGACAAGAAACCTGAGCTTCTCTACTTGGTACCTGGTGCAGCAAGAAACATGCTATTCTTCGACTGCGCCTTGCTTTGCATGCGTAGTGACGTTGGAATCGCAGCTCCACTGATAGTACCTAGTACCTATACAGGTGTCAGGTGGTACCTACCTACATGTATGCTTCATCCTTTGATGAATCCTTTGTGCTTCGTCTGCGGCACAGACGATAGTAGAGGTCACGTGACATTGATTGGGAGGTTTCCACGCGCTCGGTAACGCCGTCGGCATGAATAAGACTTGCACACACACACACAATGCATAGGCACATGTAGCTTGTATAATGTGCACTGATGTGATGCAGCGACAGCGTCCAATCTTGTATAATTTAGGTTAGGCTCGTAGGTAAGCTTACCTATTGGACTCCAATCACAGGGCAGTGCCAAGAAGCCTGGCCGCGGAAGAGGGACCAACACCAGTCCACCAGTGCTCAGCACAGTGGCGGGGGGAGTGACCGCATCCCGTCGACCGAAACGACGACTTCCAGGAAGTTCCAGGTTGTTATCTCCTACTCGGAGTGGAAGCCATCGAGCTTGGCAACTTGAAATGAGCCGAACAGCAGCAGGAGCAGCCTGCAGCAATAACAACAACAACAGCAGGAGACGGCAAGTACTCCAATGTACCGTACCGTACCTTCCTACCTTAAAGCTAGGCGGTGCAGAGTTTGCTCCAGGAACCTTCGGCCGATGTGGGCAGCGGCAACGACGGCATTCTGTGCGGCAGGAACACCACCCACTAAACTGGAACAGTCTGCACAGTCTGGATGAAGTGCCTTCAGGTTTGGCGTGACTACGTGGGCGTCCACGTGTGTGTGCTGCTGTTTCCTCTTTTTCTTCATCCTCCTCCTCCTCCTGCCCCTCCTCCTCCTCCACCTCCTCATCTGTCTCTGATGGACACACCATCTCTCCTCACCGAATCCCTCTCTCCACTAAGGTAGCTTCTAACCACCTGCCACCGAGAACCCCACCACACCTCGTTCTTCCACAATCTGCGCATAGCAAGATGACCGGCAGCGCGGCGGAACCGTCCCCAGTGCAACGACCGGGCATCATTCCTCCGATGGTGTTGCAGCCGGGTCTGGAACAATTGGATTCACCTGTGACGCTGTCAGAAGACACAGAGTTCCCGATACCGACCTTCACAACAGCGAAGGTTGATCGACAAAAACGGAGAATGCCGCAGTGTATTGCGCATCGCGGGTTCAAGGCGAGATTTCCAGAAAACACACTGCTCGCATTCGAAAAAGCATTGGATGCTGGAGCGGTAGCGTTGGAAACCGACCTGCACGTGACTAAAGATAATGTCGTGGTTCTGAGCCATGACGCGACTCTAAAGCGATGTTTCGGCCAAAAGGACAAAATCATTGATCGCACGTGGGACGAGATCAAAGACTTGGAAACACTAGCCGCTCCACATGAGCACATGCCTAGGTTAAAAGATCTGTTACATTATCTTTCACAACCTGAGAAGGATGAGGTCTGGACGCTACTCGATATCAAGCTGGACAACAACGCGGACGATATCATGCGTCTCATCAGCACGACCATCGCTGAAGTGGAGCCTCCACCTAGCAGACCGTGGAATGAGCGTATAGTGCTCGGAATATGGGCTGCCAAATACCTACCACTAGCACTGAAATACCTTCCTGGCTTTCCTGTCGTACATATTGGTTTCAAGCTTTCATACGCACGACACTTTTTCGATGTCCCCAATGTCGGCTTTAATATGCTCTTGCCGATGCTGATGGCTCCTGGTGGAAAAAAGTTCATTTCCGATTGTCAAAAGAATAAACGACAGCTGTTTGCCTGGACAGTAAACGACAAGGATAAGATGGAGTGGTGTATACGACGCCGAGTCGACGGCGTGATCACGGATGATCCTTCCATGTTCGTGGAAGCGTGCGAGAGCCACGATGAGTACAGCGCCGAGCCCATAATACCGGTGGGCTTCAAGTCGATTGTGGAAATGCTGCGAATATACATTATTGTCACGACTTTGTTCTGGGTGTTTCGACGCCGACTCAACCCGACTGCCAGTTCAGTCTTGATAGAGAGGACTCCCAGGAGAGCATAGATAGAGCATTGCAAAGAGAGAGCATAGAGCGTTGAGAGATGAGAGTAACGAGCAATCACGACCGCAATGATAGACATGTCGTAACGTAGACGATGAGCAGGGGGGTGAATATAACAGGACCTATCTACATGTACCTTCAGCCCATTGAGAAGTAGTCTGCTGGTCCTCGAAAGAACCCAATACCTCGCGACGTCCCATTAGTATGATTCTTTTGATCATTGGACGAGGCATCTCCGAGGCCTGCTTCCATCAGGGCGGCACTCAATGTTTCACCAGAGATATCGATCCCCACCAAGAACCGTGCGAGTTCTCGACACAGTTCCCAGTCATTGGCGTCTGCAGCTCGCTGCAACAGCTGTGCAAATTCATGAACCTGGAAGGAATCCTCCTCGAATGCGTGCAGCACGAGCAGATAGCCCGCCGCAGTGTTGAGCTTGCCTTGGGCGAGAGATTGTTCGAACAATTCCATGACCGGCGGGAGGTACGAGAAGAGCGTCTTCCAACTGCGCAGCTCGGTCTTGCGCGTGCAATTGCACACGACGTCTAAATACGAGTCAAATGATGACAAAAACGACAGCACCGTCGGCAGCAGCGCTGTCTCAGGAGGCGAGGGCGGATCGTCCACTTCTGCATCGAGCACATCGTGCAAGAGTACTTCCAGCGCATGGGAGAAGTATGGCAGATGTTGATATGAGCTCGACAGGTGGAGAGCTGCGGGCGAGTTGAACTCGGTCAAGTGGTAACGAAGCAGCTGGGGAAGGAATAGTTGCGTTCGTGGCGCGTGTCGGAAAAAGCTGAAGTTGACATCTCGACGCTGAACGATGTCGGCCTCGATGCCAGACACGATGCCCTTGCCAACGACCGCGGACAGGGGCGAGAAGTCAAGTTGCACGGCAACGGCAGGAGGCAGGTCGCGACCGAGCTCCGCGGGCGCTCGTGCCATGACATCCTGAATGTCTGACCACACGTGGAAACCTGCGCCATCAAAGTACCACAGCGAATCGCGGAGACTATGTCCCAGAGGATGATCGAGTGATAAGCCGTTGAGAGGAGGCGTCGAAGCATCGGTTCCGTCACCTTTCAAAGATGTCACCGCCGATGGCAGATCACGAAGCAGAATGAAATACTCCACGTTCTGAGCAATGACACGCATGTCATATTTGAGCTCGCCGTGTTCGTTCGTCGAAGGCTGGAGCAGCACCAGCTTTCCGTCCACAAGAAAAATCACCGATGCAGCAGCGACGTCTTGGGAAGGGTCGCCGTGCTCGAGTTGCTCTTCAGGAAGAACCCAACTAATCGTGCGCACCCGTGGTGGCGCTCTGATGATGCCATGGAATCCAATCTGACCCACCTGCACCAGTTTGGGCGTGCTGCCACCCATGACAATGATATAGTGGAGCAGGACGTTATCGTAAGTATACACTAGCAGGGAATCGGCTCCAGAAACCGTGGTCGATATGGCAGCCGCCGAAAGCTTTTCTATGTGTTGGATGTGCGAGTAATCCAGGGCCTTCTCGCGCGAGTAGAGTCGTACCTCAGACCGATTGCTGGCTTCCACGGCGACTATCAATATGTGATAATGCCAGCACATTCCGCCCCGGACTGTGAACTCTTGCTCGGCTTGGGGGTCGTCAAAGGTACGCCAGCGCCCACTCGCGACACTGAAATGCGCAAGTCCTCGTCGCCCTGCCACAGCAACGTATTTGCCATCGGACGAGATTGCCGCTGATTTGATGGGCCACTGTTGGATGAGGTACTGCGAGGGAACCTGCACCGTTTGCCAGAGAGATATGTCGGACGGCAAGGAGGTCACGTCCGGAACATCATGTCCCTTGTAGATCATGATACTGTCGGTCGAATACAACAAGCCCCGTGAAACGTTGGCCGGCGTGAGGCAACCAGTCGCAGCATTACGAGCGATGTCGAGTACGTACAGCCGGTTATCCGCAAAGGGAAACAACGCCAATTCGCAGCCTCCGCCTATCCAGAAAGCCGTTCTCACACCATGAAGCCAACGCTCGTCGTTGGCTTCAGATTGCGCTCGATCTATGCTGAATGTGTTGGCACATGGTTTGCCGTACACAGTCCAAGTCGCCCAACCACGCTCGTATCCAGCAAAGAGGCAGTATCCGTCGGGCGAGTATGTCAGCGTTGTCAGCTTGCCTGTTGTAGCTGAGCCCACTGGCAACTGAATCTTGTGCGATAGTGGTATGTTACCAGTATAATCTTTGACCAGGTAAACGTCAATGTGCCCACTTGCGCAGCCAACGGCTATGAGCGAGAACCTAGCGTTGATGGCAACTTTGACCGCATGCCCATCTTTCGCCTCTGGTTCCCGGAAGCAAAAGCCCTGGAATAGACACTCGGGACTTTCTGGGTCGATGCTGCTCGAGTGTCTTCGTTGTACGGCATAAGCATGTCCATCATTTGTGATCCAGCACGTGAGATTCATTGGCCGATCGTAAATGATCTCAATCACAGCTGTTTTCCTACCGAGCCATGGCATGCGGGCGACGAGCTGAGTACTGGTTTGCGACACTCCGCTCTGAGCTACCCATTTGATGCACTGCAGGGCAGCTGGCTTCTGCGTAGCTACTACGAGCTCGTCGTCTAGCGCCAATGCTCTACTGATTCCTGCATCGATCCTGATCACCATGCGAAAGCGTATGCTGACCTCACGGATGCCCTCCCCTTCTCCAGAGGTTGCCGCTGCATTCACAGTGCTCGGCTTGCGCAAATGACTGTATCCATCGGTACTCTGCTTGCGGTGGTGTCTGCTCGCTTCTGGCAGCGCCACCTGATAGACGCGCGTATTGGCGTCCATGGTAATCGAGTACATGATCATATATCCCAATGTAGTCTGCACGACCACGAGCAGCGCATCAGGCCTTAGCAGCAGGGCCGTGTTGTAACCATAGGACTTCATGGACTGCGGTGAGCGCTGCACTCCCGCCAGAGCCAGAATCGGTTTGGTCTGCCATACCATCAGCGAGGACCTCGTCAAGGTCATGAACACGCTGCCGCCCCGAGAGATGGTCGCGTCGACGATTTCGCTGTCCAAGGCCGATGGGCCCTCGGGTGCCGCGGGCTCGTCTGGGCTCTTTGCACGGCCGTTCGGCGCGGGCTCGGACTGAGTCTGTTCGTGGGAAGCATCGCTGGGTGTCGAGGCAGAGGCGCTACTAGTACTGTCGTGGAGTCCATCGTCCGAGTGCACAATGGCTGAGTCGTGGAGGGAGAGGGGGTGTCTGGACAGCGAGTAGACGTTCGGCGCGCCAATCGGCCAGTACATGGCAGGGTCACAGTCACGGCGGTTGGTGTCGTCTCATCGTATTGACGTCGTCGTACTGTCTGTCATGTGAGCATTCACTCGCAGGCAGCGCTGTAGGAGGTGATGGCTGTGCAATTGGGTCAGTTGCCTGGGCTGGGCTCGTCAATATTCGACGAGCACAACGTAGAGTAAGGGTAGCTACCCCAAGAAATGCCTTGGCTTATTCAGCTCAGCTTCGGCTATGCACGAATAAGAATGACGCGGTCTTCCCTTCCCGGCGGCCCGGAGTCTGTCGCCAACCTCGAATAATCAACAGTACATTCATTATACAAGGACACGGACACCAGACACGGACACTCACAGGATCGGAGCACACCCCCTTTCGCACTGAGAATAGTCAGTTGCCGGCAAGCACACACCTGCAGGACCTGGCTCTCCGCCCCTCCCCGCCGCCGACGACATGGACGACTTCCAGAGTGACACCGACAGCGACTACACGAGTTACTGGCGCGACTGGGTGAGTGCCTTCCAGATGTGATTCGAACCGAAGCCCCCTGCCTGCCTTCCTTTTCGCCTGCTGCCGCCTGCTTGCTTGCTCGCTCGCTTGTTTGCTTGCTTGCTTGCTCCTCGCCGCATCTTCACTCACTCCCTCCTCCCTCCCTCCCTCCACCACCCTCCCCGCTCTCCGCTCCCCTCCCCCCCTCCACTCAGACTTCATTGCACAACATGCCTTTCGACCGGTTTGGAAACTAGGAGTTCACGCCTTGGAGCCCGCCATCTATACCAAGCTCGCGGCCATCACGCATAATGCCTTCATCCGTTCAAGAAGCACCGTGGAGCAATAGCGTGCCTAGACCCAGTCAAATTTCAGCCGTGCTGAAACTAACTAGAGAACAACAGTTCATCTCTTCCCGAGGCAACGAATACTTCTGCGAGATTGACGAGGACTATTTAACGGATCGTTTCAATCTTACTGGGCTCAATACCGAAGTACAATATTACCAGTATGCTCTGGATCTGGTCACCGACGTCTTCGACATGGAAGTCGACGATGATATGCGGGAACAGATCGAGAAGAGTGCCAGGCATCTCTATGGCCTTGTGCACGCTCGCTATATTGTTACGACTAGGGGTCTTGCAAAGATGGTACGTTACGTTATTCTAAGCTCGAAACTGACTTGTCCCTTTCTCCTCCCCGCCTTCCCACTGACCCTTTTTATCAGATGGAGAAATTCAAGCAAGGAGTCTTTGGCAAGTGCCCGCGTGTGATATGCGAATCGCAGCATCTCCTGCCCATGGGTCAACACGATATTCCCAACACATCCAACGTGAAGCTCTACTGTGCCAAGTGTGAGGACATCTACAATCCGAAATCGTCACGGCATAACAGCATAGATGGCGCATACTTTGGCACGTCTTTTCACAACATTCTCTTCCAAGTCTATCCAGCGCTCCAGCCACAAAAGACGCAGCGCAGATACGAGCCGAGGATCTATGGCTTCCGAGTGCATGCCAGCGCGGCGCTGATGAGATGGCAAGAGGAACGCAGAGAGGAGATGAAAGATCGCCTCCGTGCAAGGCAAATAGAGACCGGGTTTGAGGAAGAAGACGAGGTCGACGAAGAGATCGAGTCGGACGATGATGAAGTGGATGAAGAGCAGCAGGATGGTATTGATGACATGTTTGAAATGCAACCAGCGCAGGCCGTGCAGTAGACATGGCATGAACGACAGCTCCCTCTTAGGCTCCCGTGGAGCTGACAAGAAGAAAGGACGGTAACTGCGGAAGATCATGGCTGTGCTCAGCCAGACGAACATAACGATCGCTCATTAAAGGACGTACTAAGGTATACATCCTTGGAACAGTACTCGATCACGAGTGCCACGATGGTGCTCCCAGTTGCTTGACATTGAGCCTCACCATCCCGCCTGGACAAGTCAGATACTTCAGTAAGATGTTGTCTATCGATGATGCCGCTGACTTGGGCACGCGAGCGAAGGCAGATGGGGAGTAGGCAGCTAGAAATCGGGTCAGAACAAACGACGGCGCGACAGAGCTTTAGAGGCTCGACTTGATCGCGCCGGCCTCCCGTGGTGCGATCAGAATTGGCTTGATTGAGGAGTGCAGTCATGGCTGGAGAAGCAGCATGGATTGTGGTGCAGGGATATATTGCATAGGTAGCGTTCACCTTGAGCACGCAAAGACAGAATACAGTTCTCTTTTTCACTACGCAATCGCGCCGTTTTCTGCTGCAGAGTCAAGCCATCTTCCCACGTGGCATCGGGCATGCTTTATATCCGAACAATTCTGTTTGGGAATACCGTCTTACCTCCTATGTCAAGATCACTTTGGGCAGCTCGCTGAGCCAAGCCCAAGAAATATGGCATGTACCTTATCCTCTTCACAACACATTCTGTAAGTTTTATGTTTCTCTCATACAAAAATGTCAAAAGAAGGAACGAACAAGAGCACTGAATACACAACCAGACTCCTACGGACATTTCGAATTGGTACCTACCTTACATTTAGTACCTGTAGGTAGCTGTACTTGATAAAGCTTCACAAGACGTCACCTGTATACGATAAGCGAGTACATGTAGGAGGTACTTGTATTTGGTACTTCTTTCCCCGGGGACGGGAATAACCTTGTTCGTAAGCATATCGTGCGACATTGCGGCTTGTTTGTCCTTTTTTTTTTCTTTTCCTTGTATGAAAAGCTTTGTAGCAACATCGACTATATAGTAAATCAGGTACTTGTCGCTCGCTCAGCGGGTGAGGGGGGGTTTTTTTTCTCAATGTTTTTGCTAGATTGAATGAGGTAGGTAAGGTAGGTAGGTAGGTAGGTGCCTCTAAAAAGATATTGATTTTTTTTTCTCGTTGAATTGGAGAATGTTCAATTGTCTGGTAGGTAACAATACATCTCCAACGATCTTGACAATGGTTTTTCTATCTTGTGTTGGTACAGGTATTTCGCCATTCCCCGTGCCAAGCCAAGGAAGCCACTACCTGTACTACCCATCTGTGCATCCATGTTTTAGGTAGATCTCAATTCCCAAACGCCTCATATATCTTTTTTAGCTCCAGAGTGGACTGAGACAACCTTATATAACCAGGTCAGTATCCATGCGCCACTTGTGGGCAACTAAGACATGTTTAGTCAGTATCCTGGATAGAATCTTTTGCTGGTTACGATGAAAGGGGAGGTAGTGCTACAAAATGTAACAGATAAATTGTCGGGACTATTGGATGAATGGTATTTGTCTTACTGTTGGAACTGCCCGTGTTCACTGACGATAGGTCAGGTAGGTAGCGTTCAGCCGATGGAAAGCGCTATTACTGTCACGTAAAGTTCGAGTGGAAAGGTCTCTAGCTGGTCGCCCTACTGTAAGGAGAGGTAAGGAGGGAGGTACATTTTCTTGACAACCAGTTGCCAGGGTCTCGCTTTCCGTCGCCAATCATCAGCCCGGCCCAGCCACACTGTGGCAACGAATGTTACAGCCTCCTCCTCCTCCGCTACTTGCTACGACCTCGATCTTCAGAGTTGTTGTCATTACCACTTCTCGGGGAGCACGGGACCTTTCGGCCGGGATACCTATGACTTTTTTTCTTTTTTATGTATTAATTCCCCCGGTCTAGCTGATGATGATGATGATGATGATGATGAGGCTCATGCACACCATCACCACCAGCAGGACAGGGCAGGACAGGGCAATCGATGAATAGATGCCGGGCCTTCCCGCTGTTCGCTGGCCGGCTGCTGCCTACTGCACGAGTATAAGGACGTATGTCAGAGATGATGGGTGAAGTGGGTACCTCCTACCTCCTTCCTACTAAAACAGATGTCGCCCTTTCCTGTTTCCTTCTCGAACCGGGTACGAGCGTGACTTTTTTTTAATATACTAACTTCCCTACCTAAGGTGGCTAGTTTTGCTCGGCCCTGCATCAGCTGTGCGGACTTGGCTCTCTCTTGTCTCTCTCTCTCTCTCTCTCTTTTGTCTCTTTCTCTTTCTCTTTCTCTCTCCCTCTCTCTATATATAGGTATCTACCCCAACAAGAAATCGCCTTTCCATACATCCATATCCTTACCTTACATACCTCTCTTCTCCTATCCTCCCGGGTTTCCATCAACAATGAAGCTCAATATCGCCGTCGCTATGACGGCGCTGGCGTCTGCGCTGACGGCATCTGCACTTCCCGCATCACAAGATACCATCAATACCGGACCCGCCCCCGCTGTGGTAGCAGACTACGATGCGATTGTTGTGGGTGGAGGTCCTTCTGGTTTGGCTGCTGCGAGCGCTCTGGCACGGGTCCGCAGACGGGTGTTGATGATTGATTCGGGCGAGTACCGGAATCAGTACACGCGGCGGGTTCATGATGTGTTGGGTTTTGATGGTAAGTTTGCATTCATGTATCAGGCTGATTCCGGCGGGGTGGGAAGGATGAAGCTTGATGAAGAGGCGATTTTTCTTTGTTTATGTGCCATTATTGATTGCTTGTTACAGGCGTTACACCGTAAGTGAAGTGATCGACGCGGCAATACTCCGGGGAATGGGTAGACTGGGCTGTGATTCCTCTATTTTCCCAGAGAGAAATTTGCTCACCTTGGAGTAATCTGCGTTTAGTGCCTACTTCCGCTGGAGAGCCCGTCAACAAATCTTGGAATATCCTACTGTCAAGTTGACCAACGGCACTGTCACCAAGATTGAATCCACTGGAGATGCCAAGCTCACTTCGTTCAGCGTCACAGCCAACTTTACTTCTGATGGCAACCTGACGACGGTAACTGCTCGCAAGATTATTCTTGCGACTGGGCTGCGCGATATTGTGCCACCAGGTCTGTTGGAAAGCTGGGGCAAGGGAATCTATTGGTGCCCGTGGTGTGATGGCTTTGGTAAGTGCACATTAACAGATTCCCCTTCACGCCCCGAAACAAGCACAAACATCAATCAACTACGTGGACGCTGGTCTTTCATAGCCCGACTTCCTGCGGCAATTGGCGGCTAACCGGTCGTTTAGAACACGCCGATCAGCCATATGGTATCCTGGGGCCTCTTGACAAGTCGGGCAACACTCCCCTCGAGACCTTGACGCTCAACAAGGATGTGATTATATTTGCCAATGGCACCGACACACCCGAGAACCGTGCAATTGTGGAAGGCAAGCTACCGGGCTTCGAGACTTGGTACAAGGTCCACAATATAACTGTTGATAACCGGACCATTGTCTCGGTGGAGCGTCTCAAGGACGCCGGTCTACTGAACGAGGACCCCAGCAAGGCCACGCTGCCAGAACATGACCTGTTCCAAGTCAACTTTAGCGAAGGAGAGCCCGTGCAACGCGCCGCGTTTGTGACCAATTGGCCTAGCGAGCAAAAATCCAGTGTGGGTGCGGATGCTGGCGTGTGGCTCTATGGAGGCAAACTTGCGGCGAATATGTCAGCCGGCATGATCACCAACGTTCCTGGTAGGTTGTCTCTGAAACAGAACCAAAAAAATCGACGCGGTCTCGGCGTGGCTGACTCTGTGCAATGAACAGGTATCTATGCGGTTGGTGATGCCAACTCGGACAACTCGACCAATGTCCCTCATGCCATGTGGAGCGGCAAGCGTGCTGTAGTCTCCCTCCACGTGACACTCGAGACGGAGAACGCGAAAGCTCAGATTGCGGCGGCCGGGGTCCACAAGAGAGCATTCATCGAGGAGGACGAGAGAAAGGTGTGGGAGAGAATGGAGGATGGGGTGCTTCATGCAGGTCCTTTTGAGCGCATGTAGTGTCATGATGTCGAGGTCATGAAAAAATACGTTCTCATGAAGGAGACATCCACTCAATCGCATATGCGCCTATCCCAGTACCAGCCACTATCCGCGGAGAGCAAGTAGTAGCGTCTTGACGAGCAGCACATTTCTCCAGCTGCAGCAATCTCTTCTTGGTCGCAGGACTTTCTCTTCCTGTTAATTTCGCTTCCCAGATTGCAGCGAGTTGGAGAGAGGATATGACATCCTCTTTTTCTACTTCTTCATTATGTTGTTGATGAGGGCGGCTCTTCCTTTCTCGAGAGCGAAGAAGAAGAAGAGCTCGGGCTTGTAATTCGCTGAGATTGGAGTAAAGATCTGGGAGGGTGGGATGAAATCCTCCGGTATGATTGTCGTCGTTGTCGTCTTCGTCGTCAAGGACTTGGGAGATTGTATTGTGGCCCAAGGTGATGAGATTTGTAATTTGTTTTACCGCAGAAGAAGAAGAAGAAGAAGTGCGATGGTTCTTCGTCTGCTGCTGCTGCTGCTGCATGAGGAGAGCAGTTTTCTTGGTGGTGAAATCTACCACTGCTGTTCTCACTTGCTCGTGACGACGCATACTTTTCCCATCATCATCATCAGTAGCATTATCATGTCGAGTTGGCAGCAGCTCGCAAGCGGGACAGCGACATGTGAAACCCCATTTTTGCGCTTTAGTTTGTCGTTCGGGTCGGGAGAGCAAGATGCTGAAATATGCTATTTGCACTTCCTCGCCTTCGTGGAGATTGCGGAGGGCATGTACGACCATACGACCTTCTTGACGACGACGATGATGATGATGATGAAGACTCGAAGCGGTTTTTTCGGCAGCCGTGATGGTAGAAGTGGACGATGGATAATAACAGACATGTGCATTGGGCACGCAAGAGTGATTAATTCTGGCAATTTGAGGAAACAATGCACGATAATTGCAGCCCATGCCATTTCCCACATCGACATTGAAAGCGTTGGTCTGCATGATACTAGCCACCAAGACCATTTCTTCGACCGTAGCAGCATCAAATCCCCGCTCGGTAAGTTTTTCCCGGAGTCGCTGATCTCGCTGAGGGACTTCTTGATGGCTCAAAGCGAGATAGCGGCGTTGGAGGGCTTCGTCGGAGCCTGGTTTGCGTAGAGAGATGAATTGCTCGTAGAGTTGAGGCAGGTCGTCGGTGGGCTCGAGCAGGATTAGAGGGGCTTCGCGCAGAATTTCGCTGTATGCGGGGATGCTCCGGGTGGTGAAGAGGCCGAGACCACGTCCTTCTCCAGATGATCGGGTTTGCACGTGGGAGGATGGTCCCCGGAGGAGAGAGATGGGATCGGGACGGGCAGATAGCCAGTTGTTCGCGGCGAAATTGCTGGTTTGGTATATGTAGGGCGCCATGGCAGACACCAGAACTACCTTGGGTATCCAAAGCTTGACTGGTGTAGATGCATCGGCCCGTCTGTCCTATGTTGCAGACATGTTGGTAGTGATCACGGGTGTGCCAGCAGACTAAGGTGTAGGTAAGGTACAAGTATATACTTCCCAGTTTGGTGTTGTGTGCGTGCGTGTCACCATCATCAAGCGGGATGGCCGATGGCATGGCATGCATGGTGGAGGCAAGCTTTGCTTGGCGGGTCTTGGCAGTGCTTAAGTTCGTCTTCCTCTCTCGACGTGAGCATCTCAACATACTATCCCTACTGACTTGAAGTAAGGTACTGGCCTTATTAGACGGCAGGTAAGTTAGTGCTTGAGGATGAGGGATGGATATTTGTACTCTGGTGGCTATAGGTAGTCCTACCAGTGGCGCAGATGGAGCCTGCCGAGCTACCGAAGATCCGATACCACACCTACACCCACTTCCACACTCACATCCATTCAACTCCGAGATTAGGTTGCACTCGAGCTGGGAATCCCTAGACGAGAGGCCCAGTGGAGCCGAGCTGAAAAATCGCAACACCGGATCACGACGCTTCGGCTCTCGGGTCGAATGACATGATGATCCATGAATGAGATAAGTCTAGCGAGCGCATGCGACCGACGGACCCACACGGCCTGGTCTACTGCGCCGGTCCATGATAGCTATAGAAGCAGTTAGATTATTAGATACCTACTGCACCTGGACTCTGCTCTGTCTGTCCATCACTCTCCACGCCTACCGAGCGACAGGCGCACCGCACGACATGGCAGACAAAAAGATTGCCGCCACCGAGACCATCGGCTCAGAGAAGGACAGCAACAATCATCTCAGCGATAATGACAATAACAACAACCACAACATCTCATCCCTCGCGCCGCCAGAGAAGACGAGGTGGGAGCGTTCGTGGCCGACTATTGCATGCGGAGCGGGACTCTTCAGTGATGGCTATCTGCAGTCTGTCATCGGCCCCGTCAATACCTGCTTGAAGACCATCTACGGGACTGCATATACTGGCAGCAATGCTGCGCAGAATGTTACCTCTATCGCATTCGCGGGAACTGTTCTGGGACAATTGGTTTTCGGATACACAAGCGACCACTACTCGCGCAAATGGTCCCTCCTCGTCTCCACCATCATCTTGTTCGTCTTTGCCGCTTTATCTGCTGGCTCTTACGGCGCAGGAGGAACACTGAGTGGAATGATTGCTGCCCTCACTGCGTATCGCTTTCTGCTCGGAATTGGCATCGGGTGAGTATTGCGTACCTTGGGTTAGTATTCGAACGCACAACTGATACCTGTCGCAATCAAGTGGAGAGTACCCTGCTGGCTCTGTAGGTTGTGCAGAGTCGACTGGCGAACTCAAGGAGGGTCATCGCAACAGGTGGTTCTGTCTCTTTACGAATACCCAGATCGACTTTGGCTTTACTGTGGGCTGTCTAGTGCCAATGAGAACGAGTCTCCCCCATTCCCTCGAGTCTGCGGGTCATCATACTAACAGTACGCAGTTATTACGCGCATTGCCCCCAACAATCTCGGTTTGGGTAAGTTGCAATTCTCCAGACCTGTGAAGAGGCACAACTGTGTGGCTATGGCCTGTGCACTGACACGTCGCAGTCTGGCGTCTTTCCTTAGGATTAGGTGTAGTCCCACCTCTCAGCTTGATGTACCTTCGTTTCAAGATGAAGGAGCCAGAGTCATTCGCGCGTGAGGGTTTCGTGCACGTCAAGACCCCGTACTGGCTTGCCCTCAAGTTCTATGGCCCTCGCCTTTGTCTGGTTGCGGGCATCTGGTTCATCTACGACTTCTTGACCTATCCATTCTCCATCTACTCCAGCGCGTGGATCGATGTGATTCAGCCCGATGCAGCGTTGTGGCAAACCTTTGGCTGGTATGTATATATTGTCATGGTCTCGACTATCGCTCGGAAGTACTTCTTTTTCAATTCACTTGCTTACTCATTACCAGGTCTGCACTCGTGAATTTCTTCTACCTCCCTGGAGCCATTTTTGGCAGTTTTACTTCCGACTGGATGGGTCCTCGTCGCGCTCTCATGACCTTTGTCGTTGCACAAGGTGTAGTCGGTAAGCATCCACTTGGCATCACTCACATCGTGTCTGAGATAATCGCTCACATGAAATTCTCCGTTTCGTAGGCTTCATCATGTCGGGCTGCTACGGCTACCTCAAAATGCCGCAAAACATCGGCGGCTTCGTAGTGGTATACGGAATCTTCCTCGCGCTCGGTGAGATGGGACCTGGAGACAATATCGGCTTAGTAGCGAGCAAAACTTGCGCGACTGGCATCCGAGGGCAATACTATGCGATCGCTGCGGCATGTGGCAAAATTGGGTACGCCATTTTCTGACTTTTTTTTCCCCTGTGTTGCCAGTGACTGATTGACTAACTGACCCTTGCAGCGGCTTCATTGGCCAGTACATTTTTCCATATATCCAAGATGCTGGCGGGCCGGCAGACAGTGTCCGCGCAGGGCAATATCCCTTCTACGTGGCGTCCAGCCTGTGCTTTGTGTCCGCTTTTCTCGTATGGTGCTTGCCTACGATCAACCAGGACACGATCGAGAAGGAGGACATTCAGTTTCGAGAATATCTGGAGGCGCACGGCTTTGATACTACGAAAATGGGTGATCAGCAGTGGCAGAGGACACAAAGTGTGCATTCTGCACGTGCAGAGGAGACCGGGAGCGATAGTAAATCTCAATGAATGACCGGAGCTACGACAGACTTCCAATAAAGAGAAAGCAGAGACAAACCAAATATTGATTAGAACTCCATTACCCCACTACCCCACGTCCTCAAATCGCGCGCCTCAAATTTCCCTCGCGTCGAACGCGCCCCGTCACTCCACCTCACCTCACCTCCAAGTTCCCATTCTCACTCCCGTCGTGTGTGCGTGGAACCTCTCTACCTCTCCCGCTTCTTCGACAAGAAAACAAACAAAGATGTACGCCGAACAAGCCCTCAAACTCGTCCACGACGCCCGCCGCACCGAAAACCTTCCCCATCTACCCCCTTACAACACCACCGTGATCCGCGCCGTAACCAAAGAAGTCCGAGATTTAGATCGCGAAATCAATACGCTTTTGGCACCTTTTGCCATCAACAACACCAACAATAGCAATACCGCGAGATCATCCACCACCACAACTTCTTCGTTCAATCCACACGAACATCCTCAATTGGCGTGTACGTTGTTAGTCAATCAATTGTCTATGAGGAGGAATAAAAGATGTTTACTCGCCTATCATCGGACGAGGACGGAGAAATTGGAGGGGTTCTGTTGGGAGGGGAGGGATGTGGTTGAGTTGGGGAATTTGGCTGCTTCTGCTTCTGCTTCGAATTCGAATAACCTGGATGATAACGACGATGATGAGAATATCAACAATAATCAAAATCAAAATATCAACAACAACACAATCTCAGAAACGATGACGACGACGACGACAACAACATCAACTCTCTCATCGGAAGAAGAACAATATACACATGCCTATTCCTCTCTACTCGCAGCGTACAAAGGTCAATGGACAGAAATTGATTTGACGGGGAGTGTGGAACCTCCGCAGGACATTTTCATTGATGTGCGCGTGTTGAAGGATGCGGGCGAGATTCAGACGGAATATGGCAGTATTACGTTGACCAAGAATAGTCAGTTTTATGTGCGAGCCGGTGATGTGGAAGGGTTGGTGAGGCAGGGATATTTGCAGAAGTTGGGATGATACCTGTACCTTAGGTAAGTAAGGTACATGTCATATTGGGGGAATCAAAATGAATAGTTCGAAATGTATCTATCTAACATGACAAGGGGACATGACAGGACATGATGTGACAAAGTTACTCGCAGGAGAGTAAGCGACAAGATAGTTCGAGAGCTATATCTGCTGGGCATGCTGAACTTCGTGGCCAATGCCCTCGCTGAACACCATCTTCTGCTCGTGCCCTTTTTTCAGACTCTCCCTGCTCTGCCCGCCTGAATAATCTCTCCCGTATGCGGATCGTCTGCTCGAAGCACCGGCCACCCTTGCCCATCTGCTTTGGCCAGCGTCAGTTCTAGCTTCGTGCCCATAACCTTGAACTTGCTCTCGCCAGGCTTAATGGGACCATACAGCTCCATTCTCGTCTGGTATGACTTGGCATCGCTCGTGTGTAAATCCAGCTCCACTGTGCCGCCACTTTCGTCAAATATCACCTTTGACCTCTCCTTGTCAATCTTCTTCAGGTAGAGCGAAGCTATGACCGAGGTCGCTGTCTGGTAAAAGTCATTCCGCACCTCCTTCAATGCCTCCTCTTCATCGGGAGCCTTGGCCCGGCCCACAAAGAGATGTCGGGACTTGGTCCGACATCCAGCAATTTTCATGAATTGGTCAAACTCGAGCACGCGTCGTTTGCAGCACGTCCAGCCTTTGCTACCTTCGTGGAAAAGAGCTTGACCCGGGTGATGCACGCATTCTTCCCCCTCTCGATCCTTTCCGTCTTGGTATACCACCCCACACGACTTCCGCTTACACGTTGCACCCTGGGGTATGGGAATGCTCGGATCGTCGTCCTCGTCTTCAGGCGGCGCGGGAGTAGTCGAGGCTCGGGCAGTTGGGGCTGCCAGAGGTGCCCGCGAGACGGGAGGCGGCAGCGCGCTTTCATCCTGCGTGGGCGTGGGTGTAGGCGCAGCTTTTCTGATCTGTGCTTCGAGCTGTTCGTCGGTCTGCGCCGGTTCGCGGACGGTCGGCGTGTCGTCAACGGTCGAGTGTGTGCCTGTGGTACAGGGTGGAATGTTCATGAACTCGTCGAAGGTGAGCACACGGGGCTTGCAGCACTTCCATCCTGCGCGACAGGGTGATCAGGATTTCGGTATTGGTGACGGTAGAGAGCGAGAGAGTCAGACATACCTTTCTGGCCTTCGTGAAACTCGGGTGGTCTACATGCGTCAGTCTGCTCAGCTCATAGGCGCGGGAAGGAACTAAGGAGAAGCAAAGCACAGAAGGCACATTGATATGAGCCAGCCGTCCGTCTTACCCTGGGTGGTAGTAACAGACCTCGTCGGCGTCTGTAAAGGTCTTGCCGCAGCCCTTGCGGACACATTTCGTTGCCATGCCGATGTGCAGTGTCAGCAATGGATGAGGTCTGGACACAACGTCTATACCGGACGTCTTCACGAAGAAGGACGGTGCGGGCAGGTCAGTGTAACGCGAATAGGTGCCGCTAAGGCAACATCTTGATACGTCAGGAGGTAGGTGGACACTTTGATATATCTCTTCTTCTTCTTTCTTCTAGAACTTACCTACATGTACCTTGCCTAGTGAGGTAGAACTAGTAGAATTAAGCTTCCAGAACCTACTTTAAAACTGTTTCCTGGGAGTTTGGGACGGAGCTCTAGCCTGGGCACACGTAAATTGAACCATACATCTTTGATTTCCATCTTGGATGCAGCATCACAGCACGAGCGGAACTACCTGTAGGCATGAGAGCAGCATCTAGGCTTCTGCAGCACAGTCTGCGTCTGACCTTCTTTACTCATGAACATTGCACCCTCTGCCAACCCGTCAAAGATGTTATGAGCACAGTCTGGGATCGTCGACCTTTCGGATACGAGGAGATCGATATTCTTGCCCCTGAAAATAACAAGTGGAAGCAGCTATATGAGTTCGATATCCCGGTGGTATATCGTCGCCTGCATTGTGCCTTTACATGATGTGGCACGCTGACACGGATACAGCTACATGTTGATCGCACGTCCTCGTCAAATGGGACGACCACCGCAGCCGCTCGCAAATTGAAGCATAGATGGACGCAAGAACAACTCGAGAAAGTCATGGACGAGGTTGAGAACAGCTGATCGATGACAATTGTGCAAACAATCTTCATGCTACGCATGAGATAACCACGCATCTTCGACTTTGTTGTGAGGCTACCTCCAAGTATCAAACTCGTTTATGGTACAAACGGAACTACAGAGGCGTAAGTGACAACGTCGCCGCTACCATGTAGTCACGCCATCAGGTCGACAAATACGAGCACCAAATTGCATCAGGACTAGACAGACCATGGCCAGTCCGATCAGTAGTGGGATGAAGCTGTCAGTCCTCACATAGCAGATGCTGGCTTCTACCCATCAGACCCGAGATAGAGTCATCAGTCGCGCCACTCGAGCATAATTAGCAAGGAGTTCATAGCAACATTCATGAATTGACCTGTGCATAGGAGGTAACTGCTTTCTCAAGGCCACATGGCTCACGTCGTGGTCCATTCCTTACAGCTGGTGTCGGCGGAGGCCTCCTGGCCGTTGCGTTTCCACTCGGAGCCTCCGGATTCACCTGGCAGGACGAGAGTCGTGCTCTGTAGTGCGCCGTGCTGTATCGGGAGCGGCATCTGTGCCTGCACGCATGATCTCCTTCTGACACAGAGCGCTCGTCTTCCACTCATCATCCAGATGAGCCGTTCGCGCTTGAGCCAAACGTTATAAATGTGTATCCCGAGTGCCTTCAGCCAGAGCCGCTGCACCTCAGCCACCCCTTTGCAATATGGCGTTCATGTGCGTCTGCGTGTTCTTGTACGTCGTGTCCAAGTAGTTCAACTTCTTTTCCAGATTCGCAATCTCCGTCTTGACATCTGCAGCCTCTTTCGCCTGACGCTTCTTCACATCTTCAGTCGTCGTAAGCACAAACCTAGTCCCGGACCCAATCATTAGCTCTTGTCCAGTCCAGACCGCATGGGTTCGGGGGGAGTAGCTAGCTGGTATAGCCGGAGCCAGCCTCGGCTATGGTATAGCAGCCCCAACTTTGGAAAGAGGAGTTGCTTACATCTTTCCCACTCCATCATATACTGGAGTTTCCTTGGGTAGAGTATCCAATTCCACTGCGCTCAATTGCAACAATCGGCTTTCACGGTTCTTCGAGGTGATTTGCCCGCGGACGATCTGGAGTTGCTGGGATGCGAAGGCGGCTTTCTGCTCGATCTCTAGGAGGAGCTGGCGCGCACGGCTTGATCAGCATGAGTGGCAAGAAAGAGGCGGGAGGAGGACAAATAACCTGCTGGAGCTTCTCGTTGGGGATGGCCATGATTTGATGCTGCGACAGCCTTCTCTCGCACGGGACGACGCTGGAGAGTGCGTTTTGTCGTTGAAGGTTCAGGAAGGTTGGGTATGCGGGCTGTATTCCGTGCTTGCTGGCTTTGCTTGCCTCCTGCTTGCCTGCTTGCTGCCTACCTTACTCTGCCTGCCGCGGCTCACCGTATATCAATTGTGGCCTTGGTTTGATCTGCTGACTGGACTGGGACCGTATCGCCGCATCATCAACCATTGTACATTAAGTACATGTATTGCAGCTTCTCCCCGACCGCTACACAAAGACATTCGCTGCCTGGCTGCCTGCACCACCGTCTACTCCAAGAACATCAAGTGCAGTAGCTTGCACCGATCCCGAACATCCTTCGATCTTTGTCCCCAGCCTTAAGTCCGAGCATGGTAGCCTGGCTACCATCTATACCATATCCGCCCGCGCGGGACGATGGGTACTGGGCTCCAATCACGTCGACTTTGGACTGGTGTGAAGAGGTACGAGATACCTATTCTCCATGTCGATACCTTCTTTGCCAAATAGGCATACCAGACGGCCGTGAAAGAGCGGAGCTAATTCTGAGCAGAACTACTATGCAACGCAGTACTCTGCTGAGATTGTGAACACCCTCACGAATCTTCTTTTCGTTTATCTGGCCTTCCGTGGCGCTAGAAACTGCATACAACATGGCCACGATCGTATGTATAGCAATGTGTGCAGAAAGTGTTCACGCCACATACTGTCCTCTCGACAACTACATGTTGTAGCGGAGACTGCAACATTCACAACAGTCAGAGGCAATCGAGACACGTGCTTACCTTGTGCCGTCGCAGAGATCTTTTTGGTCACCTTCATCGGATACTTTCTTGTGGGCTCGGGAAGTTTTGCTTTCCATTCAACTCTCAAGTAAGCACTCTCAGAAGGCAGTCACCCTCCAGCGAGCTCCTGGAGCAAGACGTCTGCGGATTTGAAATACCTCGAGACACTTGCTTACCTACCGGTCTCATGTAGATACCCATGGCAGCTGGTTGATGAGCTCAGCATGATCTACACCACGTGTTTGATGTGCTGGGCTACGTTCTCACACAAAAGGCAACGATGGGTACAAATCGCTATTGGGCTCGGCGTAGCTGCGCTGGCCATCTTTATTACCCTGTACTACCACTACCTGCAGGATCCAACATTCCACCAGAACGCATATGCTATCCTCACGATTGTTGTGCTTGGCAGGAGCATGTATATCATGGAGAGGGACATCCGTCCCTATTTCCGAGGTCGTCAAGAGGAACATGAGAGGATGTTGCGGGACGCATCAGTATCTGGCGCCACGAGACTGAGAGAGCCAGAGAAGGATGATAGGGATCGTTGGATATTGACGCAGATGTGGACAATGATCATCCTTGGACTTGCTATGTTTCTGGGAGCATTTGCAATATGGACTCTCGATAATGAGTATTGTGGTACCCTTCGCAAATGGCGTCACGAAATCGGCCTACCCTGGGGCCTCTTACTCGAAGGACATGGCTGGTGGCATTTAGGTACAGGGACCGGCGCGTACTTTTACATTGGTAAGTCCGACGACGGTACATGAAGGTGCACTTGCTGATGAGGTGTGACAGTGTGGGGTATCTGGCTACGACACTGTTTGAATGGTCGCGCAGACGAGTATGAGCTGGAGTGGCCCAGCGTATTCACATCGCTGCCAGGCATTGTTCGCAACAGAAAGCCATTGCTCAACGGCTCGGCGAAGAAGTTGAGCTGATTGGTAAGCTCGTGAGTACATTGGTCGTAATACAAGATTAAAAATCAGGCATGTGAAAGCAGAACGAAAACAACAGTACCGCATGATTAGCCGACAAAAGTGCAGGCGCGGATCCTTGGAGGTCCTCTGAGCTCTCCACCAGCATGTGACGCTGTGCTGTGCTCTGCTACCTCCGTATGGGTGGACTCCGATCCACTGGCAGCTAGTTGACCGGACCGAGTCACGTACTGTGTACCCTGCAGTAGGCAGAGTGTCTAGGACGTCAGCCGGCGCGCACGTCCACCATCGGCCCTTGGTGATGGAAATCACTCTTTCACAATCCATTGGGATGTGGTCTGTTTGTGGGTGTGGTTTGCGCAGGCTGTGAAGAGAATGTGAGAGTTGGCAGTACCTCCTAGTGTGCGAATGAGCACATTTACTTTGCCCGTGTTCTGCTGCAGAATCGAGATGTTATTACCGTTGCCAGGATCAGAGTGGAGCAAACAAGCGATTGAGTTTGGAGCTACTATATCTAGTTCAGGTAGGTGCAAACGACCGTTGAACCGAGAGCACTCTCACCCACTCACACACACAAAGCTGACACAGTTCCCGCTTGTCCAGCAGCGCCCGCAACAAGTACAGGAACATCAAGGGCCAACAACAACAAGAAGAATAATGGTCGCCTGACGCGTTGCTTTCCATTATTTCTTTTTTACATAAGGTATGATCGTCTTCGCACAGACGACAGAACACGTCACGTCCATGATCAAATGACTGTTTCTGGAAACCAAGTGGGTGGGAAAACTCACACACGTTCGTCGTCCGTTTTATTTACACACCAGACAAGTCACACAAGGGAATGCTGATGAGGGTGCTGGTTGATGAAGTCATGGTTGTATCCACTGTGTCGTGTAGGTAGGTACCTCCTACCTGTATCTTCCATGCCCCGTTGCAACCATTCATAACGTGCGGAATTAGCTGCGGGCGCACACACGCACGTTTGCCGCGCCCGCGCGGCTCTCTCTCTCTCTCTCTCTTCATTATCTCATCGTTCTAGATTTTATTGTAGGGGGTGGATGATTTTTTAGGCTTTGTTATTGCATGGTCCACCACGTTATGCGGGCATGGACCATGGACCAAGCGCAGTCAGACTGGAGTACCGCCCGGGCTGTACAGTAAGAGTGGCGACTCTGAGAGGTAGAAGTATTTTTGATGATTAGGTACGTGTATGAAAGCGATGAACAGTAGAGGGTCGGCCTACATGTAGCTGAGTGTCATTTGATTCTAGTGGCCGAACTAGAACCATTCTGGTTCTCCCAAGTCTTGTGTGTGTGCGTGTGTGTGGAGGGTACATGTCGGTGGAGGAGGGTGGTGTGCCCTCGTTCCGGCAATTGCCACATTGCAATTGCCAAGTTTGCCACCTCCAGACTTTCCCAGCTCTAGCGCGCACATGTAATTATGGGGCTCCGCTTCCAGTTCGTGCACGCGCCAAATCGACCCGACGGCACTTGCGGCACACGCCAGCCCCGTTTGAGTCCCACTCCCACTCCCACAAACCCACAAAACCAACTGTTGTAGGACAGGGACGCGGGGCCGGGTCCAGTCAGCTTGAAGCTTCAGTGTTCATCATCAGCTTCACCATCTCGGAGTGAATGGTGCCAGTGCGCGACCACAACACAGTGCAGTACCATCATCAGAGGTATATTGTATATCATATGTATAGCCAACAGCGGCACACAGAAAAAGGATGCACAGAAAGTTGCTTCTAGTACAGTATATCTCTGTGCTGCGTGCGGGGCGCGTCGTCAGACCGTTAAGTTCGACGGGGCTCGGCAACACTAGACTGTTCGCGGGCAACGGTGGTCGAGGCCCTCTCTCTCTTTCTCTCATCTCTCCCTTCTCCCTTCTCCATCAGTCCATTCTCCGGGAGGTACTGGCTCATAACTCGGACATAAGTCGCGCAATCCAAAGTTGAGTTGAGTTGGCGCCCATCTCACTTCACCCACCCACCATGCACATGCACATGCCCCTCTGAGTAGTGGGTGGAGTGTTAGGTTACGAGCAACCGCTGCTTCTGCCTCTGCCTCTGCCACTACTGCTCTTGGTCTTGCTCCTGCCCTTGCCTTGCGCACGCGCGCGCGCGTCTTCCACTCTCGCTCTCTCTTTCACCTTTCCCATCCGTACACTGTACCTGACCTGATTCGTCTTGCATGACCGACTACGCTTTGCTCCAACCACTACCACTACCACTATCACTACCACCACCACCACCACCACCACCACCACCACCCACTCCTCCACCACACCTCCTCCCACCAGAGCCCCTGCAATAGCTGTGATGCGACCATGGGCTCCATAGCCATACCAGAGACGGCACTGTCGGAGACGTCATCCTCGCCCTCCGACACCATCGACCTGCATCAGACACTGCCTCATCCTCCACCTTCCAACAATAACAATAACAACAACAAGCGCTCATCCACCGATGCCGGGCTCAAGCCCAATGGCATGCGACCACACAAGAGCGTCAAGAGAAGAGCCTCCAAAGCTTGTCAGTGTTGTCGCTCTCGCAAAGTGCGATGCAACGTCGTTGAACATGGCCCGCCGTGCACCAACTGCCGACTGGACGAGGTGGAATGCATCGTTTCGGAGAGCAAGCGCAAAAAGTGAGTTATTGATGCTGCAATTGAATCCCTTCGTGGTGTGTGTGCGCGCGCCGGATCTCGCCAAGCTAAACCATTCCCCAGGAAATGGACTTCGAACGACATTGGCGCATCGCCTCAGATTGGCAAGTCCGGACTCCCATTCTCCAAGCCTTCAGTCTTTCCCATGTCTGCTGCACCACCCTATGCGCCAGTGAGGCGGGAGTCTGCCTCGGAACATGTGCCTCATGCACTATGTGAGTATGGGCGTATCCATATTGACAGTGTCTGAATCGACTGACCTTCCGACAGACCAAGATCTTGGCCGGAGTATGTCGATGACTTCGGACCATCCTCGGCCCAATCCCAAACTATTCGCCTCAGACATGATGGTGAACCTGCAACGCCTTACTCACAAACCATCCATCTCCAGTCCGGCGGCCATGTTGCCCCCGTTCAGTTTACCACAGCCACAGCCCTCGTGCAACTTGCCACTGTACATCAAGCCTTTGCCATCGAAGCTGGACCCTGAAGACATCTTGTACCTGGAGAATAAGGGCGCCTTATCGATACCGGATCAACAGCTTCGCGATGAGCTGTTGAAGAGCTACGTCGAGTTTATACACCCATTCATGCCATTGCTCAATATCCATGAATTCGTTGCCACAATCGATCGAAACGACGGATCATCGCCCATCAGCTTGCTGCTCTTCCAGGCAGTCATGTTCTCTGCGATTGCTTCTGTCGACATTCGTTATTTGCATTCGGCAGGTTATGCGACGCGACGAGATGCGAGGCGAGCGTTTTTCAACAAGACTCGAATTCTCTATGACTTTGACATTGAGATTGATCGCATCTCACTGATTCAAGCGCTTTTGCTCATGACATACTGGTACGAGACACCAGATGACCAGAAAGATAGCCACCACTGGATGGGCATTGCCGTGTCCCTGTCTCACACCATCGGCCTCCATCGCAATCCTGAAAAGTCGGCAGCCATAGACCCGGCAAGGAAGAGATTGTGGAAACGGATTTGGTGGTCAACATATATGCGAGATCGTCTCGTCGCCCTCGGAATGCGTCGGCCCACACGTATTCAGAACGCCGATTTCGATGTGCCCATGTTGGAGCTCAGCGATTTCGAGCTCGCAGTCATACCGGAGGGGCCCTCTTGCATGCCATCAGACTGCAAGCTGCTCCGGGATCTGGACATGCAGAGACAGCTGAACATTATGTGCATTGAAAATGCGAGACTGTGCATCTGCATGAGCCACGTGCTCAGCGTGCAATATTCGGTCTTGAATAACAACCATGGCGTGGTGTCGGACCAGGGCAGTACGAAAACTACTGTCCATCTGGTCGCGAAAAGGCCCGATCCGGAGCAAAATGAGGTCCAGACGTGTAATAATGAACTTGTGCGATGGAGAAGTGAGCTTGCCGAAGAAGCGCAATACGTGGTTCCTTCGTGGTCTGATGTGGATTCTGGTAATTATGCGATTGCGCTCAATCGTAGTTTACTGCACATGATCTACTTTGCCACGCTGTCAGCTCTCCACCGACCGCAAGTGCTACCCTCGACATCACTTCCGCCACGACAGCAACAATCTGAGCAGCTTGACCACTCACGCAAGGCTGTACGACTCGCCGCGAGCGAAATTACGAGCATTGCTCATCGTCTCTTCGATCTCGATATGGTACGATACCTTCCGACCACCGGAATCACCGTTCTTCTTCCGGCGATCATCATCCATCTCCTCGACATCAAAGCCCCGGACGAGGTGACGAGGAGAACCAGCCTCAGAGGGTTCTGCCAATGCATGCAGATCATGAGCAAACTTCGCGACATCTATGCTGCAGCTGACTACAGCACTGCATTCCTCGAGGCCGCCATTCGGAAAGCAGAAATCAGCCTTCCACAAAAGACAGACGAAGTGCGTGAACGAAGAGTCATCACTTCCGCTCAGGATCTTCTGGGTGTTGGGAAGAGAATGGGTGTGGTATCTGCAGACGAGCGTCCTGCCATCGAGCGATCGGGCAGTGGAGCAATCACTCCGCCCCCAGACGCCGCGAACGGCGTCAGCGAAGGTGGAAGTCATGACACCCAACTCGACGACCACGCCCACGCCGAGATGGTGCCAGGAGTCATGACAGACGATGATATTGCTCGGAAGTTGAACAATTATCTGACCTCGACGCCTCCGGGAAGTGAGGGTCACACGACACAGCAAGCCACGGAAAACGAAAACGAAAATGAAATCCATATGGAGGAGCCACATTCGAGCTTGGCAGGCATCCAAAACCTAGGACCCGATTTGGAGCCCGATTTCGATAGTATGATCAATCTCGATGCGGCAGGCGATGTCTGGGGTCTCGAGGAGGGTGCGTTCGCAGCGATGAGTGGAGAAAGCGGCGGATTTACGCTTGACGAGGCGTGGTTACAAGTGATGAAGGAGACTGCCGGACTGAGTCCTCCCAAAGACACGCCGCCGACGAGTGGAGGTGGCGTGGGCGCGACCGCGTTGAACGAGATGGGACAAGATGTCAGTCTGAGTACCGACATCAGCTTCTCGAGGGAAGGGGACATCAAGGCGCTTACAGTGAGTGTATGATGGATGATATGATGGAAAGTGATCTAGAAGCCCGTGTAGTAGTAATGCCGAGACGTGTCACGACTGATGAAGACCAATTCTGTTGGCAGTGTAGATGGCTCAACACAAGCAACCACAGTAGACATAGACGTGGGGTGAAGGTATACTATACAGACGAAAAGGACAAAACTCTACAAAACCCCCGTCTTTTACTTTATTCATTCATTGATTTATTGAGTTAACGTAGGTAAGGTAGGAAGGTCAAAGTTGTCAAAGTTACCAAAGTTCAATCAATGTTGGAGGGGGTCTATTAAAGCTCAATCAAAGCTGAGGCTACTGATTACATAATCAATCAATTTTTGGGCGATCCTCAGGTTTGTTTGATTGGGGACCACCCTGATGCTATGAATCAAGGAATCGAATCGGATTTCATGAGGTATGTTAAGTGCTTGTGCCTGTCCCTATGCGCTGGTGGGAGGGCGGCGAGACTTTACTTGGACACACTCTGGTAAGGTGTATTACCACTCTACGACGGGCAGTCCCTCCAGCAGGACAACGCACCTGTACATAACGCACATCGCACTTCGATAACCGGGAGATTTGGGTGCATATTGGCTGGCCACCTTACAGCCCCGATATGAACCCGATAGGCGGTCATTGCTGCGCGCACGAAGTATTGATATGTTCATGTCAAGGCTTGGAGCTCAGCTTTCAACTGAATCGATCAGTGACTCGATCTGATAGCTGGTCGTGTTGTCCATCGACAAGGGTGGTGCGCACTCGGTATCCGTGGGGAAGCCTTGTAGGAGACTTTGCACGAGTCACTGTATAAGCATCACGGATTGATCAGCGAGTATCATACTGGTTGGCGGAGCGGCTCTTCCGAGAACTAATGGAGAAAGTAGTAGGTAGGATGAGCAGATCAAAGACGGCGAAACGGGTAGAAGATACGGGCAACTGCCGGATTGACAGTCAGAAGCTTGCAGAGCAACATAGTGCTAGAAGAATGTGCTGATTTGATAACGGCTCCACCACTTGCAAGAATCGCTACCTATGCTTCAAATGCAACCATCATGATTCGATGTTGGTCTCAAGATCCTCGAAAAATGTTTCCAGCAATTTGCCCGGTTCTGTCTTGTCGGTATCATCGATAGGTATGTCCGCATGTGACCATACTCGGTGGGAGTCCTTGTCCGCAAGAGCCTTGAGGGTTGGATTTTCAGCACCCTTGTTGATCTGGAGTTTGTAGCGCCTGAACTTCTTTCCGTCCTTGACGACGATATCGCCGTGATCGAGGCGAAGCCCAATCTTCTTGTCGTTGTTGCCAGACTGTGTAGGAGCTGCTCTAGTGCCGGGTGCACCTTCGCCTCTGACGATTTTCTTCATTCGAGACTCGCTTCCCATCACCCAGCCCCGGAGGCGCTTGATAGATTCCCGTATTGGCCGACTCATTGTGGCTACCCTTGATCAGTATAATCCTAATGAGATGTTCCAGCCCCGAGAGTACATACAGGATGTTTTGTGCTTTGTCTGTGCTGCTACATTGTCAGCAAAACCAATCAAGATTAATTTTATCTTGGAACAGTACAGACCAGCTTCGTAGGACGCTCTCGAAGATGAACCGAGTGAGTGACTGTGTGTGCCACTCCACAGGGAGCAGACGGCCATCTATATACCTTTCTTCAGCTAACATAGCGCTTATCAAGGACCAAGTCATAGCACATAGGCAAGAGGTCAGCAAGGCGTATCGCTCAATTCACGGAGGAGTGCTGTGACGGTTTTAGATCTGATTGCATGCTCGTGATTCGTCCCTCTCATGATAACCGCCCGGTCATGATGTCGGCGTTTGCTAGACATCTTGAGCCGGAGTTTCCACAGCTGTGCCGCAGCTCTCTCATGATTATTAGGTATGGACTATCTATATATGCCAAGACCATCTCTGACTGGCTCATGAGTCATTGGTGATGGCGGCAGTGACTGCCAAGCCGATACACGTGATCTTGATTTGGCCAATCAAAGAGCTGTGTGGTAGGCTGCGTACCTGCCACTACGGAGGTACCTGGTATATTCCTACACTTCCGGCTAAAGATGTTTGTTGATATCGTGCACACGCGCATCGGACCCCAACCGACACATTCACCCAGGCTGTAGGCAATGAATCGTTTATTTGGGCGTCTCCGACCTGGAAAGATGGCGGTGGCCAAGAAGGCTCGAGATGGCCCAGCAGTCGAGGAGTCACGGCCTCATGCGGTCGCATCTGGCTTCGCCATCGCAAGGAACATGCACCACAAGCCCGGCCCAACCTGGACAATGGAAGCCGTCTCAAAAGAACGTTTGCCACACGACGCGGAAAAGGAGTTTTTCCATTTCACTAGGGGTCGATTCATTCACAACGAGCAACACGAGCTGTCGCAACGCCATCGAACATTCAACGTCGCCGAACTCGCGCGGCACGCAGCGCACGCCGTACAGGCAGATCGCTGCCTCAGAGTCACAAAGTGCCCTGATGGCATGTACAATCGAGTCCTGCTGTTCTCCATGGACAATGGAAAGGAAGTGATTGCCAAAATTCCCAATCCTAACTCTGGTCGGCCTCATTTCACCACTGCGAGTGAAGTTGCGACGATGGAATTCGTAAGTACCTAATACAACCATGATTTTGCGCCTCATAGGTGCTCGCTCATTTACATTCATGCCAGGCTCGCGAGGTACTTGGCAACCCAGTGCCCAAAGTATATGCTTGGAGCTCACGAGCGCAGGAGACTCTTGTGGGCGCAGAGTTCATTCTGATGGAGAAAATGAATGGCATGGAGCTCGAACATTTCTTCCCAGCAATGAAAATTCAAGACAGGCTGGAAGTCATGAAAACCGTTGCTCGCTATCAGCAATCCTGGGCGTCTGTCTCATTTGAGCAGTTCGGAAGCCTCTACTTTGCCGAAGACGTTGGCGGGTCGGCTCATTCGCCATTGACTTACCTCGATCATGACGGGCGTAAAGTGACTGATCCGAGATTTGTCGTTGGGCCCTCAACAGGGCGGGAAATGTTTGATGATGGGAGAGAGGATATCGAATTCGATCGGGGGCCCTGTAAGTCCCAACAAGCCTTTATATGTGCATTGGAAATCTTTTTCTGACTCTCCGATTACAGGGAAATCGCTCGAAGACTACCACATTGCCATTGGAAAAAGAGAATTGGCATGTGTACAACACATCTCGCAACTCCCGCCATCTCCCGTGTCGTTACGTGGACCCGGTCTCTATCAGCCGACACGCGAGAAGAAAGTGAAAGCCCTGGAAACTTACCTCAAGCTATTCAAGCACCTTTTGCCCACTGATAGCTCCTTACGATCAGCACATCTCTGGCACGGGGACCTCCACGGGGGAAACATATTTGTGGATCCAGCCAATCCCACCCAGATCGTAGGACTCATTGATTGGCAATGCATAGAGTTATCCCCTCTGTACTTCCGCGCTCGTCAACCTCATTTCATCGACCACGAAGGACCAACCATACATGGCCTCGGGCGTCCCCCATTACCGCCAAACTACGACCAGCTTGAGGCCAGCGAAAAAAGAGAAGCCAAGGCCTTGTACCTTGACCAATCGCTGTGCGCATTATACAGGATTTTTGTGAATAAAATATGCCCGAAAATTTACGCATGCTTCGAGTTCCAGGAGTCCTCGGCATTCATGCTCCTTCTCCTCGCGCGCAATATTCTCATCGATGGAGAAGCGGCGTACATGGTGCAAGCGTGCGAGCTGAAGGATGACGATGAAATGTGGCAAACCCTCACCGGAGGAGGAGAAGCTCCAGGCACTACTACTGCATTTCCGCTTTCCTTCTCCCCCACAGAGCTGCAGACTATTGAAGCGGATATGGAACTTGCCGAGGTCGGTATGGCTGCCATGAGGCACATGCGCGAGATTTTGGGAGAGGAGCTTTTCCCCATATCGGGTTATGTATCGCCTGATCGATATCAAGAGGCTGTGGATGCTATTCGGCAGACGAGGGAGTTGGTGTTGGCTGAGTTGACTGGAAAGTAGAGTCGGGGCCGGACAGTGGAGTGTTGTTGGTGGTGGTGGTGGTGGTGGTGGTGTATGTATAGTGAGCGATATATGTATGATACCTGGTAGGATCGGATAGAATAGAGTAGAACAGAATATCAAACCCCTAGGAGCCCAGTTTAAGAAACTAGAAGAGGGTTTGGAAAGTTGCTCTCAGATGGGGTTTCGGTAAGTTGGGGGACAGTGGATGTCCACAAGGCTTTGTGAAGAGTTGTATTTCTGTTGAAAAGCAACAGAGCAGAGGCAGGAATAGATATACCGTAAAGGCTTCCCTCTGTCTGTCTGGCTGGCTGGCTGGCTGGCTGGCGAAGAGCGGGTTTGAGTGGAGCTTAAATATATGTACATATATACAAGAGGCTCCTCCAATGTATATACACATTTATGTTCGTATTATTGGTGAATTGCACCTCGACGTGATGTCTAGAGAATAGCAACAAGTCTATTCAGTTTTGAACTTCACATCTACTCCAGGCAGATCAATCCCATGAATTCGAGTCGACCACAGCTCTCCATGTTTGATCGGAAATGCCTTGGTCAAAGTTCCCGTCGTGACGACTTCGCCCGGTTGCAGAGGGGCATTGAATTCATCCTTTTCTAAGCGTTCGACTAGGAATCGCAGAGCATTGATCGGGCTTCCGAGCACATTACTCCCTTTTCCCTCGTCGACTTTTTCTCCATTTCGTAGTAATTCCACCTCGAAATCTTGCAGTTGGCTCAAGAGTGCGGGATCGGCTTGAACTTCTAGTTTCCTTCGCGGTCCTACGAGTAACAAGCCATGCATTGCGAATGCGGCGGTTGTGTCCGCAGCGGTAAATTTCCAGTGGGGAAATACACTTGTTGCGATTTCTGCACCGTGAGACATCCAATCGCAACAGCCGAGAAGCTCCATATCGTCCATGGAGGAGTGGGGAACGCTCTTTAATCCAAACACAATCTCGGGCTCAAATCTGGGCTCCATGGCATTGAGATGGGTGATATCAGCGGATATCAGCCTCCCCTCGGGGAGATGTTCTGGAAGATCGATGATGGTATGCTGATACATGTAGCCCCAATTCGGCGTATCAACCATATAATCCTGCCATATACTCTGATTCGTGAATCCAATCTTTCGACCCGCAAAAATTTCTCCGTTCATCTCGCGAAGCTGTCGGATTGCAGCTGTAATTTGATATGCCTTGTCTTGGGAGAAATCTCCTGATTTTGGGCTGCCATTGGGACCTTTCTGCTGCGCTTTGCTCAAGAGCGGGATTTGATAATTGTGCGCTCGTGCATGCTCGGCGAAAATAGCTAGTTTTCTGATGGGATCCGGAAACGTCTGGCGTGGAGCGGTCAGGTCTAACCATTCTGCCACAACGGGGGAAATCTAATCAATACATCTCACCTCCCACTTCGTTTTCTGGTTCAGCATGCCCTCGATATCATTGGCCTGAGTGGCGTAACAGCATTTTTGACATGCAGTCCTGTTGGACCTCCTCCATCGTGATACTAAGCGAGGCAGTGTGGATGTCCTTGCTGTGGCCATTATTGTGCTAAAAGACGAAATGCAGAAAACACGCCCAGTGCGGAGTATGCGAAACGCCAGACGCCGCGGGAATGAGAGAAACTAAGCTGTACACTCCAATTATGGACGTTATACGAGTGAATGCGATGTGAAGTGAAGTGGATGTTGATATGGTGGTGGCGGTGGCGGTGGTGGTGGTGGTGTGCATTTTGCAAGCCGAGGATGGATGGTCGGAACTTCGCACCAAAGGGCTGCCAAGCCAAAGAATGAGCTAGTTCTAGTTCTATTTCACTTGCTTCATTTGTTTCCCTTCTGAAAGCTGAACTCATTGACGGCTACTATCATGACAGGGCGTGTACGAATCAAGAGCTTCTTATATTCTACATGTACAGGATAAGAGGCAGTATCCTTCTACGCCATACCAGTCCGTTTCGTCATGAAGCGAGAGCTACGCTACTTATACAATATCTTTTCACTGTTACTCCATCTAGTCCCGCTATACGTCGTCAAGATGCCTACCACACGCTCCGTACTGGAGTGTGGTCGTATGGCCGCGCAGGTTATTACCACCAGCTTCTCGAACGCGTCCGCTGATAATAGGGAATGCTGAGGTTATTAGTTGGCGTGGATACGATGGAGTAGGGAGGAGGAAGGCTAATCTGCACATCCTCCGTCCTAAGAGACCATTTCTTCGTCCATCCCGTTTCCATTTCGAGATTGTGAAGCCATCTCTTCACACGCACTCAAGTACTTGGAGTACTCGGTCGTTATTCTTTGCAAATCCCTGTGCTTCCCAAGCACAATCACAACCTCTCTCAAAAGCTCCTCTCTTTTCCAGCCTACGATTTCGTCGTTCACACTCCAGTCCGTGCCGGGTGAGTCTTCTTCACCGACGCCATCTTCCTCGGTGAACACTTTACCAGCAAGACCGCTGAGCAACTCCTCGACCTTTCTTTGCAGGCCTTCGGCTCCGATCCGCTTGGCGTACATGATGAGGTACACTCTGAACTCATCCTTGGCTCCGAGCGTTTGTGCAGCGGCAAGGCGATTCTCGATATGAGCTATCGAGACAGAACTCTCGAAGCCTTCAAATCCTTCAGCTGAAAGGAGTTGCTTCACAAGTCGCTGTAGGAAATACGCTTTCCCCTTCAGCAAGGAATGTGACGTTGTGTTGCGTTCAAGCAGGGGAATGATGCCAGCTGAGATGTTTTCGGGATTGATCTCGTCCAGAAAGCGCTCCCTCTCCCTCTCCGTTGCTTTTCCCTTCGCCGTGCTCGTGGAAACAGATGCCAACGACGTATCAGTAGTGTTCCAATACTGCGATCCGACGGCCCACCAAGAGTCGCTGAGGCGTTGCCAAACGTACATGGAAGCATTGTACGCATAGCCGTCACCATTGGACATTCCCACAATGACACGCCCCTGACTATTCAGCCGAGCAAACATCACGCTGGGCCCAGTGGTGAGGTGTCCTTGTTGTGATTGCGCTGCCATGTCTAGCACGGGCGCAAGGTGGATGGGTGGGTGAGGTGCAGTCATGGTTTTGATGTTCCAGACATAGCAGTAGCCCACAGCAGTGACGGCGAGAAGCCACCAGCCTCGGCAGTCCAATATGACGGGCTGTGCTTCGAGCACTAGAGCGCTGAGCAGCCGACGGCCGGCCGGCGTCCAAACATGGAGAGTACCATCTTCGCAGGAGGCCGCCCAGAAATTTCGGTTGCCTGTGACCAGGAGGACTGCTCGGGGCAGGAAGTCTTGCCAGAGCGTTTGACCTCGTTTGGCGAGTGTGATGCGCGTGGGATCTCTATCAGCTGCCCGCCCTGTTCGTGAGGCGCCTGTTGCATTTCGAGCTTCGAATACGAGTGCCGCCTCACTGTCGTCGCCAGCAGGCTGATCGTCAGATGTAGTAGACAGCCTAGAGTCCAGAGGCCTCGAAATCACGCTCCTCAACAAGGGTACGGCAAGCCTAGTCTGGCTCACAGTCATGCTCGGATTGATGACTGCCGGTCGCAGTGCAGCTGGAAGCTCATCTAGTTTTGCGGTGGTATTACTTGCAAGCGCGAGCCCTTCCTCTGTGTTATGGACAATGGGTGTTGCGCCTGCCTGCTGTATGGCCCGGATCCGCTTGTCATGTCGATTACTCTCACCATCTTCGTCTGCCACCTCTGCATACTTTCGCTTGTTCCCCATGAGCAAAGTCGCCAAGCCACCAGGAGGTAGGCCATCGTACGGTTTGCTGAGATCTAGTACCTTTACTGGCTCCTCTAGTGCTCCAGCTCCCTGCCGAACAGCAGCTTGGAGTTGTGGGCGTGGCAGATTCGATTCTCCAGCGTTGGAAGATGAGAGCAGGAGCGGTGCAACTCTCTTTTTCCCATCCTTGGTGATTGTAACCCTCTGTTTCAGCTTCTCCACGCGCTCCGCCTGTGGATCTTTGGGAGGCGCCGGCGCCGGACTGGGAGCTGCTGCCACACCATTCGTCGCATCCGCCATTTGTGCATCGCCGTTCGTCAATACGTTGGTCGTGACTCCATCACCCATCAAATCTCCCATCCTGCCCTCCACTCTGTTCATCTCGGAGTCCTTGCTCTTGTTCTCCAGCAAAAGTGCGTCCGTACTTTCCACGATGCCTACTTTACGTCCTGCTCCGTATTTTGCGAGCGCCTTGTCATAATCTGCATTAGGTGCAGGGTATCCGAGCTCTCCTCGCTCGAATGCTAGAACCGCTATTGTCCCGTCGAGCGAGGTCACGTATAGTGTTTCTCCGCCAGGACTCCACGCCAGGTCACTAATTGCCTTGGCACTTAGCTCACTGGTCGTCACAAATGGTCGCGGGAAACTGGTGTTCCACACGCTCACAGTTTTGTCTTGTCCAGCACATGCCACCACTGTCACTGCTCCGGGAGATTGATAGTCCTTGGGTATCACCTCCGGCGGAGGATCTCTGCAGAACAGCCGTGGGGAGAAGGCACAAACTTCAACCGGGCCCTCATGTCCAATGAGATTGATCTCGCTGTCCCATGTTCCTCGATTGACAATTGCGACCGAGCTCACAGGTCCATTGACGGCATTTGCAGCTGCAATGTGAGCACCCTCTGGACTCCATGAACAGCGTCGAAAGTAGGTTGTGAGAGGGCTGGTCTTGAAAGGCTCCGTAACGGTATGTTCGAGAGTAAAGTTACTCGTTTGGTCGTAGGCTGTCGCGTTGGGAGGCGGTGACGTGAAGCGGTAAATCTTGATACTGCGATCGTCACTCGCCGTGGCGAAGTATTTGTTCGCCGGGTCGAATGTGATTCCCTTGACATGACTCTGGTGTTGCGAAAGCGTCTTAAGCTTCTCGAAAGTGGTGCCAGACCACACAACCACCTTGCTGTCCAGACCCACCGAGACCAGAATGGAGCTGTCGCAACTCCATCCTAGATCCTGCACGTCGTTGTCGTGCCCTATCAGCCTCCTGAAGATGCGCCAGTTCTCCACAGGCGGCGTCTCGTTGCTACCAAAGGTAGAGTGCGCGGGCGGGCTGGGGTCCAGGTTGTATACACAGACAATCTTGTCGTCGGCGCCGGACGCGAGGTATTTGCCATTGCTGCTGAAGCGCACCGAGTGCACGGTGCCAGAGTGGTAAGACAACGATGCGAGCTGCTTCGGCTTGGTGTATGCGGGATTCGAGGCGTTTGCGATGGCTTCCGTCGACCAGATGCGCACATGGCCATCGCCTGCTGCCGTCGCCAGTCGGCTTCCATCAGGCGAGACGTGGCAGCTGTACACCTCGTGGTCCTTCTTCTCGCCGCCATGCACGAGCCAGTTGGGTTTGGAGAAGCGCATCGTAGTCGCCGTGTCAGGCTCGGCCGGGAGATGTCATTAAGAGAATTGCCGCATGTTGTCAGCCAGCACACGTAGTACCCGTTGGTGTTGGTGCAGACAGGAAAGTGTAGTTGATGTATCCATCTCATGGGCTTGAAAGGTGAGGCACACGGCACACGCGAGTCGCGACAGCTCCGTCACGCTACGACCCGTATTCCTTGGCGCTTGTTTATAGGCTCTAGGTAGGAGCCTGGAGTAGGTACCCCCTACCCTCGCAGCCTCGCAGTCCTATTTTACGCTCGAGATGAAAGCTTCTGCCTACCTAATAAAAGCAACCTGGAAACATTAAAACTGAGGTCCATTTGGTGCATTACAAGGCCATGAAGAGAGGAACCAATGCGCTCTAGCCAAGACACTCCTCGCGCAGGAGTTTGTGAAACATATGCGTTCTTACTTCGGGCAAGCTACTATACAGAGGCGCTGTTCATTGGACATATGGCATGACTGTGCGAGCAAGCAACATCAATCAAGATCGCGATTGCCATAAGTTCATCACCTCGACCACCCGGAGTACCGATGCCTCCGACAAGTTGAGCGAGTGAAGGCCAGACTCAGGGACGTGAGGCATGGAGCTTGTGCCATGCTGTTCATCGCATGCGTACGAAAAAAGCATCGCTATTCAATTGAGTATGATGGTCGTTGCTTTTCCAAATATCATAGTATTCGCGTACTAGTGGAGCTCAACCACCTACCCCTTCCTTTTGCTTTTCCTCTGGCTGCTCTTACCAGCACCGGGGCCCTCCATGCCCGTCGCAGCCTGTCCATTGGCCGCCTGCAACAGTTCAAATTCTGCCGTCGGTGCAGCCAGTTCATCTCTCTCCAAGCGGTTTGCGTTTTTCAAGTCTGCGTCTCCCACAACTTCGACGCTACTCGCTAGCCATTGTTGGAAGGGCTTCGCAACGAAGAATCCGTCCTTCGTGAACCACGTCGTGAATGGAACCTGAATCTCGCGTGTCGTGACTTCCTTGGTCTCAGGCGAAGAGGACGTATGAATTTCGAGGTAGTAGGTAGGGTCGTGTTTCTTCGTGCGGGAGTAGATGGAGATCTGGCCCCATTAGTCAGTCCAGCCCCCTTCCCTGCTTGTGAAGAAGATCCTTCTCACCTTTTTCCCTGATCGTGTTCCTTCGAAGACCAGTCCTTTCTCAACAGCCCACATCCAGTATGTCAAAGCTCCATTAAACACTGCGTACGCTGCCACCGCGACCGCAGTCCAAAACTTGGTGGCATCCCAGCCCAGCTTATAATCTGCTGCAAAAGTTACGCCAGCAATGGTCACGGCAACGTAGCCTAGGGCCAGTCGGACATCGAGCTTAGTATTGTCTTGCTGAAAGCCCAGCGAACGCAAATAGTTCCCGAGGGCATCGTCGGTGGTGTTCTTCAGCTCCGAGAGGTTGTGGGGGGATATGCGTTCGGCCATGTCGGCGCGGCTTCGACGATGATGTGCAATGAGCAGGAGGACGAAGGGGATGTCTGTTTCTTAGCGGAGGGGCATGTATTCCTGTCGTTTTTCCAAGCGACACTGAGAGGTGAGGTGGTGTTTATAGAGGATGATCAACATCAAGAAATGCCTGGTAATTCATGGAGGTACAGCTGTCTCCAAAGCAGGTACCGACCGTACCGTCACCCGCAAAAGTATGCCGGGCCCGAGAAAGCTTGTCTTGCCTATTCTAGTTAACAACGGCACCACATGTATACACTCTCATACCATACAGCCGCCAGACCACATCGCAACATCACAAGCTGACGTACAGGCTGTCCAGACATTCGCAGTCATGGGGGCCGCGGGTGTAGTTGAACAGCAGATCCATCGGGATCCTGCCCTCTTGTACGCACCTTCATGTTCTCTACCACATATGCATGTCCACATGTATGTCTCAATGCCTTTACTGACCCATTGCCTTCCTCAACAGCTACTGGATCCTGCTTCCCATCACCATCGTCATGGTCTTGACCGGTATCTTGCGCCACTATCTCTCGACTCTCCTGCAATCAACGCCGAAACCGCAGCCGTTGCCGAAAACCCGCCAACAGCGCTCTCTTCTTCGCATGCAGAACCTCCGTATGAACAACACGCAAATCAGCAAAGCCGCGTTCGAAAAGAGAAAAGAGTTCTACCACGAAGCGGTCAAGGAGGGCAGGTTTCTGGCAGACCCAGAGAACAGGGGCAAGCCACCGGCCAACCCACTCACGGATCCGGGAGCAATGGACGGCATGATGGGCATGATGAAGGGCAACGTGGCGATGATGGTACCGCAGTCATTGATCATGGGATGGATCAACGCTTTCTTCAGCGGCTATGTCATCAGTGAGTAGGAGCTGTGCAGGAGGCTGTTCCATGTCTGTGCTGACAATCGCATCAGTGAAACTCCCCTTCCCTCTTACACCGCAATTCAAGCAGATGCTGCAAGCGGGCGTGGGCACGAGGGACCTCGACGTACGATGGGTGAGCAGTCTCAGTTGGTATTTTCTGACCCTGTTCGGATTGCAACCTGTGTACAACTTCATCTTGGGGAGCAACAATGGTAAGCTCCATTCGTAGCCTATGTGTTCGCTGAGCCGGTGCTGACCAGATCATTAGCGGCCTCACAAGTTGCTCAACAGATGGCTCAGTCGCAGATGGGTCAGAATCCAATGGGTGGTGCGGAGGATCCCGATAAGCAGTTCAAAGCCGAGATTGAAAACCTCGAGGTCATCGAGCACAACTACATACTTGATGGCGTAGAGGAGCGACTGCTTGCAAAAGTCGGGCGCTAGTGTACAGGTTGCCAAGGAATTTCAGACGACTTGCAGCAATCTCACATTCTGCTCAAAAAGCCACACCTCACTTCGCAGGCAACGGCAACAGCTTACACGAGACTATATGGTAACGAATCATCGGCCTGCGGATGCTTACTTCACAGTCTCGACAAGCCTAAACAGATTTTGGTCATGATGCCGAAGCGCAAAGTATCATCAAAGGTCACCGAACGAAGCACAGCTTCAAGAACTGCATGATGAAAGTGGCCGCTCGAGTAGGAGAACGCGGCCAGTGGACATTGATTGGCGACGTGATTCCAAAGCGATCAGCAATCACATCACAATGCACAACATTGAGACCAAGATATTGGTGACCCCATCGACGCTCGCATGCCTCCACAAGCAGATTGAGCGAGAAACCACGAACCTCGTCATTTGGCCCTAGGCTTTCCCAAGTTCGGTTCGAGATTCATATCTTACAGTAGCCCTGACTTCTCGTCTGCCACCACTTTCATCAACACCCGTGAACCGGATCGAGATCTTGCCGTCAGGTGGAAGTGGAAGGGTGTGGGTGGGCCTGTGATTCTGTAGCAGCACTGGCAGCCAGGTTCGCATGATTTCAGATTGACAACTTTGAAACAATAATGCTGTACACTCGACGAGTAGAGTCTTGCACGATGTATTGTGGTCCAGTGCTTGATCAAGGACCTTGGAGTTTACTCTGGGAAAAAGTCACCATGTAGCAGCCCATACCTTTTGCACCACCTTTCAAAAGGATGTTGTCCTCTTCGAGACATCCTCATCGGACCTGGTCTCGCTACTCTAGAAAGCGATGCAACTTGGATTTGTGTAAAACTGAGAAAGAAGTCGCTGAGCCAGCGGCAGTGCCTTCGCGTCATGTCATTGATCTTGATGCTGTCATCAGCTCTATCCAAGACCCTTCCGATACATACATGTACATGCAAGCAATGTGATGCTAAGTCATGCATGTACTGATGAACAGCCCGGTTGGAAATGGTCGCCTGCCCCAATCCAAGCCGTCAGACCCTAAGGTATGCAAGTAGGTAACAACTGTGCTTCGTTTCACACGGTTGTCCTGAGAGTTCAGAACAACGACTGAGGATCGCTGCTGTGTCCATTGATTGGTGTCAGCACGTCAGATTGGATGCACTTGCGACGCACCAGTTCTCACATGCTCGCAGCGTATACAGTACGGTACGTCGGGGAGTTCTTCCTTGAACTGACTTGATCTTATGCCTGGAAATACGGTTCATTACCTACGTCGTGAAACCAATTTTTTAATTGCTGGTATCTCTGCAATGGTCGGACACTCCCATGGTCAATGTCGTGCTTGGCACTACGAAGGCACAGAGTATGAGGAGCCATGGAGATGGCTTTCCCGGAATCCAGGGATGATACACATAACAGTACGACCGCCCATGGCAGGACTTCTCAAATGAATTGGGTCACTGCTCAGAATACATTAGACCTGCTACATCCGCAACCGATGGTTCCAGGGTTTGTCTTACGGTGATTATAGGAAGTACAGGACGGTCAAGCCGGTGCTTGCGCGCCAACGAACATCTCGACATGTACGTGCCGTCTACATGTCGGAAATCTATGACACTACCAGGCCCATCCCCTGACATGGGCGCGGGCTGGTCTGTGGTATGAGCCAGCTTGTATACAGCAGCACGCGTGCGCAAAGGCCGAGTCCTTCTCGAGAGAATCAGCCCCTCATTTCTGCGCTGAGTGCTCCAGCCTGGTCGCGCCTCAAGATAGCCCAACCGATGAATGTTGACGGTGTTTTACGCTAGGCCTTGCAGCCAAAAGTGCCGCTGCCCAGTTGTCAGCATGAACCCGAATCATCTGAGTTGTGCTCTTGCTTGGGCTGATCATGGCTTCATTGTCCAAAGAGAAGCCTGTGGTGCCTGTCACCAAGAATTACAACCACGTCTCGTGGACTGGAGGTTGCAACTTCTTTGTTGCGATTCCATGGTCTCGTTGCAATAATCCTCTGGGGATATAGACGGTACAGGACTAGAACTTCTGCCGGCCGAGTGTAGGTGCCCACTGCAGAGGGTGGGTCTCTTCGGTGGCGCTTTCATCCTGCTTCCACACCTTGATTGTCTTATCCGCTTCTCCCGTGATCAAACGCAAGCCAGTGTGATCAAAGGTGCTGGTCATGATGCCAGCTTCAGCATCAAGCGAACCAGGCTGCGCTATACTGTCCTCGTACTGAAATCTGTGGCCGGTCTTCCAGTCCCAAAACGCAACGGTACCATTGTCACCTCCGCTGAACAAGACATTGTCTTCGTTGACCGCAAGAGAATTTATGACACTGTTGTGTCCCTCGAAATTCATCATGAAGTCGCCCTTGGGACAAAGCCATTGTTTGATCTGCCCAGGGGCTGCAGATGCAAAAGTGAACTCAGTCGGGTGAGTGGTGAGTGAACGAACACCCTTTTTGTGGTGGGTCAAGACACCCATCGTCTTGCCTGCTGCAAGATCGTACATTCGGATTGTGCTGTCCAGACTACCAGAGATGATTTGAGGATCTGTCGCTTGCGTGACAATGCTGGACACCGTGCCCTTGTGCCCGCCCAGGACGTGGATGTTCGAGCGCGTGCGCATATCCCACACTCTCACTACTCCATCCCGACCTCCAGTACATAGAACATCGAGCGTTGGATGCAGGCTCATCGTGTACACCCCAGACAAGTGGCCATGGTAGTGGCGGATGACTTTGTTGGTTTCCAGATCCCAGCACTTGACCATCTTGTCTTCGCCACAGCTGAAAAGATATGGATGCCGAGGACTCACCGCAAGCCCTCTCACGGAAGAGATGTGACCAGTGAGAGTGAGCTTCAGCGTTCCCGTGGCTAAGTCCCATATTTTGATTGTACGATCTCCAGCACCCGACGCGAACCACTGGTTGCCTGGCTCCATAGCTAGAGCACGAACCCAGCCCAAATGGCCCGAGATGACACGGAAGAGCTTCCACGGAGGATGCCACTGCGGCTTCTGTTGTCTTACGGTGTCGCGCCGGACCAGACTGCTTCCTGGAGTGTTGCGCTGCGGCGTTGGACCATTCGCATTCGGAGGGGCTTTTGCGCCTGCTGTGCCGTTGATACGAGTGAGCGCAGTCGAAGTGCCATTGGACTGTGCCTTGTGATGTTGCGACGATGCAGCGCTCTCGATCATCTGGGCCATCTGCGGATCGCTTGCTTCGTCGGTGGTCTTGGGCTTCTTCCTCCTCGCGGCCAATCCAGCCTGTGCATTTGCCTGCTTCTGGGCCAGAATGGCAGGCAGCTCCTGGACATCGGCGTACTCGCTGTGGATGCGCGCCGCGACACTCGCTTTCTGTGCCCGATCGAGTGGTGAGGCATCGTCTGGAGCAATGGCTGGCTGCGGCGGCTTCACGAGAGCCGACGCCTGACCAAAGTCGGCGGCGAAGAGCTCGCGTGTCCTCTTTGCAGACCTGCGCACGGCATCGGTAGCAGCGGGCGCATCGGCCTCAGCAGTCGTCATGGCGTGAGAGGCGGGAGACGGTGTCGAGTTGTATGGCCGGCCAAAGTTGCAGACGAGAGATAGAAGGTGGAACTAAGACAAGAGAGATGCGCGTTCTGGGATCCGCGCGAGTCATGTAGCAAGTTCTAACCCGGAAAGCTTGTGATGGATATTTTGATGGAATGGTTCGAAGAGAACAACCGTCAACCGCCCGACACAGTTGCGCACAACCATGCACTACCTCCATCCACGCTCTCGTACCACCGGCACGCTATTTACCACCACTTTGGCCGTCTCCTTCCTCGTCGTCGCCCTGCCTCATCTGCTGCCATGTCCCGTTGATCGCCGCCAGTTTGCCGACAGTTACGAGACTCCCGATGGCCGCATCATGCGGCGACGAAGGAAACGCACTGGCGATGCTGATGCCGATGAAGTCGTCCGCGACGGCGAAGACACCACCATCGTGACAGCTGCCACCGACGGCAATGGCGGGCGACCGAAGCGGGAATGTCCCATGCCCAAGCCCAGCGGATTAATGGGCCAGATGATGGGCTTCAAGGAGGCAACGCCACCACCACCAGTGGCCCAAGTCGTTGTGCAAAGTCTGGACAAGAGGGACCTACGACAGACCCGTAACGACACCTGAAGCACACGCCCGAATCTACCAACTCATTGCTCCCCTGGGAGCAGCAGCCCAGCGTTCATTTACGCGTCCGAAAAGCTGTGCCTGAATGTCAACATGAACCAGTGTCTCAGCGATCATACCTCATCTGTGCTCCGCCCTATCAGTGCCACACCATGGTGTACCGCCGAGGAGAACCAACCCAGACATGGGACAGACACAAGCAGTCGTTTGGGAGCATTGCATGTCTGTGTTCAAGCTCCGCAACGGCCATCCTATCTTGTAGAAGCCCATCACAAGCTTTAAGATTGGGAAGCGGACACAAAGACAGACAGAGGGCTAGCTAGGGCCGTAAACAGAGTCAGAGACAGACGGAGAAACAGAAATATACAGACAGGGACAGGTCCGAGAGAGACATAGAAACATAGAGACTCAGAGAGAGAGAGACAGAGGGGAAGAGGGGAAAGAAGAGAAGAGACCGAGCACAGAGGAAGAAAGGGGGAGAGGGAGAGAGGCTGGAAGAGGTCGCGACAATACCGACCATCACTGTCGTCAGAGAATGAATGAGAACCACGCCTTTTTTGAGTCATTACTTTGGTCGATTTCTTGCGGTTACAACTTTGTCGAGATTCCATCACATGGCTCTCTGACCAATTTCGGATTGCCAGCCCTCCGCGCGCTCGAATCCGTTCACAAACGTACTGTAATCCATCACCGCTTGCCTTACTTGCGTCGGGTCCGTCAACACAAACGGGCCATATTGAACTATGGGCTGTGACAAAGGCATGCCTAAACGGTAGCAAAGTCAAGTTAGCAAGCATGATCGCAGACATATGGCACGCCGGCTATAATTCGGATGATGGATATCTTACCTGCTACCAAAATGAATCTGGCATTCTCCTTTGCACTTTCTGGTACAGACGCAATGACCTGATCGCCCTTTTGTTCGAACACCGTATTATGATATTTCTCCACTGCTTGTGTCGTAGCGCCCGTGTCCCAAATCGTGGTACCCTCGAGAGTGTACGCAAAAGAATTCCATCCCGCAGGAATGGGCTGCGCGATGCGTCCGCCAGGACTGATGGTTACATCCAGGATCCAGACGGGCGTGTAAGCCAGTTCCTGCAGTGAATCGACACCGTACGAGCGCCCCGAGATGACTTTGACCGTCACTTTCCCATCATCCGACTTGGCGATTGGAATTTCCGAACCTCGCAAATCGCGATATCGAGGCTCACAGAATTTCAATTCCTTGGGGAGATCGACCCACAATTGCAGACCGACATTGGCAGAACCATCACCATTATCGTGGGGCATTTCCGCGTGGACGGTTCCTTTGCCAGCCGTCATGAATTGTAAATCGCCCGCAAAGAGTGTACCTTTTTCCCCCGTGAAATCTTCGTGATCCACACCACCGCTCAAAAGATAGGTGATGGTTTCTTGGCCGCGATGAGGATGGTCGGGAAAGCCTGCGGGAGGTGCCACGCTGAAATGATCGAGCATGAGGAAAGGTGTGAAATTGCGGAGTCGGGGTGTTCCAATACTGCGTCGCACTGTGGCTCCTGCTCCCTCGGCTTGCTCGATCGCTTCGAATGTCTTGAGAATGCCACGAGCTTTGGGATTCGCTGCATTCAAGGACGGGTCCTCTGGAGGAATCACTGGGTATCCTACCCATTTCGTTGTATTGGCCATGTTGGAGAGAGGCTTGGAGAAATTGTGGAAGTTCTTGCTGAGATGATGGAATGCCCTGGTCGAGTGAAGAACGCTGCGCATGTATTCCTTGATGCTGTCTTGTTGCGTGAAGTATAGTGAAAGGGTGATTGTCAAGATTATTGAGAAGAGGAGCTTCATCAAGGCTGAAGGAGAACCCAACCTTTATACAGAAAAATGTGAGTGATAGAATCTGAGTGAAGAGAAGAGATGGGAGGCTTATACAATGTTGTACTGACTGTACATTCTGGCTTACCACGAAATGCAACAATAAGATGCCTAAAGAAGAATTTAGTATGATTTCTGACAGTCAGCTAAATGTTCTTTTTGGGAAATATTGCTGTATTTTCTGATCCACCAGCTCGGCCTCGGTTCTGTTGGACCACTTTTTCTTACCGTACTTCAACCAAGTGGTACATGTAGGAGGTAGCCTGGAGTCTGCAACGTTGAGATACTCTCTTCAGAGCAAAGCTACATCGACGCTGGTGCAGGACAGTTGAGATTCAGTCAACACCGCCCGGTGTAGAATATAACTCCCAAAACGAAGGAAGAGGTACAGACGCATGCAAGATTTCAAAGACGCACATGAGAGCTGAGGTGTGCGGGCGGGATGGCTTACCTTCGCAGGCCAAGGTATATTTTCGAATGCAAGCTACCTTACCTCCAAACTATCCGAAGTAATCCAGGTACTCTTCTGAGAAGGCCTTCCATGACGATGCAATCGAAATGGTCTTCGACATGTTGACCTCGCTAGTGAATGAAGCACGCAGCTTCTATACATGCCCAAGCGTGGGTATAGGCACAGCGTCTATTGTATTGCCGACTTTGGCTCGCTCTTTAAATCCAGACCAGCCACAGACGAGATGAACAGATTTGCAGCAGCCTTTCGAGAGCTGGACGTCTTGTACGGGGAGGAACTATTCCGGGTCAGTTGAAGACTAGCTGAGCTGGGAGCCGTAATGAAGTGTATGGCCAATGGATCTATTCCAGCGACTTACTCTCGTTATGAGTATGTGTCTGATAAGCCTAAGTGAGCGGGCAATCAAGAGCCCGCGGAGACGTGATCGCTGCTCATATCACTACTGTGCCATTCCGCAATGAACGATATCTTGCATCTGCACATGACTTCGACGGCCATCGATAATGGTCGACTCAAATACCGTCCATGGCGTCTCTCGCCCAGAGCTTCACGGTTCTGTCTCGTCCACAGGATGCAATCCACTTTGAGTCCGCTGTCACATCAACCGAGAGCACAGTGCCGTCATGCCCTGTTAGAGATTTGCACAACGCCCAGTCGTCCGCCGAGAAGATGTTGACATTCTTATCGAAGCCGCTGCTGACGACGAAGGTGCCGCTCTTCTTAGGCTGAGGCTCAGTAGCCACGTCGCTGTCACCATCGGCCATGATTGTGTCCATCTTCTCGGGTGAAGTAGACAGTGGTCCGTCATTGCCCTTGAACCATCTCAGGTCAGACACACCACCAACATGAGCACCTATGCTAGCGGTTTCTCGCACGGCACGGAGATCCCAACATTTCGCAAAGCCGTCAGAACTGCCAGTCATGACGCGATACCCGTCGCAGCTCCAGTCCAGTGCATGAACGGGCCCAATGTGCCCTTCGAGGATCATGGCAGTTCTGCCGGTTCTCAAGTCCCAGATGCGGCCGATCGAGTCCAGCCCAGCAGATGCTATAAGGCTGCCATCCTCGTTGAAGCCAATAGAATAGACTTCTTTGCTGTGACCCTCTTGCAAGAGCAGTTCCGTGGTAGTGTTGACGTCCCACAAACGCCACGTCGTATCATAGCTGGCGCTTGCAAGGTAACGTCCTGAAGGATGAACGTCTATCCGACACACTCGCGCGCCGTGACCACTCAGTGTTGCCACGGGTGTGTCTTGGGCCAGTGACCACAAGTGTATCTCGTTATCGGCTGCACTTGTAGCAAGATTGACATCGCCTGATGCAACATTTGAGCCAGGTATTGTTGCGCCTGGGAACCACGTAATGCCTCCAATCATGCCCTTGTGGCCTCGCAACGTCAAATTCGTCTCCAGTGTCGGCACATCCAGCAGCTTGAGAGTGCCTCCCCAGTCTCCGCACGCTAGCAGCTCTCCATTGGGCGCAAATCGTGTTAGGCTGACGGGACGTTCGCTGGCGATCTGACTGCCAAAAAGTTCGACGCTGGAAAGCTTCTCTTTAATGGCTTTCCTGTGCTTCACATGCGTGGCCACGGGAATCTTGCTCTCTTCCTTCTGACGCTTTAGGCGCTGAGCAGCGCGCGGTAACGAGTACCGCGCAATATCTCGACGTGCTGACAGAAGATCCTGGCTTCCCTCGATGTAGAATTCGCCTTCCTCGTCGCCGTCATCCGCCTCTTCAGCATCTGCCATCGAATCGTCATCGTCGCCTACAGCTCCTCCCTCCTGCTCGCGCAATAGCAAGTCGCGCAGGCGTTCTCTTCGGTCCTCTTTGCGCTCGCCAAAGAGAGTGATAGGATGACCTCGGGCACGGAGCTCGGTGCGCACTCGCTGGTCGTCGGTGGGCACAGCGAGGGCTGCAGCCTTGCGTTTCCGCGCGAACTCATTGAACACTGTCGAAGCATGCTGGGCCTCGCCGCCGATAGTTGTCGCAGGTAGGTGGTAGTTGGTGTCGAGGGCTGCTCCATTGGTCAGTCGGGAGCTGTATATAGATCGACAGAGGCAGACTACGTACGGACACTGCTGAGGTCAAGGGTGGTATCCTGCCGAAATCACCATCAGTCAGTCTGTTTGGAGTGCCTCGCCGCTTGCGCGTGGTCGGTTCGTGGTCTGGCATGCGTGTGAATATGGTGCAACGGTTGTGAGGCGTGTGAGTGCTTACCTCTTTCTCATCGTTCACATATGCCTGACGGGACGGATGCATGATGGCGTTGTGGTTGGTGTTGGTGTATACCTGGTAAGGCATGTAGTACCTCAGGTGTTTTCTTCAACAAGCTACAGGTACCTACCTCCAAAGTATCTCGCTCAGACTGCTCGGACTTTAGACGAACCTTATTTGCGGAACGTTATTCCTACTGGCAGTTCCTACATACCTTACTCTCAACAGACTCCTGGCAGAAGACATCCTCATCTTGCCATCTCCCTCCTCCTTCGCTGCTTATAAGCGCATATTCCATGACCATCACCACCCTCGCCGCTCCGACCATGTGGTAATATGTTGCTGACCGGCGCGGTCCTCTTCTTTATTCTCGCCTCCGAGGTCCATTGGCCTGACATGCTGCTCGGAAGACAACGTTTGACTTCCGCAGCCACGAAGCAGTCCATACGATCACAGTCCCAATCTGCCACTGCCGCCGCACCTGGATCCTTCACCTATCGCCTTGCTGCCGCTGCCGCGCCCAAGCGCGCACCACCGAGAGTGCCCAAACCAGGCAGAGACCACTGGAACTATGCCTCGACCCACGTGAATACCAACCCGCCTTACCTGCGCTCAACGAAGCCGGCCTCTGGCGAAGATGCATTTTTTGCCACCACTATCGGCGGAAGCCCGCATCATGTCGCCTTTGGCCTCGCTGATGGGGTGGGTGGATGGCAGGATCAAGGCGTGGATCCCTCCGAGTACAGCCAGGGACTTTGTGGTCTAATGGCTGGCTCTGCGAATATATATGAAGGCCTGGCAGCTGGCAAGATCTTTAAGCCGCGAGAACTGCTCCAGCAGGCCTACGATGCAGTCATGGCCAATCCACGAATCGCAGCCGGTGGATGCACAGCCAGTTTGGGCGTTGCAGACAAAGATGGCAACATTGAAACGGCAAAGTATGTAGAACTCGTATGTGATGCATATGGGTATCTTTTTGACAAGTGACCTAGTCTTGGTGATTCGGGTTACCTCATCTTCGGCCCTGGAAAAGTGGCCCATAAATCCATTGTCCAGACCCATGCTTTCAATACACGTACGTGCCCGGTTACTCGTGTTCTAGGGTCAATGCACTGCTAATAGGATGACAGCATACCAGCTGTCTAAAGTCCCGCCCAGGATGCAAGCACAACATGCGATATTTGGAGGCTCTACATACTTCAGTGAGACTCCTGCTCACGCTGATGTTCAGAATCACAAGCTCAAGCACGGCGATGTGGTGATCTTCGCCACGGATGGTGTCTGGGATAATCTCTCCGCTCAGGATACTCTGCAGATTGTGCAGCGTGTGATGGAGGATGGCGGCTATTGGTTCAAATCGCACAACTTTGCTGGCGCAGAGACTATGGTCAATGAGACACTCATTCGTTCCTTGCCGCGCGCCATCGAAGTCAGTGCGCAGGAACCGTACTTGCCCGGACAGCTCGCAGCGGCCATCATGCGCGAAGCCAAGGTGGCTGGTTTAGATCGCAGGCGAGAGGGACCTTTTGCCAAAGAGGTGAAGCGACACTATCCACAGGAAGGGTGGGAAGGTGGTAAACCAGACGACATTGCTGTGGTCGTGTGTCTTGCAGTCCAGGAGGAGACCACCGGTGCTGCGAGCCCGATCAAGGCAAAGCTGTGAGCCCAACTCACCAGCTGAGCAGCTTGCACCTCTGCAATCAACACTTTGTCCAGACGGCGTTCTGTATCCCTGCATCTGATGAATGAGCCAGGAGATCATTGATGTTCGCACCAGCCTGCATGGGTTTTGGGCGAAGATGGGTGTCAGGTCAAAGGCCCTCTTTGGCCGAAGACTCAGATCAATGCACTGCCATGACTTTGAACACACGGAAGAGGTACCTGGCGCACTTATGCGATTCATCTTCTGCATCATTGATGATTCTGGCCGGGCACCTCGCGCATTCCGGGTCAGAACGCGTGCTACATTCAGTCACGATTCAGGGGATGGCACGGGACAATGGTCGAATAGATCTGCCATCACTGGCATGAGGCTTTCACACTCAACGACGAGGCTCGGCGGCAAAGAACCTCATCAACGCACTATCCGGGACCACGATAAGAGCATAAGCGAACAATATATACATGAAAGTTGCGCTCTTTGTACGAGCATGAAGCTCTCCAAGATGGGCACACTTTCATGCCTGATACTACCTATCGCAGCCTGGTGTCAGCCTTTGTATACTGGTCATGAAGCCTCCCCGGATTTCTTCCAGCCAACATCCTTCTGGGTGTTTGCGAGCATCATTGTCCACGCATTGATCATCGACTCCGCTGCAAAGAAACATACGCAACTTGCGCAATGCAGGCCAACGTGACGTCCCAGTCCTCAGTACATGCACAAATCTTAGCCGCTGTTTTTACGAATGAATTCACAGTTGAGACGGAGCTGCTTCCATTGCAGGTGTGCATATGGCTCTTCTCCCTTAGCTGTATTGGTGTGCGTACTGACTTTGATGTGCAGCAGGGGCAACACGAGTTTTCCTCGATACAGCACTGGAAAGAAAAAAAAAACCAAAATCGCTCAAGTCCTCTGTGCTGTCTCTCTCTCTCTCTCTCTCTCTCTCTCTCT